GACATTTATTTAATATTTTTATCAATACAGTTTTTCTCAATACTCATCCTAATCGTATTTTGCATTTCGCCCTCGATGCTTAACTTTTTGCCTTGGTAACTTCAACAAGGCATTGCGACGTCCATCGATCGTCAATTAATAATAGTTTTGTTATCTGGTATAATGCTGTTATATCTAAATCAATCTATTATATCTATATGAATTATAAAGTATCCTAAATCTTTTTCACAATAATATATTTTTTTTCTGTGAACAACTTTTCTACAAGAAATTTTGTTCAAATTTCCAAGTACAGTATCTTCTCTGAAAAGAAAATTTTCCTGGAGAGGTCCTTTTAGAGGTCATTTTTTGATTTTCCATAGGCCTTTCATAATAAATGGAAAAAACGTAGGAAAAACGAGAAAATTTATGAAATTTATTATTTTTATATCGTAAATAATCCAGCCTTTCAAAACATGTATAATCAAGCTTAAAAGTTAAAAAATTAAATCAGCTTATGTTCTAAATAGATTTATTTTACACAGCATGAAATATTTACGACGATAGTAAAGATGTAGATATTATTTTTTTTTTTTAATTTTAAGTACTATCCATTTTTTGTAATACTGTAATTGGTATACTGGAAACGAAAAAAAAATTGTTTTTTTACTAACCAAATTTTGAATTAATAAGATTCTTGGTATGGGATATCGCCTAAGGGGGAGTGTGAGTTTCTCATGGTGAAAAATGATACAAGTGCCCAAAATTATTGCCCTCCTCCCAATAGAAATTTTCTGGCTATGTGCCTGTTCATCATCTTCATCTTTTAGATATCGTATTGAACATATTTTCTGTAAGGCCTTACGGATTCTAGGGTTTATACGACGTCACACTACTAATTTCAACTCAGCAATTTTGTTTATAAGTACACTTTATTTCGCCCTTGTATGATCTATCTTAGATTATGGATCGATAGTTTGGAATCCAACTTTTTAGTCGGATTAATTATTTATGCTCAATGTACTTCGTAGTGAGATTTACTCGTCTGGGCTTCTTGATCGTACAAGTTTACGTGCTCCAGTAGCTGGCATCCATACCAGATCCCGTAGATAAATCATTTCATTTGGTCAGAGCTATGTGTTCCTTAAACGAAAATAATGTTGATATTTGGCCTTAATAATTTAGTATTTGGTATTTATGTAAATAAAAAAATTGTATTATTATCTATTATAGGTAGGTACGTAGTAATATCTAAACCATATATCCGTACGAAAATATAAAATACGATAGGTATTTCGTAGATCATATAGTAAAGGAAACATATTGTGAAATATAGGCACCTACACAATAAGAGTTATGAATTTATGATTAACGGCTCTTTGATTAAACTTCCTGGCCACCGCTGTGTAGATATTATAATATCAAAATATATATTAGGTTTGACAGTGTGTGCCTAAGTATATGTATATATATATATAAGTATACGTTAGGGTGAAATAGGATTTTCTTTTTTCAGATCTTCTCGTGATATTATATGTTAGACAAAAAATATTTCTATCACATTCTCAAATCTTCATAATGATTTCTAAAGTTCGTGATCATCAAATTTATCAAAAAATGAGCTGTTATATTAGTTTTATTATTTTTTTTAAACAGTCTAAATATCTACTAATTTTTCAAAAAATATTTAAAAAACTAATAAGCACAAAAAATAAATACACTGATATTTTAAAAAAAACAACAAAAAATTATTGCTTATTTGACTCATAGAAAATCAAATTGTTGAATTTTAAAAGTAGTTTTGAAGGGTTTTCAATTATAATGAATTAAACAAGCGTTAATTTTTTGTTATTTTTTTTTAAAATCAGTATTTCACTTTTTAGGTTAATTACTTTTGAATATATTTTTAAGGAATGAGTATTTAAACTATTAAAAAGAAAATGAAAACTTATCAAGTCAAACTTAATATTATGGCTTAAGAGAAGTGCGAAAAAAAATGTAAAAAAGAAAATCGTGGACCACCTTAGTGTACCTACCAATAAATATTATATTGTTTTATAAAATTAAATATGGAACTGATGTAATAACTAATAAGGTTGTCGTATTTTGTTTGTGTTGCCTGATAAAAATCTTTAACTCATATTAGAAGTTCAAAGTACCTATATAGATAGCTGGTTAATAGTAGGCACCTCTACCTAACATACCTATCAGCTTTTGGCTATTGGTTGGATCAATAAAACATTAAAATGAACGAATGCAATAAATTTAAAATAATATTATATAAATTATAATTATTATATTGATCATTTAACATATTTCAACACAAATAGATGTATTACAGGTACACTCAGTATTGCAAATACTGAGTGTGAGTATTACAAATATCGGCATGAAAACCAAAATATATTATGTAAGTAGATAAACCTTAAAATCGATTGCTTGGGGTCCATAGTCAATTTTAGCCAATTATTTCAAAACATTATTTATGGAACCAACAACTAAACAAGTCAGCTAAAGTGTATTATTGCATGTAAATATGACAAGATTATAATTGGGATTTATTGAAAATCGTCCCCGATGATCAGTGAACTATTTATTTTAGAGAGCAGATAGGTATCTACTTGATAATTTGATTTTGCAAATCAAATATCATTCACCGCGGCACTGATAATTTTACTTTACGAATAACAAGGGAAATACGGATTTATACAATTCAATAATTCATTAATATTTTGCAGCTATGTGCAAATTGTATCCACTAAATAATTATTTTAATCATACTTATTTTAATGACTGACTAGAAATATTAATTAAATTATCTATAGAATTTTAGATACAGCGTAGCGAAAATCGTATTGGTTTTATTAAGATATATTTGTTTTATCTAAGTATTAAGAAAACTAAATGGAAAATCAACCTCATCAATATACCAATAAGACATTTGCTACCAGAATAAGCCACCATTGCTATTGGTGATACTACATTTATGGTACTTAGAAATGTGGTTTACAAATAAGAAAATGAAGTAGGTACACACCAACATAGTAAAACCAATATATTTCTTCCTTTGTTGAATATTAATTTGAATCATTAATTTGTTAATGTTTGTACTCATCGCTGCTAATCTACTATTCGATATATTTACATTAAATTTCCCCTCTATTTTACCAACTTCTTACTTATAACAGTGGCCCACCCACGTGCGAAGTATGTCCGTATTTTTATATGTCATAACAGTTTATTAAATAACTACCTAAAAAAATTAATTTGATCAACTTTGTTACAACCAGGTAATATATCATAAATAAACAAAAATAATTAGAATTTTATAATAAAAATACCTTAAAACCGTATTTTAAGGGTGAACGGGTTGCTAAGTCGAGATAAAAACTATCCTACATTTTAAGTTCTACAAAAGTGTACATATGAGCATAATTTTATTAAAATCAGTTGTGTAGTTTTACGCTTAATTTGTATGTACTTACATATATATAATAAAACTAATTTGTTTTTAAAATTACATTCAAAATATCTTAGTGACAATAATTAAATCGTCCCTCAGATTTTGAAGAATTAAACTAAAAGATACTGTTAATTTTATCTTAATTAAGAAAGGGGACTCCGTCCTCCGTGTTTAACCACTGTCTACACAGTAATAAAATTATAAAAATAACAAGAATCAATACCCTTAAGTTACAGGTTGGTAGGTACCTATCCTAGGAAATATATTATTGTTAAATTGTTCAATTGTTTGAGAATATTATTTATTCATATAAAATGTATTTATTATACGTCTTCTATGTATATAGAACTTTAAACATTGTTTTATGATACCTAGGTATTTATCTAAGTATGTTTATCTACGGGATATGAGTCATCGTTTGTAAATTGTAATAATGATCTACAATGTCTACATTCCACACTATAAGAGTTTAAATTATTTATTTAATGGAAACATTAAAATATATTGCTAAAACTCCAAATCTCAAATAAATTTTCGTGGTTGAAATTCCAATTATTTTGCATTACTTATGGTGTAACTATGTATAAGAGTTTTCTCAATCGAAAGCAATCCTCACTGGTAGTACACTTAAGTTATTTTGTAATATTTAATATTTACTAATTTGTATGATTATAGGCTTAGAAATAGTACACCTTTTAATTTAACTGTGAAAAAATAATATCTACACTAAAAATTTGATTGCAATATTAAATAAAATAATCAGTCATATGGAACACCTTCAAAAATATACAACAAAATAAAATATGTATAGGTAATCTGATTTTATGAGGAGAAAGAATTTACTGTATTTATTATTTTCTTTTTAGGAATAGAAAAATGCTTAGTGTCATAGTGGCTTTTGCTGACTGTTTTTTTTAACAAATTATGTAGTACATGTTAAAAATGTAAACCAAACCAAACAGCCTTCAACATTTTTTGTAATTGTTTAATGTAATTTTATAAAGAAATACTAGTTTTAGGTTTTAGTCGATTTCTGAAACTCTTGATCAATCTAATCCCCATGTATGTGCCATCAAAAAAATACATTAAGTTTTTAAGATTGAAATAGGTCCTTTGTTTTTATTACAAAAAAAAAAAGATCCTGAACGATCTGTGGTCACTTGTACACTATTTTTATTTATTTTTTTATTATTTAAAATAAAAACGCGCACCTCCGCTAAATATTATTCAAATGGCCTCAAACTTTGAGGATATTTTTTTTATTATACAATACAAGATAAATGGGTGTCCCAAAGGAAATTTTGAAATTATCTAAATAAAGACCACCCTAGTGACCATATTTGTGCAATATTATCTGCTAAAGGCATACAAGTGTTTTTGTAATGGTCTGTTAACTTAAAAATATTTATTTAACAGGAAGAATATAGTAGGTATATTAATATATAGTATTATACATCTGATAGTATTTATTATTAGTTTAAATATAAGGCACACTAGCTTTGGAATTTTTCATAACAATAAAAATACCATGATTTTTATTTAAAAATATAATATATTTATACAAATATTGTTTATAATATTTTATTAAACCTGTCAACAAGTAAATTAAATATAATATAATAGTATAAAATATTTAAAATAATAAATAATATAAAAATGTAATGATTTTAACAATAACTTTTTGGTACTGATAAAACTAAAAAAAAATTAGGTACTTATATACATAAACATTGTTCACTAACTTAGAAGCATATTAGCGATATGTTATGCATATAAAATTTGTAATAAAATATTCTCACTCTTTTAACAGTCAATTATCACAATAATAGGTCATTATAAACCGTCAACAAATATATTGTAATATAAAGGCATTACAATTAACGACGATTAAATGTATATAATATATTTGATACATCTTGAAAATGTTCGGTACAATTTAAATGTCTTAGTACTTGGCCATTCCACAACTTCATAGCATATCCTAACGCATCATCTCGACTTGTACAAATATTGTTATCTATTAACCATGTTATAAGTTCAGAGCCAGTAAATGTCTTTTTATATTTCCACAATTTCCATCTGAAACAAAACAAATAATTCTAATGCATATAATATGAGTTATAAATTTAAAAAGTATTTATTACCTAGTAAGATGAGTAATTTCAGCTAAACATTTTTCTCTGTGCTTAAAAACAAAATTATCGCACGTTTTTCTTGTATCATATGGAAGTTCTTCCCATGATGGACACTGAATTGGAGATCCACCCCACCAAAATTTATTCCATCTAAACAGAAACAAAATTATATCAATATAAAAAGCATTTGATAAAGTAGAAGAAAAAATACTTACGCTCTCACAATTGGCCTATTAATTGTTTGATAATTAATACCATAAATTAATAATGTGAAAATTGACTGTCCTCTCATAAGAGAAGTTTCCGCATAAGCTAATTCAAGGTATAATCCATTTGTTTCACCGAATATTCTCCAAATGGCCACAGAAAATGTCTGTAAAAACACATTTACAATTTTTAGTTTTAAAAAATATATATGTATATATAAGTACAACTTTTAAAAAAAATATACTTACAACAAACATAGCAACTGTTTGCATGACAAGCAATAAAAAGTGCTTAATATATTCATTACTATCAGCTGAACTTGTTTCTTTCACATAAAGGAGGCCTTCTTTAAAATCTTCAGTGTCAATACTATGAGAGTCTGTATTACTACTAATAAAAACATAAATAAACATAAAATATATATAAATATGGATATTGGTACATATGAGATTAATAGACTTCAAAGTTAACCGACCAATTTGCACACATTATTTTGTGAAATATTCCACATTGTCAGAGGCAGGTTTTTAGCTATTAAAATCTTTGATCCAACCAGTAGAAAAAAATTAAGTCTAAATATTTTATTTTATATTTATTTAGTTGCATAGTAATAGCAAAAAATTACAAGGTGAGCTATTTTGTATAATAAATAAAAGCCAAATACTGACAGACTGATCCCTACTTCTCAAAAACAAACAAATTAGAACTGAAAATTCGAAAAATAATTTTTTTAATGCTCTAGATATGCAATAAACAGTTCCCATTTTTTCATTTGTAAATCACAGAGGGAGAAAAGAAAATATCGGAGTGACCTCTAATGTACTTAGATTTACCATATTTCTGATGACATTAATAAACTATTGAATACACAGGAAAAAGCCTGTTAAAACAGAAGTTGCATACTAAACATAGTGCGCCACCTAATCCCCCGAAACAAATTTTGCACACATCTTATCATCTGATGAATCTGATATTGCAGACATGTCATGACATTCAACACATGATTATATTTTACATCACAAAACTGTAAACAGGTGAAACCTGTGTAAAATAATAGAAATTTTAAAATATAAATATTGATTATTAAATGTAATTACAATTTTTAATTAATAATAAAGTTTTTATTGAACAGTTAAACACAAACTTACAATTGTTTTGATGTACTTGGTATATCAGTTACGTTTTCTGTGCAAACTTCCTTTTTCACTATCTTGTGTTGTTGGCGTTGATATAAAACCAAACAAACAACTGTCCCTGTATAAATTATAAAAATGTTACATAAAATATAAATATTCAATAGGTATTAACCTGTTATTGAATGTATTTGAATAAATAGAAGATTACTACAATGTGTCATACTTTGTTATTTTTTCACTACACTACACCCCACAAAATATATACATATATTTTTGTACAAAGATAAACCAGTTTGTCAATTAAGAATCAAAACACATATTTTAAAATATTACTCTAATACTAAGAGGCATTCTATTCTTGTTTTCACATATTCATTGTATTTCACATGGTACACAATTGTTATTTTCTATTAATATTAGTGCAAATAATGATGTAATGTTACATATAGATGATGTCATTAAGAGGGTTGATTCATACAAATAATCTCAATAACAGGATAGCAATAATCGTAATATTTTAAACGCATTTACACATGATTGTTAAAAGGAGAATTGATGTGAGTGTAGCAGCTTCTGGAGTTCCATATACATAGTTTTGATCGAAATCAGATTTAGCAAATGATGGTGGTTGACAAATCAACATTAGCACAGAAACTAACAATACTGGAACACTAAACGTCAAAATTATATAAATATATAAAAATTAGTAAAAAAAAAATCAATAATTACCCCCAAGAAAGAATCATGTAGAAATAAAGAATTTTATTTTGGAATTCATCAGTAAATGGTTTATTCATTATCAGCAAAGTAAAAGCTAAACATCCAGTCCAAATATAACAACTCATATCACCAGCAATACTTAACATTAACTGTATGTATGTTAATGGATGTGATGGTGGTGATCCAGATAAATACTCTAATAATATTCCAGTGCATGAAATCACCTAAAACAATAAAACTCTGTATTATAAATTAAACATTTATAATTATTATATACCAAAAACACAAAAAATACCTGAGAAATTACTAAACAGAAAACTACTTTAAACGGGAAACTTTTCAATTTTTTTAACATAACTAAAATAATCCATAGCTGTAAAAAAAAGAAAAGAAAAAATGATTTTTATGTTAATATTATAAATAATTATAGAAAATATAAAAAAAACTTACAGATGCAGGGATAGCCAATATACTGACATTGAATTGGTACGTTTTTAAAGCTGCTATATTATTTGATGGATCTAATTTGGCTACTGATATTATTTTGGCAGTTAAAAACATAATTGGGGCCGAAAAGCATACACATAGTACCATTGAACTAGCAATCTAGACAAAACAAAAATGATTAACAATGATTAAACTATAAACTGTAAACAAATAAAAATTATATATACCAAATCCATTTCAAGATTATACGCTGAAGCATAAACAAAAACTGCTGGCGCAGAAGGAATCATTCCATACAAAAATCCAAACATGGAAAATGCAAGATTTTCATCAGCATTTACAGTGCCAAATTTTGTCAAGAAAATACTTGTCGTTTCTCTAATGACTAATGGTAAAACTAGCCTAAGAAATTTCATAAAATCATTCATAATATGTTTATATTTATACTTATAAAAATATATCATACAATTTGGCTGCAATAAGAAGTAATGGTAAAATTAATGCTTCTCCTCTAAGCTTATTGACATTTCCAACCATTCGTAAACCTAGTAGAAACAAAGCTGTTGCAGTAAACGCATTGCCAAAAGTCTATAAATCAACAAATTGTATACAATTAAATAAATTTCTTTAGGTATATTTTTAAAAACTCACTCCTAAGAAAGTTGTAATAAATTTTGGCGGATTATGATTGAATACTATATTAGTTATTAATCCCAAAGCTGTCATAAAAACCATAGGATTACAAATAATATTTCTCGATATTCGTCCCATTAGTGCTGAACGTCTTGTAGTTTCATGACGATCATATTCTTTGCCCAATTCCATCATCGCAAAACCAAATGGATTGAGGATTATTAAATTAATAGGTGCCACCAGATAAAGGTAGCTAACAAAATAAGGATGGTTGTATTTGTATAGTGCTTCAACTAAAAGAATAAATACAAATAATTTCACATGATCTAATGAAAAAAAGATTAATAAAAAGTGTCAATGTAACTGTTAATATTATCCCTGTAACAACTTCGTAAATTTTGGACTGTACAATTTTTTTTTTTTTTTTTTTAGATATTATAAAATGTACAATTATAATATTTCTACCTTCTTTTCTTATTTAAAAAAAATTAAAATTTTGATTTTGAATCCATTTTAGTGTTTCATAAATATAATACAATATTTTAAGTGTAAAAATAAATAGAATAATACATTAATAATTTTCAAAAATTAGATGGTTAAACAATTACAAAGTTATTGATGATGGGGACAAATACATTATTAAAATATTTATAAATATAACTTACATATTGGAGCACCAATAGCAAAATCATTGCTTTGGGTGCAGAATATAGCAAATAAACCAGCTCTTGCCATATCTGGAGGCCTGGTTACTAATACAGTGATTAAAGCAACTGTTACAAAAACTAAAGTTTTTGAAAGAAGAAGTGATCCAAGAAAGATCAAATTTACAGATGATAATTCTAATACAGCCATATTAACAAATATAAGTGATGGCAAAGCAAATGTACCTACAAATCTGTTTAAGCCAATACTGGCAGCATGACTAACTAAACCCAATCGCCCTGACATATACCTAAAATAAAATAAGAAACATTAAACATAATACAATTTATTAATAAATATATAAATAAATTATTCATTTTTTACAAGATTATGATTATTTACCCTGTAATAATGATCCCAAAACATTGAAATAAAGCATTATACATATTGTTCATCAAGTCTTCATCAGAATCACTTATATTAGCAGTCTTATTTGAAATCATCATGTTATACAACTCTTTTGCATTATTGTGTGTATTGTTGAGTAAACTACAAAATAATTTATAATTTTAACTTTAAAAAAGTAATTCAATAAAATAATGCAATGGCATGGCACAGTGGAAACAGAAATTGTTAGTTCGCACCAGATCTCAGCTGTCAATTATTATTTGCTCCCAGATTGATTGTCCACCTAGGAGCAACAAATCATGTCATACTTAAATTCTATCTATATATAATGGTTTAAAATAGTAAAAATTACCTCTTAACCTTTAAAAAATGTAATTCCAAAGATCTAAATTATAAATATATTTATTTATAAGACTAACTATAATAAACACTTTGTTATACAGTAGTCTTGACGAAAATTAAAAATATCAACACTAACATTGATTTAACCAATACTTTATCTATTTATGAAATTTTTAATATAGGTTTATTTAAAAATCAAAAGTAGAAAACAGCTTCATATCAAAAAATAACGATAATGTAACATTTTAAATGTACTAAATTAAAAATGACTAAGATCTTTTTAAGGTTTTGTATTAATCAAATATTTAATTCTCTATCCATATGGAAATGTGAACTTATATTATCTAATAGAAATTTTGTATTTTTTAAGATAATTTAATAATCATAAATGTATTAGTGTTTTAATTATCTAGAACAAAATAATAATTCTTTAATATCTTTTTGGAGCGTATGTTAGATTAAGTTATATACGGAACATTACACAAATTCTAAGTGTAAATTATGTAAATTACTCTTAAAAATTGATCATCTAATAAACTAGTTAATTACTTAATAAATATTAAATTATATTTTCAATAAAGGTACAAAATGTCTAGATGAATATCAATAATGACTATTAATTAATGGAGTGGACCTTTTATATAATTTCCAAAAATTGTACATCTCTACCTCTGAGATCTAACCCAAATTAATCTAATGAATATCTACTGAACTGTGAAGGAACTGCAATAACAAAGATTGCAGTTATAAAAAGTATTAGTTAACTTAAAAATAAAGAATCTAAAATGATTAATTTCATTCAGTCTTTTTAATGCATTTTGATTTACATTAAGGAATCTTATTTCTTATTATATAATTCTATTCAATTTATCAGTAAATTTAAATTTATTTGTATTTATAACTTATCAATTAGATAAAACATGTATCTAATTTTATAAAAAGTTGATGGCTATGAAATCTATTATTGAAGTGAAAATATTTTAATTTGTATGGGTACCTATCTACTTGTTCTTTTTAAACAATTTTTTTTATTTCAACGAGTGTATAGTCTAAACATATTTCTGCATACAGATTATCCGAGTTTATATATATATATATTTTTTTTTTATTAATAAAGTTGAACCCTTTGCATTCCATAAAAGCGGTTAGGAATTTTAAGATCAATACATTCCTATTTAACGTAATATATAATGTATATTGCATTTATATTAAACCATTCAATATATATTATATATATATATATATTTCATATATTAAATTTTGAGTAAAGCTATTAGTTTTACAATAATGTGAATTTATGTGTTTCCAGAAAAACACATTTTCGAACACAAAAATATATTAAAAATTATTAGAACCACGGGAAAGATCAATATCAATTTATATTTTTTTTCTCCAGGTTCTTATTTTTAATCTTGAACAATACTTTTTGTTTAACCATTAAATCTAGTTTCAATAAGGTTATAGTTCATTTAATAATACAATTATGAATTATATTGTTAAGTAACTAAATTTCAAATCATTATAATTTGCTAACACAAAAAGAATTATCAACAATGATTATTTAAACGCATAGCTTTAAAAATTCTTTAAAATAATTAATCTATTGTGTATTTACAGTTTTCATCATTTAGTAAGTAAATTGTTAAACAGTTTAAAAAATATTCATTATCCATGCAAAATGTATATTCAAAAACCAAAGTCAAAGTATCTATAAGTTTAAATTATTCACATATAATTGAACAAATTTCTAATTTTAAAATTATTCTTTCATGCATAGGTATGATAAACAAAACTATATATTACTTACTAAATAATATTAAATAATAATAGTTTTATAATAATATAATATGTTTTATAGCCATGTTTTCCCCTACTCCTCTAGCCTAGATTTTAAACTGTATATCCAATATTAGTGTTATGCATAACTAACGAGACCATAATTTCTTTTCAAAAGAGCAGAATAACTGTACAGTATGATAAAAAAAGCACAGCATTTTATATTTTTTTTTTTTCAAACAGCAAAACAATTATAAAATATACTAGAACGTGATAAAATAAATGAAACAATGGATTTAATACACATCTAATAAACATAATACATATTGTATAATATAATACATATAATACATATTGTATTATGTTTATTTATTAAAAATTAGAAAATAAAGTAGAGCTAATTGCTTGTACAGTTTAGCTGGAGAGCAGCTGGTTTTCTATATTTTTTGGATGAGCAGACCCCAGTTGACGAAAAAGTTTTATATTTGACTGTCAAATCATAAAACACAGTAACTAATATTGTTATAATTTGTCATGTATTGACATTAATTTTTATTTAAATTGAATTGAACAGATTTTTTGATATTACATACTTTTTGTCAAAATATTTGTATTACCTTTGAAATTGCAATAACCTATAAGCAACCCACGTTAGACACATTTTTAAAATGGCTCTACTGTACAATTTGTAAAATATTGGTTAATATATTTTATGTTTTAATGGCCATAGTTTTTTGTACTGTGATCAATAAACAAGTGCCATTTTTTAGAAGAATTTATTTCCAGTCACCTTTTTTTTTCAAAGTGGGACATTTTTGTGTTCTTTGGGAATAGTTGTAGGACACAGATCAAAAGTGGGACTGTCCAGCCAAAAGCGGAACATAGTCACATTAAGCATACACATTTTTTAAAAAAAATAATATGTATATTTTTTTTTTCAAAGCCTACAAATGTGGATATTATATTAATTAATTGTATTGATATTAAACAAACAATATACCCAGTCCTTACTAAATTAATTTGTAGAAATCCTAAACTATTTATTTAAATGTTCAATATCAAAAAAAAAATTGTTTGTAAAAGACAGTAAAATGTATATGTCTGGATGTATAACACTTGAACATATCATTTTACTGAACCATAATAAACACTTGTAAAAAAATCCAATGTAAACTAATAATGTTTACATATGTTACTCAATGTGTAAATTGATAAAGCATAATAGTTGTTCACATTTATATTATTTAAATGGTCACAATATATCATAAAGTGCAATGGAAAAGTTGTAAGAAATTGTAATATTTATTTTTATCTTTACCTAATGTTTTATTTAATGAGTTAATTTTAATCATAAATTTAATTCAATCCTTTATAGCTAAACAATAAATAATAGTCATGTAATACATATATATGTATCACATGTTGTACATTAAATTTAAACAGAAATTCCAATTGGAACATTTTTAAAGTCTAATATTACTTATTGCTTCTTGCTAATACAAAAATTAAATAGCTTCAGTATAAACTATAAACAGTAATGTAAGCAATAAAATAAGTATTTGAATCAGTAATTTAAAAGATTACCTACACTATTTCTTATATACTCTTATTATTGATATTTAATCTAAGATATTACTAATTAGATTGCCCAAGTTAGGTTAGGTTATCCGATAAAAAAAAACAGTAACCACTAAAAATAAATTTAATTATAATTAGTAATATTTTCACTTTCCAGAGTTACCTTCTATACAGGAGTACATAATATACAAACATTTATTTTAGGGTATAAGTACCCATATAGACATATATGTACGAAAGGATCAAGTATCAAAAATATATCACTGATTCAAACAACAAAAATGTATTGGAAATGAAGTTACCTATATTCATACAGACTAAAAATTAAGGCTTTCGAATTGCTGAACTGACCACAATTTGTCAATGTAGCTCAAATAAATTTTGTGAGGGGAAAACAAAATTTGTTTCAATAAATTTAATTATATTTTGTTCAAGGTACTTTTCAATTATCTCAATTTCCTGGGATTTGTAAGTAATCACAATTCAGTTATTTTGATTACCTGATCAAGTAATAGAAACGGGGTTGATTTTCAATTAAAATCCAAACATGTAGTCGAGATTTTACTTTAAATTTAGGACACTATCCTCCATGTAGCAGAATCGGGTTAGAAATGTTAGAGTAGGGAAGTGGGTTTCATCAATTCTCCCATCAGGGTGAAGGTGGTTGTGCAACATCACTTAAGATCCTGGAAGGTGTAGCAACCCCCCCTCCTAACATTCATAACTAGTTGTTCTGTGTATTATATTTAGTGACATATCTACAGTCTTCATATCTCTATTACTTCTAAAACAATACATTTTGGAAAAATGATTCACTGTCCATGAACACATGAAGGTAGTCCAATGTATATAAACAGTCAAGATAAGTGAAAAAGTTGAAGGTTATTATACCTACCTAGTATCTACTTATATTGAAAATCATAAAATAACAGAAAATAAAGCTTAAAATAAATGTAAGCTACTTAAGCCAACAGTTCAGGCTTGAGACTAGGTACCTAATATCTAGTCTATAAATAATATCTAGTTTCTCTAGTTCAGGCCAAAGCACTAGGCCACTGAAATTTGTTCTGTTTTCATTATATTATAAATTGATTAAATATATAACAGTAGTATAGATTTTATATAAACTACGGTATTGTAATTGCACCAGTATTCGACAATTTATAGTGATCTTGTGAATTCATTCAATGTATTTTATTACAACCTAATAAATAGACCAAATTAAGTATTCACATATTAAAGTAAATTGTTTTCTCTTAATATAGTCATTAATTGTATTATTTTAGAAACAAAACTTGTATTTATATAAATATTATTATGAACTTAAATATAGATTTTATTCTTTGGCACGTTTTTAAATTATTTAAAAATACAATTAGACTATTTTGTTCTTGAAGTTAGCAACAAGAAACTCATATCATTTTAAAGAATGATTTTAACTTACTATTGATAAACACCACAGATAGGAATATTTGTATATATTATATTTATATATATATATATATTTATATAAAAAAATAAGTTTAATATATATATATAAATATATCTGTGATAAACACTAATTCAATTTTAATTTAGTGGTTTTTAACGTATATAATTTGTTAGATCAATTTATTGTTAGACTAGTGAACTGCCAAAACCTGGTACCATAACGCTAGTAGTATATTTAATGAATGACGATGTACTGATTAGGACTTTAAATGAATCTAAGTAACTACCAATTAATTGAATAGGTATAAGAAAAAGAAAATAAAGCTAATACCAAGGTAATTTTCATTAGACTATATTTTACGTGATAAAACAATTACAATTTAACATATTAACTTAATATATCTACTTTACTATATTTTTTTATATCATAAAATGTAGGTACAAAACATATTTTCTTTTTAACAAAAAATAAATAAAATATAATTGCTTTACAAAACTTAAGAAGAAAATATATTTGTATTAATAAATTATAAATTAAAATAATTATGATGATTATGGGTAGGTACTTACAATAATACTTCTTTTAGAGTCTCTGAATCGGTATTATCCATATTGAAATTATTTAATGAATAAAGAAACAAAGATTGGGTAGATAAATTTACTTAAAATATAAGTAGGTAGGTATTAAATTCACTGTTAGGAAATATTAAAAAAAAAAAAAGTATTTTACTATTGATATTACTGTGTTTGTGTTCTAATTATATATAAACTACCTATGTAAAATACATAATCAAACATAATGTAATATCTATTCAAAAAATAATAAACTTGGAATTTCATCACAATTTAAAAATTCCATCGTGATAACTATTGGATAATAATATTGAAAATTAACAAAGAAAAAAATATCAAAAGTTATATTATGATTTTCTATTAACGTCGAAATATTTTAAACGAAACTTTCGGTTTCGAAGTCGTTAAAATAAAAATTTAATCCGGAATTCTGGGGATATGAACATTTTGAACTATAACACAAAATATTGAACAACCAGCAGCGACATCTCATACAATGAACCATTCATTATTCAATACCATTATCGCCGAACATTGTGCAAAGTGCAATATAAAATTAGAATCGGAAACTGATAACAAAGTAGTAAATAGAAAAGTGAATGAAATATGAAAACAAAATACAGACTGCAAGCAGCAAACTGCAGTCACACCGCCAGGAACCCAGGTAGCAATGAGGCCGCTGTTGCGATAGAAGGCCCCCTAGCGGCATATTTTCGTACTACACTATTAAACCATTTTATTATTATCACACACACAATTTGTCATTTCCAAGTCAAGACAGTGATGTAAAAAAATTATTGGAACAGAAACGCGAGGGTTACTGTTTAAAATAACGAAACATTTTGTATTATAAATATTAATACGTAGAATATATTATGTAATATTTACAATAATTGTTACACTAATGCTTTGGTTGTACTTACTATTATATTATGCAGATAACGTTTGACCCGAAAGGTCCCAAATAATTGACAATATTCATTATACTCATATAACTATAATACAAGTATATAATTGTTAGTAATTATCTACTCACATATTTTAGTATTCACTGTAGTTTCACAGAACGAAAAAAAAAATGCTAATTTGCAACTGACGGATCTACAACTGTTGTAGATAGTTAGTTGGGAAGATAAGAGAGTTAATTTATATACGTAGGCACGTAAGGATAAATCATGGCTATCGAAACACGTTTCTGAACTAAGTTTGGTTAAACATGCGGTGATTTTTACGATTTTCTCAACATTTGAACTAAAAACGATCGTACAATAACATTGTCAACAATATGTTCTTTTTTTTTTTTTACACTAAGTAGAGCGATATGAAAAATGTTCGAAATATTTTGCCGGCTCAAAACAAATGTATTTACTTAAATTAAAAAATAATATGCGAAATGCCGTGATACCTATTTATGATTTTCATCAAAATGCAAACAAAAATGTACACCTACTAGAAATCATACCATTGTGTTGTTGATCGGTGCAAGATTTCTGATAAAAAAGTTGTTTACATACAGAACAAATAAATCAACATGATAAACCAAAATACACATATGTTTGTACATTTTACGTACCTACGTATCTACCTACCCATTTTATGAAAAACATAGGTTCCCCTGCAAAATCTATAAAAATACGTTTTATTTGAGTCAACAAAATTGACTTGATAAATGTCGGCAACGTCACCTATGGCACAGAATTTATAGTATTATAATCATAGTAAAATCATAAATAAATAACTTGAATAATTACAATCAAGCCAGTACATTTAGTAACACAGTCGTAAAAGATAAGAACGAAATTGGCAGTGAAGTCGAAATGTATGAACTAATAATTTTAAATTAAGAAATAATAAAGTGATGGCAATTTTACAAAATATAAAACATGTAGTTGTCATATGTTAACATGACATTATATTTTAAAAAAAATGTTTATATATAATTTTCGGGTAGTGCCTAGGCACACTTAACTTAGATTAAATATTGGTAAAAAGTAAATTATATAATTTAATATAAATATTTTACATTAAGAATAAAATAATACCTACAGGAATAAAACGGTTTCTCCACATTATCAGCCCTATCAAGGCTGATGCCGACGTAGGAGGTTCAAAACAGCGGAATCGACAGCTATTATCGTCAGTAGTTACCAGTCAATTGCTATACGCTGTTTCAGTTTTGTGCGGGTGCATTAGTATACAAAACAAATATTAATATAATTCAAAGACCTCAAAGATCCATTGCATTAAGAGTGGCGATGGCGTATAGGATGGTCTCCGCGGTGGCGATAATGGTAGTAGTGGGGCTTATTCCGGTACATTCATAGGTCAGAGAGAGGCAAGTAAGATACGGTAAAAGAGCAGAACCAGAGCAAAAATAAATAAGAAGAGTATAGAGCGAAAAGAAACATACAGGATATGGCAGGAGTGGGACGCGGCTGAAACGGGACGATGGACATGGAGGCTCATTAAGGAGGTAAAACAGTGATCACCAAGCAGTTTGGCTTCGTTGACTTCCATTTTTCCAATTTCAATAAATTGTTTGTTTTTTCAATAAATGATGCTATGCGGATACGAGGGAAAGGCCTGCCCGTAAGGGCAAAGTACCCCCTCGTAGCACAATGATACATCCACATAAAAAGAAAAAAGGTATAAAACGCATATGTCCATCACTATTATAACCAATTTGAATGTTAACACAGATATAGATATACCGACAGTTCTATCTACTTACTTTTCAATATTATATTATATTGACATTTTTAGATCAATAAGTTCAAGTTTCAACAACATTATCAACAGTTATACGTATTTATTATATTATAATATTTTATAATTGCTAAATTTGCGTTATATTATTTAAACCATTTAACTACGCATAATTATTAATTATAAGTAGATACCTCAGGGAATAATGTATTGCAAATTATCACTCTTAGGATAATTGACTTTCGTATTATAAATATACGGAGTAGCCAAACATACATGGCGAAGGCACTCACGTTAATGGTTAATGCGCATTTCGCAACGTTCATGTGCGTCATAAACAATATTCAACATTGAACGTATATAGGACCCAGTAGATACCTATTCGGATTCTATTAAAACGTATTAAGTATATTATGTGATCGTGGTCAAAAAGTTTATTCTTTGTTTTCAAAGTTAGTTTTGTGATACGTAAAACACAACATGCATGATGACTACGACTTAAATAACTCTTCAATTTACCTTCTAAACGCATTAAATACATAACACGTTTGTAAGTATTATATATAGTACTTATAGTAATGTATGATTGACATTTTTGATAATTCGGCAACGAAAAGTGCAGGTATACATAGGGAATAATTTTAAAAATATTTATTTTAATGATTTAGATTATGAGTGGGGTGAGAAATATTTCGGTTTTTTCAATGATGTTATTTTATTTTTTTTATCTGTGAACAATTTTCTTACCAGTAAGTTTGCTCTGATTTACGACGATAACACTTTTTATGAAAAGAAATCTGACTGGGGTGGTACTTTAGGGAGGTAATTTTTTAATTTTCCCCGAAGTTTTCTCAACAAAGAGAAAACTTGAAAAAATTTGAAAATGTACAAAATGTAAGTAACAGTTAAAAAATATTACGGTAAGTAATAAATACAATATTAAAAAAAATGAATTAAAGAAAATATTTAATGCATACCTATGTAATTATTTTACCAAAATATAACATTTATATTATTGACAATGCAGCACTATCAACCAAACTTCGCTCAGAATCGTTTTTTGCGGTGCATCCGAATTGCATGCCATCATATAAAGGGGTTCGTCCGAATACATGTCATTTCGTATCAAGGTCTGTTCGAATTGCGTGCCGTATACAATTTTTATATCAACGAGGAAAATAATATACTTGGGCTTTTAGAAACAGATGAATTTATAAGTTCAGTGATAACGAAATTTCAAAATAATGAAATGAATAGAAACATATAGAAAAGTTATCATATATGGCGTTGCCGAAAACAAAATAAATATAACACATGACACATAATGAATAGGCACATAAGACGTTAGATCATAATATATTGACGATATTATACGTATAAATTTGTTAAAATAGTAAAATAATATTAATATAATTAACAATACATTTTTAACCACACCAATATAACAATTAAGTTTCTACTATCAGTCCTTGGTCTGTAAAAGTGGAAAAGAAAATGCCATTTTATTTTTTTATTTTTTTTATTTATTTTATTATTATTAATTATACACGGTACGCAATTACTACTTAGGAAAGTAAACTTAAGAAAATACTATTAAGGAAAGAAATGTTAAATTTTTCCCAAAATAGATTCTTGCATTGCATAGTATCTGTCTATATCTTCACTCGGTAAATTTGGATACTTTTGGTGGCTCTCTCTGGAAAAAAATGAGCTCCAACTCAGAAACCAGATTTTTTTTTTTTATAGGTGAATTGAAGTAATACAATTTTGGTTAAATTTCAATATGAACTTAACATGTTATTGTAGAAATGTTTTTTTTTTAGCTTTATACACCCCTACAGAGATCCTTGCACTTCGGATTAGAGTAGTTCATTATTGATAACATGCCGCGCGCTGTACCGCCACATAAATGATACTCCATTAGTCTCCTTCAACCCAAACTTAAAAGTGGAATATCTCGTTAAAAGCTTGACAGAAATCAAAAATGTCAACACTAAAATTTATTCTAACTAAGAGATTTATTTATGAAAGTTTCAGTGTACCCAAGTTGCCATTTGAAAATCAAAATTAGGAGGTGGTTTTACTTCCAAAAATAAGGGTAAAAAAAAATTAAATTAATATAAAATTGTAGAGCAGCTTGTTTCCTAAATGTTCTATAAAACAAATTCTGGAAAAAGTTAATACTTTGCGAGATAATCAGTGTACCCACTTAAATGGATTACCTGGTATGTATAAATAAAATTATTGTTCGGGAAGGAAATTTTTTTTTGTTTAATCTTATCTTAAAAAAAAAAAAAAAAAAACATTAAACATTGTAACCGAAACAAGTTAACTGGTGGAAAATTTGACTCTAGTGATGAAGCTCACCAGCTTATGTTTTTTGTTCATAGAAAGTTTAAAAAATTAATATAATTTAAATATTTGATCTACTATTTGTGTTTACTTTACTGTTTCATTTTTATTGAAATAAGTGATACAACAATATTTAAAATAGAACCCTAGTTAACTGATATATTGTGTTGTTAGTTGTTAGGTACCTAATAAAAACAAAATATAAAAACCCACATGAATAAATGTCAACAAGGAATATGGATTGGCATTCATACATAAAATTCTAATAAATATCTAGATCTAAAATAATATTATAACATATTTATACAGCTTATATATATCTCCCTAATAGGTTAATAAACTACTCAAAATAATAGATTCATATTAATTATTTTTGTCAATTTATATAATCTGGCATTATATTAAAAATTAAAATTAAATCTATTATAAGGTTTGTCGAATTTACTATTTTTATCGCACTATAATATGAGCATAAGCCTGGATGTTCTATAGTGTTCTTGTTCCAACACTTAACAACGTATATACAAATGAAAAATATATATTATACAATGATAAAATTAAAAATTGTATATATGCGGACGACACAGCAATTGCAGTGCAGAACATCAATTTTGAGGTAATTAAAGAAAAGCTCACTAACACCTTAGAAAACACAAGCGAATATTATAAAATCAACTACCTTAAACCAAACTCGAACAAGACACTAATTATATATATAATTTGAGAAACAGGGATGCTAATTGTAAATTAGAAGTAACATGGGAAGACGAGGTACTACTACACTGCGATACACCAAAATTCTTTGGAGTAACTCTTGACAGAACACTGACGTACAAATATCACTGTGAAAAAACAAGTAAAACTACGAACACCACATGATATGGTCTACTTCAAAAATTAACAGGATCAAAATAGGGAGCACAACACCATACTTTACATGTGTCTGCGATTTCCCTTTGTTTCTCAGTTGGAGAATACGCATGTGAAGTGTCGTGAAGATCAACTAATGTTAATAAAATAAATACTGCTCTAAATGATACATGATTATAACATATTATAACAGGATGCCTAAAAAACACACCAATTGTGAAAGTGTACTTATTGGCAGGCACTCACTCTCAATAAGATAATTACTTTCTGCTAACTTAGAGAGATACAAACAGATGAATGATCCAAGACATCCTATATATGGACAAATAGCTACAACTTTTCGACTGAAATCAAGAAAGTTTCCTCAAAGTCTCTAGTGCCTTAGAAAATGACCCTCTCTGAGTAGAATAAACGCATGAAAGGATAAAATAGTGGGCATCAGAGGGCATCACCTAACTTAACCGGCAGAACACTTACCCCCAGGGCACGAGTTACAATGGTACATATGGAAGACATTAAATCAACTGAGAGTGGGAGTTGCAAAATCTAAGTTTAACATGCTGAAATGGAGATACCTTAATGACCAAGATGCCCCGTCACTGTGAAACATTACAAATGATGGTAAACCTAATGGTATGTCTGATGGCACCAGGACCTTGCACACTAGAAGACTTGACTATTGCCAACCAGAAAGCTACGGGCACGGCCCAATACTGGGCAACTGAAAACATCTAGTTGACATAATAACACTAACATGTTTTATTATATTTAATTTATTTATATTCTTGTATATTTTAATTTGTAAACCTAGTTATATTTGATTGTCTAGTCTACTAGCTTATAGTAGCAATGTGATGCCTGACACGAAAAAAAAATCATCTCACCATAAACTAAAAGAAAACACTCGATTAAACTAGTGTCAGCCTATGCAAGGCAGCTTTTAGGCTATATTAGTAGGTAGGCATAGTTAAATGGGTAACTACTAGTAAAAATATAATTTATCTACTATTTGTGCAGTTATACAAAAAGAGTGGAGACATGTTTTAAATTGTGCAACAGAAACAGATATTCAATCTGCTACCAGATATGCAGTTTATGTATCCTAATATTGGGTTAAAAATATCCAATAAATTTGACAATTCACTTAAAATTTATCTTTATTATTTTATTCTTTACAACCAATTAAAAAATAATACAATTGTATTATTTTTATCACAAATAATGACTAATAGTTTGTATGTTTGTCACATACAAAATAAAAAAAAATGTATCTTTATTATATATAGTATTTCATTTTCAGTTCAAATATACAATTTTAAACTAAAAACATTATTAAAATAGTCAATACATATCAATGATTATTTTTATAAGTAACAAAGTATATTATAATTTATAACACATATGTTTTTGGTATAATAATTACAAACATTATTAATTTCACAATAGAAACTGTTATATATTGACACCATTAATAAATCTGAACTGTCAATCGAATTTTGTGAACTCTTTCTTACTATAATGTCTATGTATAAGCAATGGTAATTACAACATGTAGAGTAAAACATACAATCTATAAAATTGTAAATGTCGTTATAAACAATTTCTATTATGCTATAATTTATCTTAACATAAGACAAATTATTTTTTGTGGTTATTATTGGTTTATGTATCAATATATTATAAATGAGTTAACATGTACCTATAAAATATAATTTTACAAAAATAGTTTAAACAATTATATTAAATTATTATAATAACATTTTTTTCCCCTAATAGTTGAACACTTGGACTAGAACAAACAATTGTTAACAATCTCATAAACTTATTTATTTTTCATTTTTAAATGTATCAGAAATATACAATTTAGATGAAAACTGGTTATAATTAATAAATTAATATAATAATATAATAATAGTGTACCAGAAATAAAATCAATAATACTGATACCTATAAACATAATTACTTTATAAATTTGAATATTATTGATATGTATATCTTAAAATATGTAGTTTTTGTATACAAATTGTAATAATAACAAAATAGTATTATCAAATGTCATTTTTTTATTGAGTATCAAATTGATATAGTATCATTCTAATATTAATTCCCTGTAAAAATGTAAGGGATAAAAAATACTAAAACCCTTCAATTTACCAGAATAATTGTACAAATTAAAATAAAACTATTAACAAATTCACATACAATAATTATAGTCATAAATTAAAATTATAGTATTATTGCTTTCAGTGTGTACTGTATGTACACATTGAAGTTTATTGACCAATATGACCCACAATAATATTTTATGATACAAAATAGATTTACTTTATATTATTTTGCCAAATACAAAAATAATTTATCATCACTATGATGATGATTCCTTTTCATTTGAATGGTTACTGTTTTTTCGATTTATTAATTCTAACTGTTTTTTAAGGTTTTGGTGCATTTGTGTTAAATTTTCCTAAAAATAATAATAATGAATAAATTTACATTATTTAAAATTTAAATATTATTTATTAATTACTTTTTCATTTTCGAGCTTCTTTATTTCTTCATCATCTTCTTCTACACCTTCATCACACATGATTTCTTCCTGACTTAATCGTTCTGCTAATTGCTCCATGTGTCTCGATAAGTATGCTATTTCTGTTTGCACTTTCAAATACTCTTGAGCAAGCTAAAAGCATATACATTTATTTTTTTAAATGTACTCATAATTTATTCTTCAATAAAATAAATAAATAAATCGATTTACACTCGAAAAACAAATAAATAATAAATTAAATTTATTAGATCTTACAATTTCTATAATAAACAATGAATTTGATTTTAGTATTTACAGGAAATCTATACAAACTGATGCTATAATATCACAAGATTCTAATCACCTTTATTCTCAAAAATTATCATTTTTTTAAATTAATATTCTGTATGCATGAACATATTCCATTAAATAAACATAATTATCAACACGAGCTCAATATTATTTATAATATAGCTCATAGAAATAATTTCAATTTAAATATTATTAAAAAAAATTCATAAACTTATTAAAGAAAAAATAATACACAACTTGCCAAATAATGTTGTTAACTATTGTATGAAATATCAAAGTAATATGTCTAACAAATTCGTTAAACATTTTGAACAATTATACGAAAAATTTTAAAAATTGCTTTTAAGACTAATAATAATTTAATCAAACATATAAACAATAGAACTAAAAACTTCACATATAAAGAACACATTTCTGAAATAAAATTTTAAAAAAACTGCCCCTAATTCAAATTTTTGCCTAACATGTTTTAGAAAACAACCATCATATAAGTTTTGATATTAATACAGACTTAGAAATATTAAATACCCAAAATAACATTTATATTAATTCAGTTTTAGAAAAATTACACATACACAATGAAATAAAGAAAAATAATTTTAATAATATTTTCAATGTTCAAACCGATTTTCAAAATAATATTACAATACCTTATAATAATACATTTTAGATAATAATAACCAAATAATTTATTTCTATGTAAAACGACCAATTTATATAATTTTTTCTCTATGTATTCCTTCATGTATTTTTTCATATTCAGTCGAATTTTATTTATTGCCTGTGATATACCTGATGATGAATTTTTAATACGAAACCAGTCGTATAATACACTTATTATAATACTCCAGGCAACACATTCATTAATTTATTTATTTATTAGTATTAACCATTTTAATGATTTTGTTTTTACTTTTTTATTTTATTATTCATTCTTTCTTGAAAATATTTTAAACTATACAAAAAGGTTATATTAACGTTCAATAATTTTATAAGTTCTTTCACAAGAAAAATAAATTGACTTTTATAAAAATCAATGATACAAACTAGTTGAATTATATTTTATTAACCCACATGAATTTTACTAGGTTAAAATTGTATTTAACAAAATGTATTTCTTTCAATAAGGTATAAATGGAAAGAGAAAAGTAAAAAGGATATTGGAACACTGGACATTCATTAACAGGCTATATCCTACAAGATATTTCCCCACACAAAATTAATTAATATGTATCTATTATAACCCAATATGCTATAAGTATACGTATATCTGTACAAAACATTTTTTTTTTTTTTAACAACACTGTATAAATACAGTTTATAATTATTATACTATGTATTATATATACAAACTTTTATGAATGTGTAATATGTTTAATCTTGTTCATTACCTATTCAGTATAATTTATACAATTCATAAGTATTAAATGCTTCACTTAGTTTAAAAGATAAATACAATTTAAGTATTATCATGTTTTTATCATTTTTTAAAATTTTAAGTTAGTAAAAGTTTAATATAAATTATGAATACATATTTTTAAAATGTATTGTCAGAATTCGGAATAAATAATTTGAATTCAAATGTAAAATTTTTATTATGCATAGATACTTATTATATTTAACTTAAAACTATTGTTGTACTATATACGTCTATTAAGATTTAATATAGTTGTCCACAATCCTTTTTTGTTTAATTTGAGTTTTCATGTTTTATAAAATTAATTTAAAAGGCAAAGCAAAAATTAGGTTGTTTTGATTAAATATCTATCAAAAGTCAATTCTTAAATTATTAAACAACTTAAAACTATTTTTTAATACACTTATTTATTATTATGATCTATGAAAATATTTTGAGCTCGATCAAGGATAATATGTTTTATTTACAACTTTGACAGTCACAGACCATAATATAATATATAATCCATAATGTATAATATAACAAATTATTATGTACAAGTAATTACGAATAATATGTTTATGATTCACCCACAATGACCATGTGATCAGAATGACTAATGAATCAACCTGAATCCTATGACTATCATTGAGAACTTGATCAATAATACCAATAGGAATAATCATAACCATATATTATAGTATATAATCGGTTTTTTTGTTGAAAAATGTTTTAATTAATTAATCTATAACATACAATTTAATATGTTCATAGTATGAACATAATAGATCTGTGACTATCTATTTGTGTCACGAATAATAGATTCTAACATAAAAAATAAATAGAAGCTATTGTAGTTATTCAAATGAAAATATTAATAACAAAAATGTTCTTCTTCTCATTCGCCTTCACCACAGCTATTTGGAGTCCACCAAAATATTAAAATGTTAATAATACTAAAAAAATTTAAAAAAACATTAACCTGTTTATGTTCTTCAAATATTTGTACTGATTGCGGACAAGTGTTATCTGGTGGTATAGGATGCAGCTGTTGATCTAACATCAGGTACAAATTATCCAGCTCGGGATGTGTTCCTGAAACATCTAGGATTAATAGGTACACAGTATTGTTAATAAATGTACACATTATAATGCACTTATGTATTATTTAAAATTAAAATGTTTTAGAAATTATTATATTTAACTAAATGTAATTCAAGTAATTGTCAATTACATACAATATTAATAAGACGGGTCATTAAGTAAACGAAGCCAAACAAAAAGGCTACTTACTATAATGTTCGTTAGTGACGCACTCGCTAAGCTCACACATAGTTGTTGTTCGTCAGGAATCGAGCAAGGAAATAAACATACAAATACACAACACTAGGAAAGCACTACTCTCTCTACAGCCGTGTCGTGTCTAAATCTAGCTTAATGACTCACACCCTTTACAACGTGAGCCAGATTACTCCAGACATCTGGACCACAGTTCTGACATCCCGTTAACCACAAATCGCGGGAGTATTTTGTTAAATTAAAAAAAAAAAAAAAAGGCATACGCGTAACAACACTAAACTATGAATAAAGTAAATTAATATTTATGTAGAATCATTCTGGATGTAAATTATACGGGATAAAATAAAATAAATATGATTTTTTGCAATTTTTTTAATAAATATCTCAAAATAAATTATTATAAGATTATAAATAATTTGGTAATATAAATATTTGTATAAAACATGGAATTGTGCTTGGTTTGAATTTTCAAAAATCAAATATATTAATACATTGATTAATGCATTGTCAGGGTCGTTCAAGGACAATTTCGTAATCTCTATAGTTTTATTAAATATTAGGATAGTAGTCAAAGGAAATTACGTGTATATTATTGTTGAGCTAATAAATTTTTTGATGAGTCATATAAATTATAAACCTACCTATGTTAGTTTATAAATTAGAATCAGATAATCAGATAAACTGATGACTATGAGTCATTATGATTTTACAAAATTAACAATATATTTGATTGAATAATTTTTCCAATACATTTAAATTAGAAAACCTTTTATTAATATTTGAAACCAGGTTACATTTTTATTCTTGAGATTGTATCTAGATCAATTCAATAACCATACTATAACATTTAAAGTTGAAAGTGAAAACCTATGTCTAAATGAATAGTTAATTGGCTGTGGCATAAAGATGTTTAAGTAAAACGAAATTGTCTGCTTGTACAAGCCTATTTATTTTTGTTACTTTAATATATGATTCAAAAATCAAAATAATAGTGACTTATTCATTAGATGAGATGTGTGGATGTAGTGTAAAACAATCTGGAGGTCATTAACTAATTATTTAGGGACACCAAAAAAATAAAATATTCATTTAGGGGGTCGTGACAGTAAAGATTAAGAAACACTGGTGTAGATGATTGCGTCGCGTGAATGGTGGGATGATTGTGAAGAACATTATATGAATCTAAGGGCGTATATCAGTTCTCCCGGTATAAGAAATATAACTTCAAATGACCAAAAAATCGAAATCTAAGTACATTAACTTAGAAACATAAAAAATTCACCTATATAGTTGAAATTGTTTATGCAATCAATTTTTATGTGTTTGTCTTTACTGTCATTTTTCTTTTATCTATTTCTAACCTAATTTGGATAGATTTTTGACATATCAATGTACCATATATTTTGAAAATTCCGAATATATATTACACATACCAATTGAAATAAACAAGTTCTTACATTAAGATAATAAAATAAAATACTTTTAAATGTATTTCGTTTCTAAGATCATAAATATTTATAAAATGTTTAATACATTGCGATTCACCGACTGATGTATTCTTTATTCTATGTTTATTACAGTACGAAAAAAAAATGTTGATAAGGTATTGAAAAAAACAATATACGTCTGTTCAAATGTGAATACACTAGTTTTCAGGGCTATCAATTCGTTGGCATTAAATACGTACGGACATTAATTTCAAATTTTGATAGTTGGTACTTTATTTTGTTGAGATTATGTTTGTTATCACACCGGGAGAACTGAGTGTATTCCTGAATTTAAGATGTACTTAAATGTTTACTGTATACAATATATTTTTAAAAATATGTTCATCTTTTTTTAAGCTTAAATAATAGATTTACTGGAAAATAAACCATATACACAATAACTAGTTAATAAGTCTATTGAAAATATCTACATTATATTTTTCAATACCTACTTAAACTTTGTGTACCTTTTAAGATGTGTAATACCCAGTAATTAAAATGAGAACATAATTTTTCTTCTATGTAAATAATTGTTCAGCTAATAAGCTAGTTAATCTAAAATTGTTAATGTATCGAAGTCAGAATTTGAATAAGTAGGAGTTAGATGTTATTCAAATTCATTTTTTAATGGTATGCAGGTATAATAGTGATAAAGCCAATAAAGGTACCTAGATATACTATTGATATTGAATCAATTAGATAAGTATTTTTCCTGGGTTTAAAATATAAATTATTGGTTCTTTCAGACAATTTATTGTAGTATGAAATAACCCCCCCCCCCACACCCACAATTAATCCTAATTCCAAATCAACTTGTTTATCTATAGCGTTTAATATAGGCTAAAAATTGGCCTCGTTACGAGCATTGAGTAGGTAGGTACTTGACTGTTATTAAAAAACATTACATATATTGTTTATTGTCTGTAATTTAACTATAATATACCTAACAAAAATCCCGGATGAAAAGTCCGAACACATTTTTGGAGTCAGAGGAAAAGTCCAAAAACACAAAATATTCTATTCAATTTTTATTCATAATTAAACATTTATTACATAGGTATAAACTATATATTATATTTAAATTTAAAAATGTACATGTATATTATATTATTATATTTTTTTTTTAAAACAATGTTTATACCGATCCTTAGATTATGAACATAGACATCGAATAAGCTGTTATCTAAGCAGCAAAAACTATTTTTATTCATATTTATTTTAAATGATTTTTGACTATTGTTTTGCTATTATATATATATAGTATATACCTATATGTGTAATAAATTATAATAATTATAATTAATACATGAAAATTTAATAGAATATTTTATAAAAACAATAAAAACTGAATCAAGACTTTTTGTTCGACTTTTTTTAAAACGGACTATGTTAGACCATAGACTCGTCTATGGTAATAAACTCTAAACAATTGTTGTGGATGGTGTATACAGTAAGAATTGAAAAGGAAACGAACCGAACATAATACATAAAAAAAAAAAAACAAAAACGAAAATCGTTCGCTGCTTAGTAATTTATTATTAATTGTACAAGTGCCAATTGCATTATGGTGCTAGCCGGTCATTTAGTGTAGGTACCAGGTTTTTAAACACCGTACACGTCTTTGTGTTCCACTATAGGGTTATTTACGTAAAATCTAAATTTATCTGGCCAAGATCTTTATTAAGAGACATTTTTCACTACTTCCCCTCTTATTTGTTTTCCTTTATAAAAAGTGATTTTACAACTCTATTATAATGTGTTTAACATCATCATAATAACTACATATATTATATTTAATTTAATTTGTACATTTTGTTTCAACTGTGGGTATATTATTGTAATAGTAATAAAAAAGTAAGATAGACATTTTACCCATAGACATCCCTAATGGTATCTACTAAGGGTAAAAAATAATATAAGTATTATAGGCACACTAAAGTTTCATTATAAAAATGTCGATTATGAATCACATATAGTGTTAACATTATATTTACATATTTTTTAACCTTCAGTTTTTGGCAAATAAAAACAAATTTAGACTTATCTAACTCTGCATAATGTGTAATGTTTACATTTCCATAAAAAATATTTACAAATGTATAATACAATAAAGCTACTTATTGGATTCACTTACAAATCAGAATATAATAACAAATGACTATATACTTGAAACAAGGGAAGCAAGTGAAGCAATTACCATTTTTATTATTTTTTTAAACTGAAATAATACCACCTATTATTTGTGGAATATTTAGTATATGATAATTATATTATAAATAATATTATAGGTGTATAAAGTATAGAATTTTTTATTTTAAAGAAACATTTTTATTAACTAGAAAATAAAATAAAATTTTATTAAATCGAAAGGATCAGATGAACATTGGACATTATGTAGAACTAATAGGTCATGTTCTTTTAAAACACCGGAAACAAAATATTTGCATTGACACACAGTAACTGGCAAATAGCCACCACACTAATAATACAAAAAAACACTGGAATAAAAACATTAAGTTCTTAGTCAAATGATAAAAGAAACCTTTTTTCCAGTCAATGTATACATATATTTTATTATATAAAGATAAAATCCAGTGGTTTTAGATTTTTTCGCAATTTTGATGAAAATCATTAGTTTATAAATTGTGTCATTTTAAAACATATATTTTAACAGAACTTCATTCAGAATCATATTTTATGATATAGTTATACTATACTTAGTTAATCTAAACTTTAATATAGGTATTCAACGTCTCATCTACAATAGTGGCACACCCATCAACAATATTAAGTAATCCTTATTTTTATTTTTGTAAAACATCTAGATAACGCATAGATATAAGTTGACATTTTATTAATACAATAGATAAACAATCAAAAATGTAAAAACAATATTCTACTAAATTTAAGAGTTTATGACCAAAGGGTATAATAGCTTTGATAAATTTTGAATTCCATCGTTTATAGAATATAACAGAAATTGATATTGAATATTATATAATATGACAGAGTAGATTACAATTCTGTAATCTATTTTTAATAATTGTATACTTTTTAACACAAACATGTTGCATTTAAGTATATTGATAATGACAATCCCATGAAATTAAATAACCTATTAAACAATTTATTATTTATTAAGGATATATTAAAACTTTATTTTTTAAATATAAATATATATATTTAATGTTATTGATGACTTTGATGCCAAAATTACTAAAAATAACAACTGTATGTCTGTTTATATTATTTAGCCTGAAGCCATTATTCAGAATTAATCATTCAACATGAATAAAAAAAAAAAAAAACAACTTATAGATAACTATCAATTTCATAACTTAACATAATATTCATTCCAAACTTTAGACGTAGAAAATACTTGTACTTGTCAGATATATGTAATAATAAAATACAACACAAATGTGTAATTACTCTTACTATACATAAAAATATTGTAATGTACACAACAGATAATCTTTTGAACATTTTTTTTTTTTTTGGCTAAGCCGTGGGTCATTCACCATGTGACTCATGCTGATGTGATTTATTAAAATAGTAACTGGCATTCACGTGTCATCAGAAAAAATGATCTCTTTGATGGATCATTTAACTTGGCGGTCATTCGCCTTACAGAATTTTTATAAATAAATCAGAGTATTCAGTTATAAATTTTGATTTTTCTATTGAAATCATTAATTCAATGACCAAATGCATCTAAGCTTAAAATGAATTGCTTACATGAAATGTAGCAGATTTAATGTTTTCATAAATCAATAATTATATATGATTATAAACTAGATTACCAATTTAAATGTGATTTGTATAATTAATCTTCTTCTCACACATTCTGTTAAAATATATAGAAAGTTCTAAACCACCCAAAGCTTTTTTTATTTTTTTGAACAGTAAAATATAATTCGGCTTATTTTAAAGAAACCCAAAATTTGTTTCCACACAAAAACTTGAGTGAGATTTAAAATTACCCTTCTAATGAACCATTTTGTATTGAATCTATTTTTGTTATACATTTTGTTGGATGGTATCCAATTAATTTCTATTGTTTTTTTGTTTTATAAAGAAAATTTAAAAAATGTAACGTAGTCAAAACAATAATATCAATGAATCAATACAATAAAATTGTTAGTACATATTAATAAATATGTTAACTGAATAAATATCAAATTACTATTACACTCTTATAATATTGATTTTATTATTAGTTGAACCCTAGATAACATGCACGATAAATATTAAAGAGAATTTACACACACGGTGTTTTTGACCATATAGGTATACAGTTTTATATACATTATGTGGCACAAATCAATATTAAATAGCAATAATATCACTAATCACAATGAAAATAACTAATAACGTTTATTGGTGAGTAATTAGGAAACAAAGTTATCGCATCATAAAATTAAACTGTTTAGAAAAGGTACAGTATTTTAATGGGGAGCTTTGAACATTTCTAGATTACAGACATTTGATAATGCAGTAAGTTGGGAGTTCTAATTTTAATTTATAGTTTATAGCTAATATTTAAAATTTGTGAAACTTAATGAAATAAATTCTAAAAGCCTAGTCTTTTAAACACCAATGAACAATAGAGTTCTGGCACTAGAGTCAAATTCTCTGCCACCTATTTTGTATTATAGACAAATTTTTCATAAAACAATTAATAACCAAATACTATATTTATACAATACTATAATATACTATAACTGTTATTACAACTTCCAAAAAAATGGTAAGGACAAATGAATGCTGAATTTCCTAAAAGGCACACTTTGTTACAAACATAAATTATTATACAAAATTGCATCCCCCTGGATTCATTTAAGAGGCCTGTAGTAGTGTTTAATATTAAGAAAACACTGTCCTCCTGCAAATATACGAAGAGATTCATATTGAAATTTAACTCAACTTTATCACTTTAATTAGTCTATAAAACAACTCTGAGTTTAAGTTAATTTGATTCAGAGGAAGTAGCTAAAAGTGTATCATAGTAGTGAGTAAAAATGTATACAGAGTGATAAATATATTATAAGACACTTATTATATTGGACAGTATTAACTTTTTTTGTTTTTGAACATTTAAAAAATAAAATGCTACATTAATCTTGTTTTTGTTCCCTTTATTTTATAGGGCTAAAAGTTACCTACTTTTTATTTTTAAGTGACAATCTAGAAATATTAAAAATACCATACATAAGTATGGTAGTACTAGTAGTGAGTATTAGTTTAAATGAATTTTAGTGATTATAATTTTTAATTTTCGTTAACTTGTTGACGAGATATTCTATTTTTAAGATTTAGTGGAGGGGCGAGGGTAGTGATGCATCATTCGTGAATGACACGCTGTGTAGGTATTAATAGTGTTCTGCCACTCTCCCTCTGTCTAAACTTTAGTGTAATATGTTGTCAACAAATTAATGGAAATCAATAATGTCAACACCAAAATGTATTGAAATTAATATTCAATCTATTGGTGGAATTTGTGGTATAGGTTCCATTATAAAATTAAAAGTAGGTAGTGGTTTCACCCATTAAAATAAGATCAACCAAAAATAACCATAATTTAATATTTTAGAGCTACTTATTCTCTGTTTACTTATTTTATTTCTTAAATGTTCTAATAAACAAATTTCCAAAAAAGTTAATAGGTACTTTTTAAGATTAGTGTCTTATGTTTAAAATCACCCTGTATAAAGAACATTATAAGCTGCAATAATCTCTATTTACGGGAAAGTTTGACTAGTAAACATATGTGGATTGTTTATTTATTTAGTACAAATTGTTATTATTTATTTTATTTCAACATTTGTATACTTTGTCTACATATGTTCAATAGTTATATTAAATTATATCTATACAAATTTATCTAATCAATCATTTGTTCATGTATTCTATTCAAATTCAAAACTTGTAATATTTGTCCTTTTTTAAATATGTTTAATTTAAATGTTTTTCAATAAAATTTCTTTTATAATTTTTATTAACATTTACTAAAGTAGTAGGTTGTATACTTGTATCCTAATTAAGCATGGTCAATAACGTATCTTATTTTGATGATACTTTATTTTAAACTTTATGACACATTGGTTGGCAATCGATTTGACAATCAGTATATACAAATAAACATTACACATGCATATATATATATATAAACACACAAACAAATCCAATGTATTGACATATGCACTAGCCAAATGAAAAATTTATCACTATTCATTTGACTGGTTCTAATTATTTGTTGCTATTTATATAATAGTATACATATAACTAACCTTAACCAGAAAAAAATATTATTTAAAAACTATTTATTTTTTAACTAATTTGATGAAAAAAAAAAAATGTTGATTTAGAAATGCCATTAAATTGTTTGTTTTAATAAATACATATTTAATTTATGTTATTAGTAGGATTTTAATTATCAGCTGGGAAATGCATATTTCTCAGCATAACATAATACAATCAAGTTACAATACTTCAATAATACAATGAAACATGTTTGATTTTTTATGGTAGTTGGTAATATATTTTTTATAATTGGCTATATATTCAAGTATGAATTTTATTTCCATTTAATGTTGATTATAGTATAATAACATAAACATAGTTATAACAGCATATATTTCTTCTTGTATTATAATCAATTAGCATTTTTAGTTGCAGATTTAACTTACTTAAAAAAATGTGATTAAATGGACTTACTTTTTGAAAGCATTTATTAGTAATAAACATGGAAGGCTAAGTATTATTATTATTTTATTTAAAATTTTTTTTTGTTATTGAAATTACATAAATGATTAAATTAATAAGAGAAAGTAACACTTACTTTTTAACTATTGATCAACTAATTAATTATTAATACTTAATACATTTTAGTAGAATTAACTATACAAATTTAACATTATAGGGTATATTAAGAAGTAATTTCTACTTTTAAAAATCTATGCCGGAAGTAAAAATAATGCCTGGCATAATTGGATTATAGCGCAAAATACGAGTCACAGAGATTGTACTCAATAATTTTTAATTATTAAAATTTCAGACATACCTTGAAAATTATTAGTATCTTGATTTGGTTCATCTTCCCTGTCAGTTGAGTCAACAGTACGATAAGCACCTACTTTATCAAATCCAGGCATGGTTAAAATTTTTAAGTCTTCACACTGATCAAACTAATTAAAGAGAGAATTATTATAATATAAAATATATAAATTAATTTTTAGATATTTAAAATATAGATACCTTATTTTCTACATTAATATTTAATGGTATTGACAAATTTGGATTCGATTTTAAACTATCATTTGTCAGTATTCTATTAACTCCTTTATGACTTCCTACAAAAGATCAAAAACAAATTAATATTGATTTTCTAATGAACAATTACATTTAAAAAATAACTGACCAGTGGTTCAGACTACTATGTTTATATTATATTGGGCTAGAGTTGAAATTAGAGCTCTGCAAGGTTCAGTTTTTTAAAGATCAGACAAGACCAGTGAGACCAGGATTGAACCGGATTAATGAAATAAACTATGGGACTGGACTGAATTTGGTTATTTATTTGTTTTATAACTAAATAATAACAAATTGTGTTAAAGTATATTAAGACCGGACCAGACTAAACAGGATCTATTAGAAACTGATTTATCATTTTTACATTATATAGCTATTATAATAGAGTTCAGATATCATAGTCATAGTACAGTAAATAAAACATTAAAAAGTAATTTTTTAAAAAAAAAGTATTAAAAAAGTAGCTAAAAAAGCAAAATACAATTTTAGAAACATAATATATTCAATATTTGTAATATTTACTTATTATGTCTATAATTGTTTATTATTTGTAATAATGTGGCTAAATGTAAAATATGTAATATTAAATCAATAATCAAAACTAAAATGTAATAAAATGATTATACAATTTTCTAAATTTAAAATAGTCGATAACAAAAGAGCATCGTGTGTATTCATTCAGCTGAATATGATTACACCAGGGCCCAGATAAAAGTTTATTTTTCTATACATTAGGTAACATTATAATTGTTTTATTATACTCTATTGACATTAAAAGAAGACCATATTGACAGGTCCTAAAAATTGTTGACAAACTGGACCAGACCATAGTGAATTACAAAATAAAAAAAAACCGGATTGAAATTCAGTCAGGTCCATTCTGGAAAAGACTGTGAAGAGTTCTAGTTGAAACTGAATGATAATTAATGAACAATAATGTATAGAAAATTTCTGTAATCGACATCTTAATAACGATAATGTACTATCAATATATATAGAAAAAGTTTGTAATACGAGGTATTTATTTTTATTAGCTATGTATTTTTTGTTAAGTTATAAATAATGACTCATTATACATAAGCAGACATATATCTTATATCAATAAAAACTAAAAATTCATATCAAACTCCAAAATTATAAAAAATTGTTACATCACGAGATTTTCAAGGACGATTTTATTAATTTTATTATGAATTGACTGTAACAGTATTTAAAATGATCAGTAAAATTAATAGACATTGAAAAAATAACTGATTTTAAAGATTTTTAATTTAAGTAATAAGTAAGTATGGTGTACTTAAGTTTCAACTATGCAATTAAAGTTTAAGAATTTGTTAAGTATCCATTATATTACGTCCCCTAACTAGGTACTACCTAAGCCATTTTAAGAAACTGTAACATACTGGCTATGCATAAAATTATAATTTAATAAAATACAATTAACTATAACGTTTTAAACCAGTCATTATTTCTAATCAATTCTTAAAAACTATAATTTCGGTAACTATCACATAAATATTTTATTCAGTATGAGACATATTTTAGTTATAATAAATCAGGACATAATTATCTGATCAATTGATTGGTTAGTTGTTTGTGAATCCAGATCTTTATGTTATTTAAAATTAATTGGTACTTAATTACTATATTCAAAATTGATACATTAAAAATTAATGTATGTTATTGTATATTTCTAGATATAAATAATACATATATTTAAAAATAAAGATTAAACTAAAAGGAATAACATACTTAAGCTTTCTACATAAGAGTCTGGAATGTCTGGATAAGAATCTTCAGATGAAATACAGTCTTCTTCAAATTCACTACCTAAAATATGATTTTATATTATAAATTAAATTGTAGTATACATATTGATATAGTTTAATACATACTTAAAGTATAACAATCATTTGGATATATTAATGGTTGATCATGTCCTGAACAAAACTGTATCAGTATCCTCATAACTTCGACTACATGGTCCATTGATGGCCTAACATTAGGGTTTTGATCCCAACACCTATGAACAAATAAAATAAATACTACTACTAATACGAATAATAATAGATTTTTATACTCGGTAATTAATTTTTGGAATGGATGAGGACAATGTTCAAACATTGGCGGTCTAGTGCCTTTATGTACAGCCCACATAATTCCATAGGCAGATCCTCCAATTTCATTAAATGGTTTCTGTCTTGTTAAAACTTGCCATAAAATTATGCCCCAGCTGTATACATCACATTTTTCAGTATAATTTGAACCTTATTATAGTTTAGATTATTAGATAAATTGATTATAAATATGAAAATTATGAAAAATAAATTTGTGTCCAAATTTTAATCGCAAACCTTCAAACACTTCAGGAGCCATCCAAGCTGCACTACCTTTATTATTGGTCATATATGTTTTTTTATCACAAGCAGTACCAAAATCACATATTTTTAATGTTTTTCCTTCATTTACCAAGAGTAAATTTGGTGGTTTTAAATCACTAAAAAAAATAAAAATATAAAAAGTATACAATTTAATATTCAAAGCAGTATATATATGAAAGACAAATATAATAAAATACCGGTGTATTAATGGTTTAGGTTTCATACTATGGAGATATGCTACACCTTCAGCACATTGTAGTGTCCAGCTAACAGCATGACCCAAGTTATATTGAGGTTCAGGTTTACAATGCAATACTATGAAACACAAAAAGTAATTTATTAATTATATTACAATACAATATTATTATTTATAATACTCTAATATTTGTATATTTTATTTTATTCATAATACATTTATTTTTACAATTTTGATTTATTTATTTTTATTTATTCTACCAAATGTAAAGATAATGGGCCCCACTAAATAAGCTTATGTGAGGGCCCAGAAAATCCTAAATCTAACACAAATTAACACTAATATATTAGTAAATTTAATAACTTAATGAATAAATAATATAATTACATAAAGAAAAGACGGAAACAGACATATAATAACTAGAATATGAATTTCATTGATTTCAAGATAATACATACATGTTATCTACAGCTTGTTATAGCAGCCATTTTGCTAGGTATAATTGAAAGTTTCCATAGTTTAAACGACACATTTCTAAAGGGAGTTTATTAAATATAAAAGGGAATGAAAATTCAGTAAACACATTGTGGATTTAGGGAACAATGACACTACACAATTTATACCTAGTATTAAAATTGTGTTTGAAAGATTTATTTAGATTATTTTTTATTGTATAGATAATTGCTGATTTAAAAAAATGTTTCTTTATTGTTAAGACACTGAATTCCATGTATAAGTTTATATTTTTAAAGTATCGGTTCTTATTTAATATAATTCTTAATATATTATTTTGGGCTATATGAAGTTGATTAAGGTTGGATTTACATGCACTGTTTCATGCAATTGTATCATAAATAAGCAATAACTTTACCAAGTCTATATATACAGTTCTAATAAAAATATTGTTTAAAAAACGCTTTATTTGGCTAGAGGTATAAAAAAGTTTTCTTACTTTGATCACCAACAAATAGTTATGTGCTTAGTCAACTTAAAATGTCTACTCATTTCTAAACCTAAGTACTTAACAAACAAACTAACATTTATTTTATTATGATATGCACATGTTTCATTGTTAAGACAGTCATTCAATATTATAATATAAATTATATAGTCAGATAATGTATTACAAAAATTAAAAATACATAATTTAAATACAAAGCTAGACAGTAACAAGTTATTTTGGTAACTTTTAACTAGTTAAAAAAAAAAAAAAACAATGTTAATAAATACTATAGTACAATTATGATTACACTACTTCTAAAAAAAAAAATGGTAGAGATGGGGTTAAAAATTGAAACTTTCAAAAGGCATATTTTTGATACTAATGTCATGTGTTGTATATTAAGTATTTACGGATCAACAAGCATTTAACGTTTATGTTATATTAACTATAAGTATTACATAATCATAGCATATCATATTACGATCAGTGGGGACTGTCCACCGATGTTCGTCTCACACACAATATTTATGCATAACTTCATTCTGACTTACCGTTATCAATAAAGAACCATTTAATACATTCAAGTTATTATTCATATTAATAATACTTAACACCATGTATGCATGTTTTATTTGGGTAAGGGACCTGTAAAACTACTTAAATTCCCAAGTTTGAGATTATTTGGTCTAGAGGGAGCAACTTAAAGTTTCGAAAAGTAGCAAAAAAAAAAAAAAGAAAACAGACACAATCACACAATGTAGTGTAATTTAACAATATTTATTTTTCTTTTTTAATTATTTAATCGAAACTGAAATAAATCTAAAAATATTGTTAAGTATTAAATATTATATACTATTCCTTTGTTTTTATCATATTAATCACTTAGCTATAATATTTGTATAAAGGCAATATAAAAATAAATATGTACATAATAAATACAAAGTAATCCATTTAATATATATAATAATAATAATAATAATAATAATAATAATAATTTTGTATAACCATCAAAAAATATATCTTGTCTGTCCCACGAGAGAAAACAGGCAGTGTACTACAAATCCCCACGTCACTGGTTCAGTTGATGGGAAACAACAATCTGATTGACTGTTATATATGCTAACACTCAGTAAATAAACTTATAAATACCATAGAAACAGCCCATTCTCTTGTGGGATAGGTGGGATAGACTATAGACTTTTTGTCCAACTATTTTCAAATACGATTTTTCAACCTTAAATTTTTACTGTTACCTAAATGTCAATAAATTGTTTAATTTTATTGTAGGTAATACCTACTAAAATAAAAATCTTAGAAGGGAAAAAAATATTCCATTCTTGATTCAAAATATTTTAGAAAACTATATTCTATATATAAATATGAATACAAGATATACACATATTGTTATAGTTAAATTAATATTCCAAACAAATAAGGATTAGTTATTTATTTTAGTCAATTTATACTTAAAAACCAGACAAAACTATAGGAATTTTGTTTGACAGATTTAAATTTTGAAAATGAATTATAATTCTTTAAGTTTTTTACAAGGATATGTAGGAAGTAGAAATTAAATTATTTTACTAGGAATCATAAAAAAATGAATTGTATTTTTGAACATTTTTAATGACTAAAGATTGAATAAGTTAGTTATTAATCGTAAACAGAATTAAAATGAAAAAATAATTACATCATATAATAATCTCAAGAATTATAATACATTGTCAAAATTTAAATCAGTCAAATGTGATTTTTACAGTTTTTTCAGACTTTTCAGTATAAAACAGAAGTATTCTTTCCCCTTAGAAGTGAATTGGGCTAATGGAAATGTATTATTGTTATGGTGGACATTGAAATTTAAAAACAATACTCAATTTTTACAATATTGGTGAATATTTGAAAAACCATCGCAAAGTTTTTTTAATACCTATAACAAAATAAATTTTAAACACATGTTATGTAAAGATTATATAGACCATAATTTTCATTTCCTTTTACTACATAAGGACATTTTTAATTAAATATTTAAAAAAGTTTAATTGCAGAGAATAAGATAGGGATAATAATCATTTTATAAACCAATTTTAAGGTATTATTTTACCTATCTTTATGATAATAGATAGGTAATTTTAAAAACCAATTTTTTTAACAACACATTATAATAATCAAACCATTATATAATGATCCTCCTTCGGCAAATTCCATTACTAGACATACAGGATTTGATGTACACGCGCCATACAATTTGACAATATTGGGATGATTTACTCGTGATAATTGTCGAACTTCAATTGTAAAGGCTTTGCGCTCAGCTTCAGTATCAATATGCTTGACAGCCACATAGTTGTTACGCCATCGTCCACGATAAACAACACCAAACGAACCTTTGCCTACAATCTATAAGATAAAATAAACACACTGTTAGTATTAAAAACAACATTATGTTTATATGAGTACATAGGTATATATAAAAATATATACTTCGAGCTTTTCAATTTCATCATAATCGATTTCTTCCACAAATTTTGGTCTGTGATGTCCATGTGTTTCTTTAATAGCCATTTGGTTTGTGCATGTTCCACATAAGGCTTAGGATGTATTCGACAGTGCACATTGCCCCCAAACAAACGTTGTGCCGTTGAAGACTTGAAATTTTTAGAAAAAAGTATTGAGAATTACAAATTTTTATATTCATAAAATATTTTTCTATATTAGGTATCTATCTACCTATTTTATTATTTTACTATATTAATAAATATATTTGTACTTTTATTTTTTGAATTGCCTATTGTTATTCTTTCATAGCAGCTTGTGATTGATTGATAAAAATAAAATTAAGTGATAAATAATTATACCAATGTTAAAAAAAAAAATAATATATACATATATACTGTGATGTTCATTAGTTGTACAAGTCACGTGACTGTTAGCTTTATCAATTGATAACGGTAACCATGCCCCCCTATCAACGTAAATTGTTTTTTTCTTTTAATTTTATATAGGTACTTGAACCTTGCTTATAACTTACTGGCTACTGTTTGAATTCAATGATTATTAAGTTCTACCTAGGAATATTTTTGAATCATTGTATCAATTACATCCATATTACTTCTGTTAATTTCAGTAATATATTCGTAATTGATTCATGCCCTTTATGAAAAGTTTATGTTTTTAGTTTGGATATATCAGATAGGTAAAATTTAAAAAAAATATGCGTGCAGACCAAAATCAAAGTACTTCTGAGCAGGTTAATAGATGATAATAATTTTTAAGTTTAAAATTGATTATTCCTCATTGTGTATATTTTAATTTTCTTCAGGTGACTGCACTTTTAAATGAAGCTGCTGTGACTCCTGATGAGAACACTAAGCTTGATTTGCTATACAAAGTTAAGGAAGTACTATTGTATCAAGAACCAAAGTTGTTGACTCAATTTATTACTGATGTAATTGCATACCAACATGATCATAAGACAATGATAAGAAAATTTATTGTAGTGTTTATTGAAGAATGCTGGTAATTTGATTCATTTAGTATTATTTTTAAAGATATTTTATTTTTTTGTTATTTTTTAGCAATAAAGATAAATCAAATGTATGTATCACTTTGCCAAATTTATTGATGCTGCTAACAGATCGATCACCTATTGTTCTAAAAAGAGTGGTACAAGCAGCTTGCTATGTTTACAGAGCTGGCTTGAAATGGATATCAATGACTGATTTACCCAGTTCTGATATCTCCAATGTATGGCAAGACCTATCCAATTTGAAATCTTATGTAATTAACATGATTGATAATGACAATGGAGGGTAATCACCAATTAAAATTTTTCTCTATATTAAATGATTTATATTATTTTTTTTTTTTTTTTTGTAGTATTCGAACTCAAGTAATTAAATTTTTGGAAACAGTTATTCTTGTACAAACATATAAAGGTGAAGGTGGATTATATCATGATAATGATATGTCACTTGAGGATATACCTTTGACTCTTAAAGTGACACGTCGTAGGCGACTTGAAGATGAAGCTAGGTATTTATAGGTAAAAATAAATGTATACGTATCATGACATTTCTTTTAAATTATAGAGTGTTATTTGATCTTCTATCAAGATTTTGCAGTTCTGGTAATGTAGGTTGTGCAAATTTAATAACATGTATGAATTCATTGTCATTAATTGCAAAATGGCGGGTGCCATTCATTGAAAAAGTTCTAACTTCATTTGAAACTTTAACTAGTAAGTATTTTTATATTGTAAGTGTTGTATTTCCTATAAAAAAGATTGAATTTTTATTTAGTATAAATTAATATTATAATTTATAAATAAATATTAAAAAAATGAGATAATATTTATTAAAAATTTTAAGTACATGAGTTGTTCATGTATATTAGTATATATGTGTATGTATGTTATATCAACATTGTGTTACATGTATGTGTATGTTATATGCATGTAAATAGGTGTGTATATATTATGTCAAATTTTTCTTCATTAAATCTTTAGACAGGTTGTGAAACTCTCAATGTTTTTTCACATTTATATGGTTAAATCTGGCTTCCTTTGTGGTTTTGCTTCAATTAATATCTCATAAGTTCCAGTCTTTGGTTTTGTATTTTCACTAACTTCTACAATTTCTCTATAATCTGTGTTTGAGTGCTGATGGATTAATAATATTGTCTTTGTAATTTATTCAGAAATATGAGTTATTTATCAATTATATATTTTATTATGTAACTATACCAAACAAAAATTTAAATATGTTGTTTTTTTGTGGCCTTTATTACACACTAAATACATACTACCAATTACTGTAAACAAAATTGTTTAATAGCATTTAAATATATTATTTTAATATACTTATATTTAACAATATGTATATATTTTTATTAGAAAATTTACCTAATTCTTTGAAACAAAGTCAAAAAAATAGTGTTCTAAAGAATCTAAAAATGCAATTATTGCAATTATTACGTCTCCCTTCTTCAACAGAATACCAACAAACTATTGGAAGATTATTATTGGATATTGGTGCTTCTAATCAAGAAGTAATTATGCAAATATAAATATAAAATATCTATAATATCTTTGAATGTATAAAAAATTATTGTAATTTCTTTTTAGATTATGAAAGCACTCCAGGTACTCTCGAAAAATGACGATAGTAAAAAGTTACTACGATCTTTAAAACGTAAAAATGAAGATAAAGATGATAAAAAGTTAGACAAAGAAGATATACCAGAAAAAAAAAGATGTACTGAAGGTATTATATTCCAAGATCCTAATATTAATATTGTTAAGGCGTGGATTCTTGAAAAATTCACTCCAGAGTCTATTACAAACTTAGTTATGTTATTCATGGTGAGTTTATTATAATATATATAATTTTTTTTTTAATGTTTTTTTAGAACAAAAATAATATTTTTATTATATTATATAATTATTTTATAAAATGTTAAATACTTTAATTTTTAGCCGAAATTACCATCTAAAATGCCTTTAGCGTTTAGCGCTAATTACTCTCCTATTGCTGCAGCTGGTACTGATAACCATATACAACATGTTGCTAAATTGTTAGCTACTCAACTATGTTGCTCAGATGTTGTTATTCCTGGTCTACAGTATATAAAAAAAGAAGACTATGAATTTATAGATGAAAAAAACGAAGAAATTATAAAAATGGAAGATGATGACATGCTTCTAAATCAGCCAGCCGAACTAAATTTGGAAAACTGTTTAATTGATCCTACTGAAGCCGAAGAATTATCTCTTGATGCTTTACTTAGAATCTTAGATACTAGTAAAATTGTTTTGTCTAAACAATTTAAAGAAGTACACACAAAAGCTATAACTAAAATAGCTGTAATGTGTGGTGATGATTATCGTAATAGTAAGTTATAATATAAATACATTTTTAAAATAAATAGAATTTATGTTTATTTGTTTTTTTGAAGCTATACTCGATTATATAAATCTGGATATGGTCAATAATATGGATTTGTGCTTATCATGGTTGTATGAAGAATACAGTGTCACTCAAGGTTTTATTAAACTACCAACTGCATTCAGGAATACTCTATCTTCAGAACAAAATTATAATACTGTTTTATGCTCACTAATTAGAGCTGCTTTGGGTATTGAAGATCTCAAAGAAAAAGAAGAGTAAATTTTATTTATATTATATTATTTAGTTTGCTCAATGAAATTAATATTGAAAAATATAAAATTTGTATAGTGTTTTGACTACTCTTTATTTTGAGAGTCCATTTATTACTGATGATGCTGTTGAAATTCTGAAAGAAATAAGTCCTGATCTTCCATTCGGACTTACCATCCTCAATGAATTGGTTACTAAACGACCTCCAAGACATTTATTATACTTGAATGCACTTCTTTTCTTCACTTCACATAAGAATGAACAAGTAATTAAAAATAGAACTTAATATTCAATAATATGCTATGCTTGGAAAAAATTAATTTTCTATTAAAGTATTGAACATATTTTTAACATCAATAAATTAGTTTAAAACAAAAAGTTAAAATTCATTAAAAATACTACTTTGGTCAAATTTATTATGTATATATTTTTTTTCATTATATTTTTTATTATATTTATGAACATAAAATTTACAGAAATTATAATTTCGTTTTAATTTTTATCTTTTAAATATGTTTATACTTATATATTCTTAAGTATTTTTATCTAATAGGTCATGAGATTCATTTTTCATCTTGTATCAGGAAATATTTAAAATTTGATTTTGAATTTTTCAGTGATAGAGTCATTTAAGAATCATATTTGTACTATTATTATTCAATTAAAAATAGATTCATTTCCTGACATGCATAATTCTAAAATTTACAAAAATATAAATAGTTAACTGATAACTGTAACATGTATATTGGTCCACCAAATTATAATATATTGCTACCCATACTCAATTCAGAATAAAAAGACACACTAGTTCTCACATGCACAACATATGTTCATTTAAGAGTTCTAATACAAGTTAAAACTAGATTTTCAATACGGTAGAATCTGCTTAAGGGGAAAACATCGGGCAGTAACCTATTTATTCCTATTATCCAACTGTCCCCATTAGCTGAATTAATGAAAAAAAAAAAAACCGAAAAAACTATTAAAGTGTATATACACAGGTACATAATTTTTTTTGTAAAAATATGAGTAATATTATTCTAAAAGTTAAATGATTTCATAATGTGTATATCTGAACGAAGTTCAAAATCTTATTTCGTCAGTAATGGTTTATCGTTGCTTACAGACAAATTAAATTTATGCATCTTAACTTCCTATCTACAATAGTGGCGCACCCATGAACAGTATCAACTCGTTTTGTTTCAGTTGATTATACTTTCAATTCTCTTACCAATTAATACAAAATAATAATTTTTTAAAATTCTAAATGTGCCCTTGCTTTTCAATAATCTTATTTGATGTATAAATATAATTATGATTTTAACTTTGGTCCATTTCACACAGTATTGATCATTTAACATGTTTGTATTTAAGTTTCTATAGTAAAATTATGGATTGTGTCTTCTTCTGAATATGAAATATATTATGCTTTTAATTGTTTATTTTAACTGAACTAACTAAATTTTAGTTAATAATCCACCTTAGTTGCAAAATTTAATCAACATTGTTTGATAAGATCATTGTAGTATCTTCTTTTAGGTTATTATATTTATATAATAAAATATTTTTAGCTTCGAGAGGTGGCATTGAATTTTATCAGTAAATTATACGATTACAAAGACCTGAAAAATATTATTGAAGAATATGCTACATTTTATTTGGGATTTTTAAGATTGCAAATACCGCCTGAGGTGCTTTTTGGAAAGGGAACCGGTCGATTACCAAAATCTGAAATTTGGGATGAAGATTCAATTACAGCTTGTTTATACTTATATTTCATGTTAATGCCGTACAACTATGAACTAATTCATGAGTAATATCCTTAATATAGTATACTTAATATTTAATTTAATTATTAATAGTAATATATTTTAATTATCTACTAGGTTGGCAACTGTATTTACTTACACTCAAGGAGAAGTCAAGCGTACAATTATAAAACTTTTACCACAGCCTCTTCAAAACATACCAATGAATTCAGCTGAAATATTTAGACTTCTTGAAGACTTACCAAAAGGTGCTGAAGCAATGATAATCAGAATATTGCATATTTTAACTGAAAAAGGTAAATTGCTAGTTTTTATTAAATTATTTTTAAAATATCTACATATTTTAGCATTTTGTGAGAAAACCCTCTCTTGAAAAAAGAAAACCCTTTCTTAGCTGAAAAAACATTACTCTAAATATTTGAATTTAATTAAAAGTACAAAAAAATGTACAATTTACATAGAAGTACAGTTTTTTTGGAATTAAAATTGTTTAAAATTACTGAATACAGCATTTTTATTGGGTTTAAGCACCAAACAATTTTTTAAGAAATACGTCATTGTAATTTGTGGCTCCCTTGATTCTCTTATATAGTAATAACTTATCGCCATTAGCATATTATTGATAATCTAATATAAACAATTTATTATATGGGTGTAAAAATATCAGTTTATTTCAATAATGTTTACCAATAAAATCTATAACTGACCTAAATTATGTTTAAAATTGGTTAAATTTGGTGTAAGATTTTAAACCATGATATTTTACACACATTTTGTTTAAAAATTAAAATATCAGGAAAAAAACTGAAGACAAAATACAAATAATTTTTACATTTAAGTTTAATAACTCATAGGTTAATTAGTTTTAATATTAAAACTACTAGAACAAAGTTATTTCTACTGATATATTTAGGTATATCTTAATTTGTGGTATAGTGTCATCCTAGTGATCGTAATTGATAACTAGAAGAATTAATAATTAATTATACTACAGTCATTTTCTAGATTGTGCCATCATTAAATACGATTTTTGGGGAAACATTCACCCATAAATAATGAAGATAGGTTTAGCTAATAAGTATACAAATATTTAATAAATAAAGAGAAAAAGGTATTTCTTTATTATCTATGCATTCATAAGACACTATCACTATTCTATCTTGGATAGATAAATAGCTGGACTATTTTCAATCATATTGAATATCATGAACCACAGTTAAAGATATACCCTTAGATATATAAAACAATTTTAAAAAAATTCCATATATCTATGGATATACCTTTAGATTTATCATATATTATTTTTAATCGATATATGGACTGATAATGACATGGCAGGCGGGTGGTAATGGTGCGGTTTTTCGACGGAAAATACTTGCGAGTGGTATCCACGAACCGCAACGATGTTAGTGGTGTTTTTCTGAACTATATAGTATACGTTGTAAATTGTTCTATAGTTTTTCTGTTCATAGTTCATGGCATAGAGTTATAACCGTATGATTTACAGGTAATATATATATATCGTAAATATTATCTTTTTATACCACGCGATATTGTAATTTATATACTGACCACTCATGGAGCAATATGTATACAGATATATAAAAATATGAAAAAATATATTGTTATACATATATATATATATGACCGTGTATCACACTATCACCTATAGATAATTCTTCTATTATCTATGGTATCCCTTGCTTATCACCCAAAAATATGTGTGATTTTAAAATGGCCTACTAGGTCCTAGTAAGCATCACCTAGTGGCGTTTTAAAAAATGTATACGCTGTTATCATTATTTAATTTATAATAATTGTTTAATACATTTTTAACTTTTTACTCTACTTATTAGTTATTTTTAAATAGATTGCCCAGTTTACTTACTAAATAATTTTAAAGTGAAGTGAATTAATTTTCTTAATTAATAATTATCAATCACGCATTACATTCATATTATTTAATTGTATAATCTGGTGTGATGAATCCGCCCAACCCAAAAGTTTCCCCTGAAGCATTAATTGTAGCTCAACAACCTGAGGAATGTTTAAAAACTAAAAAACCAGAAAGTCCGCCTGAAAGTATCACGTTCGACTGTCCATACACTTTACGCAAGACCTCTCAATTACAATTCCACAGTAGACTTTGGACTGTTGGTGACATTGCATTAGTGGGTGAACCGAAAAAAAATGCTTTTGTACAAATTATTGAACTATATCAAAATGCTTTTTGTGAAAAACGCGCCAAAGTCATATGGTTGGCACCTAAAGTAGACAATAAAGTCATTAATTACTCATGTTTTAAGCCCAACGATTATAGGCATATCAATGTTGATAAAAGATTAGTACCAATAGAATGCTTAAAATTTATTATGAGGGTTCCAAGCAATTTATTCGAGTATATAGAATATATTGGTCCAGATTACTTGATAAATACAAGTATTTTATCACACTCAGAAAGATATCCAATATCCGATGTTCCATATAAAGCAACTAAATCTAAACCGAAAAGTAAAGCACAGAAGCGAAGTGCTAAGCAAGCGAACAAAGTAGTAAAAAAAAAATGATCTTTCTTTATATTATAAACCAACATTATTGTATATATTAAATTAATCATTCGCCAAAATTACTATTATGTTATAATATTTATTCCTATCAAAGTGTATTTATTTTGGAAATATTAGTAAATGATTATAATATTATGATTTTTCTTAATAGGAAAATGTTTATATTTTATAGTCATGTTTTTTATTAGTACCTATATTACTATTAAACTAATTTTTTTTTCATATTGTAATGTTTTATTTTCAATCAAATATTATTTACTAGCTGTTCTGCACAGCCTTGCCCATGTACAACATGAATGAAAATATACTATCTATTTCAAAAATCTTCCCATAAGGAAACTACTGAACAGTTTAAATATAATTTTCGTTTTGTGAGTACTATTATTATAGTACTCATAGTATGTAGTCTATTTTAAAAGGGGGATCTTACCTGTGATAACCAAATTAGATATGAATAATATGTGCCATCAGGTTAACCCATAAATAATAATAAAAAAGAATATCAATTTGCGAATTATAAGATTAAAAATAAAGTATTCACCGTGTTGAACTCTGGGATAGAAGTCGAAATTGTGCTTGAAAACCTACCTTGCAGTGAGAGTCCCATTTATTTAGTTTAACTTTTTTCTGGATTACCAAACAGACAGACTTTTAAATTGTATTATATGTAGATATAGATTCACTAAAATGTATCGCTTATATTTTTGTAAACAATTTCAAAACTACTATAATATTGTGTCTAAATTGGTTTAGAATAGATTTATTGATAAACTATGAATTTTTAAATATTAATTTTAAAATACATGTAATATGCTAACTATTCGTTTATTATGAATTATGGTTGGTCTATATTTATCTACTTAGTTCCTTTTACAACATATACTTTTAAATTTGAATATATAACCATAAAATATTTTTGTTTTGTGTACTTGTAAATAATAGGTTACAATTTCTTTTTATGTCCAATATATTATATAAACAAATTACGTGTTTTGCATTGTGTAAATGTTGATTTTACAAGTAATAATATTTTGTGTTTATTATATTTACTTATATTGAATGTATTTGTATGATTATTGCCAACAGTATTGTAACTCATAATTAATAGTATACATATTTATATTATAGTATCATTTAATAGAAATAAAAAATAGCAATAATGTTTCTTGTGTGCTGTCTATAGTGATGGGTATTTAATTAATATTTTATATAATAATTTATTTAATAATAAAATAATTTACAAAATAAGTCATTGTCTCCAAAAATAAGCGTGACAATTAATAATGGCAATGTAACATGCAGTTCTAACTGCATGTTTCTTAAATTATCGAAAACAAATTTATGTGAAATAACGAGTGTTATACGTTAAGGTGCCTGGTGCATTTCGTTTTGCCCAGAAAAATCCATGCTACGGAAATAATGATACTGTTCTCTAGAATCAATCAAATTCATTATTTATTTTTTTTTTTCAATTTAAGGGATGATATGTCAATCAACTAGATTGTGTGTTGGTAAACTTAAGATTGAAAAATACAGTTATAGACGTAAGAAGTGCAAGAGGAACGGACTGTAATTCAGATGAAATATAAGAGGAAATAAAATCAATAATACAGGAGAGCAGCAATAGATGCTATTTTGGATTGAATAAGCTGTTTAAGTCAAAAATGTTGTCTAGGAGCTTAAAGGTTCAACTGTATAGAACTCTTATTTGGCCCGTGGTGATGTACAGATGCAAAACTTGGATGATGCATAAGATACAACAAAATAACCCTTTAGTATTTGAACGAAAAATTCTGAGGTCGATTTTTGGCCTTTGCATAGCCAGAAATACAGGAGAAGGGAGAATCAGACATAATGTGGAGATCAGGGAACTATATCAAAAACCAAACATAGTTGACGATATAAGAAAGATGCGGCTTTTTTGGGCTGGTCATGCATGGTAGAAGGAAAGAGCCGCTATACATAAAGTACTATGAGGCTCTCCAGAAAGTGTATGACCAATTGATTGATCAAGATTGAGGTGGGAAGACCAGGTGTCGAAAGATGTGGAGCTGGTTGAACCGGATGATGATTGGCGAGTCCTAGTGGAGGATAGGATAAGATGGCATGGCTTGTGTTTGCCAGTTTAGTCTTGAAAGCTGTCAACTAAGAAGAAAAAAGTAATGGAAACCAAAATTTAATGGGTAGCCATTTAATCCAACAAATAAATAATTTTAAATTTAATTTTATATAATATTTAAAAATACAATAAGTTATATTAAAATGCTTCATTTAATATTTAATTGCCTCTTCCTCCTATCAGACACTAAAATATGTTTCAATAATACAAATCTGAAATAATAATCATAAATTCAGAATTACATGGAATATGTGTAATTAAAATTAAGTTTCAGGTATTAACTACTATTAAGCCATATAGCTTATAACAGTAAATATTGTCAGTTATAACTGGAATCTAGACTAATATTCTGTTAAAATATTTGAAATGTGATGTTTATATGTAAGAAAAAAATTTAACAATTAATCTTCATCACAAAACAAAAAATTAACCGTTAACTAAAGTAGTAAGATTTAGCCCCTACATCAGTATACTTATCTGTGTCATAATAATCATACATATTATTTCCATTTTTAATATTGGTGAGTCAAAGGTATATTCAGATATAACCCTACTATGAATATGAAACATAAACATTTCTCACTACCATCAAACAGTATACATCCATTAAAATATGTTTTGCTTACAAATCCTGACTCTAGCTTAACACTCAAAAGTTTTAAATATGAACACTTTTAAATTGTCTATAACTATGTTTATTATAATATTATATGTATCATATTAAATCAAATAGATCGATTAAAGAATCTCAAAAATAAATTGTCTACATAATTATGTGTTTCATTTATTTCTTTATTATTTGTATGTTCATTGATATTATGTTTTTTTTTTTCTGTGGAAAATTCTGTAGTATTTACATACATTATTTACTGTCATACAAGTAGGGATGTAATCAAGATTAAAAGTAGTATATTTATGTCAATTAATTTCTTTATATGGAATATTAGGTTTACATTATTATTTGTAATGTAAATTAAACAAAAATTATCAATTTTTTAATAATATATTAACTGTTATATTTCTTAGCACCCCTGAAAAGTGCTGTGCTGTATGAAAGGTAATTTTATTTAAATAAAAACAATAATATAAGTGATCTGTATACACTTAATAATTTCTTATTTTAAAATTTAAGCAGAAAAAGGGAGCTTTACAATGATGTGTTTTTTTCTAAAAAATAATATGGTCTAAGTTTATTCAATTTAAGCAGGTTAATAATGTATTTTATTTTAAAGCTATATTCAAACAAATGTTGAATAAAAACATTTAGACATTTATAGACTTAAAATTTTGTAAGAATTATAAAAAAAAAATTTAGAAACCATTTGCATACTGGATAATACACATTTTGGAGTTACTGTATCTTTACTTTAACATTTAGATTATAAAACTATGATGAATAATTATAATGTTTAAAGATAAAAACCAATACTGAGTTGATTCAAAACCTCCAGTAAATCAAAATTTTCTCACCTATAAAATCTCTTAAAATATTCTATATTAATATGAAAATGGCCTAATTTTTGAATTCCTGTATTATAAAATAGGAATTTCCAAAATGTTAACTTAGAATCTATTGTAACAGGACTAATTATACTATAAAATCAGCTTGACATCAAATAAATACACTTATCATGTTTTCTATTAGAACATTTAATTTGAATTATTTCACTAATATTATATGTGTATTATATTATTTTGTTTTTGTTACTTAGAAACTCCATCAATTGAATTAATATCAAGAGTGAAAAAATTATATGACAAACAGATAGTTGAAGTGCGTTTCCTAGTACCCATATTACCTGGCTTGGATAAGAAATATATTTTAAACGCTTTGCCTCAACTAATTAAACTTAATCCTAATGTAGTGAAAGAGGTATGTTTGTCTTAATAATGAATTTTGTTATATCACCTAATTTTGTATTACATATTTATTTGTAACCTCATCAGATTTTCAACCGAATATTAGGGATAAACTATTCAAGCTCAAATACAAATCCTCCCGTGAGTCCAGCTGAACTATTGATTGCTTTACACACAATGGATTCAGATCCTAATGATCTAAAATATATTATTAAAGGTACAATAGTTTTAATAGTAATAATAATTAAAGGAAAATTATGTGTTTTGTATTTTTATTGTAAGTATACAATTATAATTTATTCCCATAGCTACATCATTGTGTTTTGCTGAAAAATCAGTATTCACACAAGAGGTTTTAGCAATTGTTATGCAAAATCTAATGGATGTAAATCCATTGCCAACGTTATTGATGCGTACGGTTATACAATCTCTGACAACTTATCCACAATTGATTGGTTTTATAATGAACATATTGCAAAGGCTTATACTAAAAAAAGTATGGCATCAAAAAACACAATGGGAGGGATTCGTAAAGTGCTGTCAGAAAACCAAACCTAATAGTTTTCAAGTTTTACTACAACTGCCACCCAAACAACTAGACGATGTCTTATGCCAGTGTCCTGAAATGAGAAAACTATTATTAGATCATGTCCTTAGTTTTACTGAAGTACAGGTACGAATTTGATATCAGTTTAAAGGGTTTTCTTTAAGTAAACATAATGTTTTTCTTTTCAAAGCGGTCACATATCCGACAAGCAATAATGGATGTTATTTTTGGTAATCAATTGGAAGTTCCGATGTATCAAAATTTAAAAGTGAAATGTGAACCCATGCCCAAAATAATGAATCAATCTGCTTCTGTCATTGTGAGTAATATTATATTATAGTGATTAAACATATACAATTGTTTAAATAACTATGAAAAAAACCAAGAAAAACCTGGAAAAGTTCCCGAGAATTGCCCTTAAATGACGAAAGTATCTAACTTTCTGACTACACATAATGACACGACGCTTCGAAATAGCAAAAAATTGAAATATTTATTTAATTTACTCTTATAAGATTCATACTGAATATCATATTATTCATATAAATATCATATAATATGTCCATCTTGTGTAATTGTGAAGTTGTGAGTTTTGTCATTATGTGTACATTTAAATATACACAAATTAATTAAAATGAAAGATTAAAGGTTAAATAATTTCATTTTAGTCGCATTCTTTATCATATAAAAAAAATTACAAAGTTTTCACTACCATTAAAATATAAAAATCTAGCCTTTTTCATCATTTTAAACTACATACAAATTACTTGTGTAATCTGTTTGTATAATCGGACACTGTAATGTAAAAATAATAGTTTGTTATTTATTTCCAATCTATTTTTAACAAACTAATATACTGTTTCTTTTCCCTAGAGTTCTTTTGCCTATCACATAGATTTTTCTTTATGTCACGTGATTTTTTTAAACAAATTTAAGTTTTAACATAGGTAGTACAAATTTGAAATTAAATTTAAAATTGTTTTTTCTTTACTTTTTTTTTTTTTTGATACTATATGGCTATATTGGTCTGTTTTGTATTATTTTTTCTTTTGTTCATACTTCAATTATTGTTTCTTTTAACAGTGCTTAAATTAATACTTATAATTACCTACTGTATTATTTTCCAAAGAGTCTTTTGACTTGTTTAAAATTAAAATAAATTATACTAGGGCCCAGTTTTTCAATGATATTTATCCCTCAGATAATGCAAGTTATTTGACAGATGGAAAACATTTGTCCATTTTTCATTGTCAGAATAAGATTAATCGACGAATAATGTTTAATATGGTCTTCTAAAATGATACAATTTAAGAGAACGTTATACCCCCATCTACCTAACCTTATAATACTTACGCAGAATAAGTAAAACTAGCTTAATTATTTTGATTTTAGAGTAAAAGTACCTATAATGCAATTTATAGAGAACAATATTTTTGAGGGCATGTCATTGGTGGTTTTTGAATTATGAACTATTAAAAAAGTTATAGTTATTTAAAAAATAAAAAATAAAGGTTTTTGTGTTTTTTATATCAAGCTGTAAATTTTGAATAATAGAAAAACCCTGTCATAGGGTCTCAAAATGTGGGTCATATTTTTAAATAATCATTTTTTTAGATTTTGAGTGGAGCGAAGAATGTAATGGTTTTACAATGATGTTTACTTATTTATTTTTTCTATCCGTGAACAACTTTTCTACTAGATATCTTACTCCGATTTATAAGTGTGGCACTTTTTCTGAAAATAAATCGGACTGGGATGGTACTTCTAAAAAGTAATTTTTGATGTTCCCATGAGTTTTCTCAATATGTAGTAAAAATGGAAAAAAAAACTGATGAACAACGGGAAAATGTACGAAATATAGGTTTTAGTTAAAAAAAATACTACGGCTTTATTTTTTCTATGAACAAATATTTTACCAGTGAATTGGAAACTAGAGTTTGCGACTGAATAAATTTCACAAATCGTCCAGAAATGAAAAATGGACCCAAAAAAGGGTCATCGATATTATTGTGGGTCGCTAAAATTTAAATTATTTCCAAAATGGGTCTCGCCATAAAAATTTTAGGAACCTCTGCCTTATTGCTTTCCCACCAAAATATTGTTCTCTATATATTTCATAAAAGGTGCTTTTACTACATGTTACCCTGTAGTTGGACTGAGGCATTAGACGTGGGTATAACGTTTTCTTAACATGTGACAATAATTTAATTTAGATGAAAAACGGAAAAGTGGTTTTGAAGAACATTCCCGGGAAGGTAATTTTTCTCGGGAATTTTCCCCATGGGACATCATTAAGCATATTTATGATAAATTTCGAACTAGATTCTGGATAACATAGACGATTTTAATAAAATTGCAATTATAAAAATTAAATTTTAAATGAATATTAGCGTTGAGACATAATATTATGGAGGAACAAAAAATAATTTTGGTGGGTAATACCATTGGTTTTGTAATAGACAGATAAGCGACGCTGTAGAAACACCGGCCGCCAGTTCCAAATATTCGACGGCTGTCAGCGGTCGGTGGGGTGTACACCTATCCATACTGCAGCAATGCATGATTTCTCATGTATCCGTCTAAACTATAATTAACTTGTCAGTAAATAAATGGTATTTTGGAAGTAACATTCTCAGAATATTGCGTTGATATTAATTCTATTATTACCTGTTATTGTCGATGTAAACAAATGGCGTAAATAAATAATTTGAGTCGTAATTAATTTAATTTAATACAAAATACAAAAGAACAGGCCTTTTCTAAGTACCAAGTTTCTGACGACGTTATTAAACATTTTTGCGATTTTTTTCACATAGCTGTTCCAAGTATTTCCCCAAGTTTCCCCGCGTTGTCATTTTTTCATTTTTTGACTGAGGAAGACGAGGAACAGACAGGAGGGAGATATATTTTGGTTAAATATTAACAATTTTTCGGCGAGACATTTAAATGATTTTACGAAATATTTTTACCCTTAATTGAGTACACACAAATAATATATCCGATATCGAATAAACGCAACTTGGCGTCCCTGTTTGATTATTTTAACTTTTGTTCGCCGTTTTTTCTAAACAGAAATATTGCTCCAACCGAAAAATGACAAGTGATTGATTTTGTTCCTTTTAATATACAGCCAAAAAAAGACGAGAAATACGATTTTTTAAATTTGTTTAAAATTTTGTTTTCTATCATAAATATTGCTCCAACAGAAAAACAACAAACCTTTGTTGTTGAATTTTTCATACAGTTGGTGATTAGGAAAATCGTTTTTTCATTTTATCTGTAGTTTATTTTAATAATTGAACGAAACCGAAAAATACGTAGAAAGCATAGGAAAATTTACGAAAATAAATGCTTTTATTATTTTAAATTTAGTTTTTTTAAATTTAATTCAGTTAAAAATATTCGTAGAAACTTGAAATTTCGACAGAGACCTAATATTATTTTTCTTCTAGACATGGTAAAATTTTCAAAACATTTAAGCCATTTTTGATAGACATTTTAATTTTACCAGGTTTTTACGTAATTTTTATTTGGTAGGTACTCTGTAGATAAAATTGTTTGTTAAAACAGAAATGCTTGAAAATTTGAGATGAGGTTCATTATAAGTGGTTCATTCTCAAGTTGTCAAAAAAACAACTTTTAATGTAATATAGTAATTTTTTTTTTTTTTATATATATATATAAAAGTTTCAAAATCAAATTTTGACGAAAATTGTAGATAATACGGCCATTCAAAACACGTATAACCGAATTCCGCTCAAAATCGTTGAATAAATGTATACATTCAATTCCCCTTTATATCTTACCTTTCCCAACTATCTACTTACCAAAGCGGCCATACCCGTTTTAAGTATCAATTCTTTTTTTTTTTAAATATCTGTGAATAACTTAAATTGTTATGGTTATATTTATTTGTATAAATATTATTATTTCCAGATTTCTATTCTTAGTTCCTTCATTAGTTATTTATACTTGTTCTTATTTGTCTCTGATATTCTGTTTTACCTACTATTTAAATATTATTAGATCTTTGGTCTGGATACAAACAGGTGGCATATTAATAATTTTGACGGAACGAACTGGAAATCTATTTCGGTATTAATGCCGATAACGATTATTCGATAAAATTCGTAATAATATAAATCGAGACACCAACACGACTCATTAAGATATGATAATTATTTGTTCATTAATACTACGCTACTCATCGGCAATCCGTATACATATTATTTTATTCACTGAAAACGACTAAATCATTGCTTATTTATTATAAAATCAATGGTAATATTAAAAAATAAAATATTTATCTTTAGGTATATCATTAGGAATTAATTTGTTAAGTAAAATTTAAAACAAAAATTTCCGAAGACATACGTTTTATTTTTGTAAATCTCTCCACACACAGTACATTGAAATAATTAATGTTAAACAAACTAAAATTCAAACAGAGTTTTTATTCCTTTAATGCATTATAAAAATACAATATCATTGAAAATATAACTTTAAAAGCTGTAAATAGTTGATATTAATAAAAAAACGACCAGACTACCTTATCAAAAAAAAAAAAAACCGAAGTGTTACATTACAGAGGCAAAATATCTCTAATAAAGTATACATTTCATGAATTTGCTAAAGTAGTAATCATACAAATAGTAAATATTTGTATAAATGTATTACTTACAGGACTGCTAGTGAATCACTAAGTCACTTTTTTTAGAAAAATCCAAATTTAATCACTTTATTTTTATTTACTATTGTTTATTAATTATTCTAGGGACGCACTACATTTTTTTTCATCACTGTAGAAAAAATTGATTATAATATTATCAAAAATGTCATCATACAAACTTGAAATATAATAATTATATTAATTATTAATTTGCTAGTATTTTTTTTGTTACCTGCACTAATTAGGATTTATACCAGTTTACGGGAGAATCGGAAAATTATTTAGTTGGAACTATATTTTAAAAATATTTCTTTGGAATTTAAAATGTATTAGTTTAACTAAATAAAGTTAAATTGATATAACCAATTAATTTTTTTTAAATTTAAAAAAAATGTTATTACTTTTCACTAATAAGGGGATTCAATACCGACTGTCATTTTTATCGATATAGATTTTTACTATGCTAATTGTATCGACTGTCATAGTAATAAAACTTCTAAAAATATGCTTAAATTAGTAATGAAGTATACTTTAAAACGACTATCACTTTTTAAAATTACACTTTTTTTAAACCCTTCAAAAATTTGAAAATTTGAATAATATTGAACAAAAAACAAAAAATAAATAATGTTAACAAAATAACATCTCATTCGAATTCAGTTCACATTCATGGTTAACAAATTATTTATGATGTGTATATTATATATTTGTTTTAAGAGACTGTTGTACACGCAGTGTTGTCTCTGTCATACAACTATACGACATAGCACATTTTCTTTCAGCAGGGAATATTCTGCCCTGTCAGTTTTAATATGAGAGTGAATATTCCCCAACTTGAAGATCAGAACATTATCTGTGTTCTGTCTTCATTTTTTTTTTCTTTGTAATTTAAATTTTCAAATGATATTATATTAGTATTAAACACTACAATTTTGAGGGTTCTGTCACTGGACAACATTCCTCATATTAATCATGCTAAGCAAGAAAAATCAAAACACATTTGCTTATTGTGCATAATTTGTTATAGATTGTGTATTTTTCTATTTTAATAGAAAAAAAAATTATCACATTTTAAAATATTTATCTCACTTAAAAATTAAAATTAACTCCAATATTAAAACTAATAATACAGAGTTGTCTCCAATAAATGAAAATGTACTATGTCGCATAGTTGAAAGACAGAAACAGCACATTCGGGTACAATGACCTCATAAGAACAAATAATATTGTGTAATTTAATTTTAATATTAGTACTGAGTAAAATAATTATTATATTTTAATTATTTTTGTTATTGATGTATATCATTTGTTAGTTTAAATAATACAAACTCAATAGAATAAGACTGAATTTACTGTGATTATTTGTGCGTTGGATGAGCTTACATTATTTATTATTATTTTTTTTTACAGACACAGGAAAAACAGCTTACAGAAAAAATATTAGATTTGAATGAAGATGAACTTAGGCCCCCTGGCGATTGTGATGAAGACTCAATTAATGGAATATAAATGTTAACTATTACATTATGTCTGATTTATTTATATTATTTTTCAACTTAAATAACAATTACCAATGTTTAAGAATTGTGTTTGAACACAATATTATTGTGTTAAACCTTAAAAAAAGGTTTATTTTGTATAGGTACACTGTATATATTATAACATTTTTAATAATAAATTATGACATTATAAAGTGAAAAAAAAAAAAAATCAATATGCCTTGTTTATGTTGTGAATTATCCCATAAGCTCCTTGGTAACGATTTAAGAGAACTATCACAACATATTATACACTTATGCAAGTTTTGATAATTTATAAGTTCAGCGTTTTGTTTATTAAAATAAGTTTAAACAAGTGTAATTGTAATAGTTTAATTTTTAAGTTAGTTAAATTATTAATATATATATATATATGCGTTTTTAAAATGTCTGGTAGAGTAGATGGATCTAAACTACCGAAAACTAGTTCAGAAATTATTAGTGAAGCAAAAGCAGCTTTAAACACACCCCTATACATAAAGCCACTGTCCACGAATAGGCCGTTCACCCCGCATGAAAGAGTGTTCTTCTGTCAACGACGAACAAATCGACCGCCTAGTGCTTTTAAGTATTAAAAACTAATTTTTTCGTAATTTTTTTTTTATAATTGTACATAATTAATAATATTATAATATTCTTCCGTATATGTATAATAGATTGCAACACATACAGTTCCAGGAAAAGAAAAAAAGTAGTTGTACAAAACTACCAGCTCTCGATAAGCCAAAATATACAAGTAATATTTTAATTGTCTCACAATATTTTAATGGAGTATGTGTATCCCATTACAATTATTTTATTTTTATTAAAGACTTTAATAAAAAACAAGTTAATAGACAATCTCAAAGTAGTCCACCAAGTACAACACTCCATCGGTCCAATTCAGATGTGGCTGACAACTCAAATATAACCAAAAATCAAATATCATCATTATCGTTTCCACTTTCGATTGATGCACTTCTTAAGGTATAGATACTATATATACTATATAGATACTATATATACCTAATTCATTTACTGAAACTGAACGTTTTGATTTTCATCTATTTGGTATTTATCATATAGTTGACTTTATACACAGCAAAAACTCATAAGTTGTTTTTTTTCCTATAAATAACTTTTCTATCAGAAATCAATTTAAAATTGTATACAATTATCTTGTAGAATTTTTGATATATTTGGTGCATTGAAGAATGAAAATGTAATTTTCTTATTTTCCTTATAACAGTAAGATTGTTTAAAATCAACTAGCGAGTTTTTGCTGGATGGTTGATAATATTTTTTTCTGATTAAATATGATAATTTATTTAAAAATCGAAGAAAAAAAATCATTATATGATTTAAATTAATAACGCAAATTTGTGAGTAATATAGGTGTTATCATTTTAAACCATGAAATGTATAACCAATATTTAATTATATATTTCTCATAGGTAACTTATTAAACTCATAACTCATTAAATTCAATATATTGAAATTATCATCAATATTTTTTTTTTTTAAATACTTTGATTTTAGGTACATATGGTGTAGGTATGAGTACACCTACCTATCTATAGTAGATTTACTTGTAAATTACATTGTTCCCAAAAGTTGATCCATTGTTTTCAAGCATTGAATTATCTTTGAATCTATTAAGCAGATATTTTGATCCCAACAATGAACATTTTGACCAAAGTTTATTTTACGGTTTTCGATTTCCTGAACTGTGTTTTCCTTTTTTAACTCGAGTAGTCCTTTACTCAGTTTGTAACGCAAATGAACAGCGTTAACGTTTGGATAATTTGATTTCAAAGAAACTAATAATAAGTCCATCGTCGTAGATTCATTAGCCCTGATTGTTTCCATAACAAGTTCTTTTACTCTATCCAAGTCAATTTTCAAGGAAGAATTCATCATAAATAATAATATTAATTATTATAATGAAAATGAATTGGAGTAGCTAGTACCCATGCAAAGTATGTAACCATAGATACCTACTTGTAACAATTGTAACTATAAAAGTTGTATAAAAATCTGCATTATTATTATTTTATTGTAACAGGATGTAGAAATCTAATATTATTCCTTATATAGGTAATTATTATACATATTGCCATATTGGTTGGTACCTACGTAATATTACCCATATTTTGGAGAGAGTAAAATGTAAATGTAATGTTAAAATGTATTGTAATTTATCTATTCAACTTAATTTCTAAACAAAAAAAACATCAATTATTTTGGTTTTAAAATGATCATATAGTTTTGTAGATAAAAATATTTTTTTCAATATGGTTCGGTTAGGTTGCTACTTTAAAATTAAATTGTAATATATTAAAGTTGAGGCTCAAATTAGATAAAATACCATTTTATTAAGTTGGTAGTTGAATATGATATTTTTTTTCTATTGTAGGTTGGAAATTGTCATTGCTACATAATGCTTATTCTTAATAGCATTGATAGCTCCTTGGTGTTGTACTGAAACTGCTCTCCTAGATTTTGATACCAGCTCATTCTTTCTCAGGTCTTTCCCTTACTCCTCTTTTCGTGAATTTAACCTTGTAATATGAAATGTAAGAGCTGGTATATTTCGCCCCTCAGAATATTATGTTCCAAGTATTACAGTTTCCTAGATTTAATAACTACTATTCATCACTGTAACTCTGTCAACCCGAGATATGTTGAGAATCCTATGGAAAGACCACATCTTAAATGCTTGGATTTTTAGAACATCTGCTTTCTTAAATGTCCAAGATTCCACTCCATACAGCAAGATAAAGAACACATAACACTTCAAAATCTTATATTTTAAATCCAACAGTAGATCTTTGTTTGAAAAACTTTTCCTCATTCTAAAAAATGTTGGTCTAATAATTTCAATACAAAATTTGATCTCTTTTGAGTAGTCCTTGTTACTATTAATCTATGTTCCAAAATACCTGTATGAATAAACTTTTTCTATTATGTTATTGTTCAAGATCAATTTTATTTTATTATTACAATTATCTGTTTAATTTTTTACTATTAACTTGATATTTATACGTATTAGTTAAAATAAATGGTATAGTAGGTGTATACTTATGTAGGATATTAGTATTAAAAAAAATTACTTTTTTAGAACCACTACGAACAAAATTACTATGACCACGAGTACATGAGTCATGAAAATGAAATCAATGAAGCAAGAGCCTTGTGTTTTGGTGTCCATGCTGACTGTTTATGGGTTGTATCACTAATTGAGACCAAAATGAAGAAAAGTATTGTTTTTATCACTTATTTTACATAGTATCTATTTAATTATTCTTCTTCTCCTTCACCTTCATCCCAGCTATTAAGTTTTAACTAAATTTAAAAACATATCTATCTAAAGTTAATACTTAACTTGCCTATTACATTTAAATACATGATTTAGGTACTTACCTATATAATAGGCGGATCTTTTTGATAAATATTTTTAAAAAAATATCTGTAGAGAAAGTCATTATTTGCATCAAAACAAGAATGTTTGTTTTTTTTAAGGGAATTGACATTTAAAAAGAAGAAAATACAAAAGCCAAATATTTATGAAAAATATATATCATATATATACACATCAAAGGTCATACCTGTCGGCCTTTTTTTCTTATGCTTAGAACATAAATTGTTAATTTAAAAAAAATTTTGTTGTCATAATGATCTGCAGTAGATATTCAGATTTAGCATTAACCATTATATACATTTCAATGACTGTTAAACCTGTCATGTATGATAGGCAAACAATTATGATACAATAACACTCTTGAAGAGTATACAGATACCAAGGTACCTAGATATCAAGTGTGTTATAAAAGATAATTATATAATTTTTCAAATTTTCGACTCGTTATATATTTAAGATGTATTATAACATATTTAAGTATAATATTATGTATTTAAAATTTAACACTTGATATGCACCTAATCTGAATATGTATAAATATTAATGTTGATTGTAAGGCATGAAGCCACTTGTATTTACAATAATTGGATGCATTTATTTGTTTTTAATATTTTAACGTTAACCATTTTCGAATATATTCCCATTAGGCCTAATCCCCTATAAACGGTATAATTATGTGTAGGTATGTAAATATGATGACCTTGATATGTTGAACATTTTTATAATTTGTTTGTAGACTTTGAAGTCGGCGAGATGTGTTCACTTTTAAATAAGTTGGCGTTATCAATAAAACGTGAACATTTATCAGTCATACGAGACGAAAACAAAAAAGAAACTATACTCCAGACAATATTTAAACTGGTAAACATTTCAACGGACGACGAACTCATGGTCAATTTAATATTAGTATTACTTCAGGTCAGTTTGTGTTCATAAAAATTATTTTGAGAAAAAATAAAAAAGTTTTCGTACAAATGTATCGGTATCAGTGGCGTAACCAGAACTTCTAATGCCTGTGACGAAATATTGTATAAAGGCCGATCCAATAACCAAAAAAAAAAAGGTCATTCAAAAAGAACCTCACATGTGTCCAATAATGTCTTGGGCTCTGGTCACCACTGCTAAGGCCCTTATCAGTTGTGGGCCCGTGGCGTTTGCCCACTTTGCCCACTCAGTATTTACGCCACTGGTCGGTATTATAATATAACACCTACACCTCTACTTAAATTTATATTTTAGATGCAAGTGACCGGAACATATTTGGCGACCGTTTGTAAATTAATATTCAAAATATCCCGGTCGGACAAAAACGACAGTTTGTTCCTCAACTCTAATGTTCTGACTCTTTTCGTGGACATACTGGGATTGGCCACTCCGCACGAAGACGCTGAGTCGTTGATTTATGGTTACGGCGCGTTAAAGTTTCTCACCATGAATCCGGATCTAATGGAACGCGCCATGAGTAACGGTTGTCTGCCGCTCATGCTGTTACATTTGAAAATGATAAATTTGGAGCGTACGGAACGTCAAACGTTGCCGGAAACCGTTAACCACGTATTGTATCAGTTGACGGGCACGCTCAGGAACGTGGTCAATGATCGAAAATACTACACCGAACTTTTGTCTTCAGGCGGTTTAATAACCATGTACCGTACTTTAGAACTATTTTCCTGCGATGTCGACGTAGTTACAAACATTTCGAGAATCTTAAGGTTCCTAAATACCTATACTTAACTATACTTACCTGAAATAGGCTGAAAAAATTATTCAAATAGAAAATAAAAAAAAAATCGTATTTAGAATGTATTCTAATACTTTACAAGACTAACAACAGGCAGAAAATATTATTATTTATTCGTAATAATTTTTTTGTTTTGTTTTTTTTTCATCAGTATTCTGTCCACCGATAGTAAATGCTGCGATGCACTCGTGGAATGCTGGTCGAACGTATCCGTATTAATGTCGATAATCGATAAGTATCCGGGACAAGAGGAAATTGTAGTCCGTATAACTTATGCGCTAGGAAACATATTGTCTAATAACGAACACGCTCGACATCAAGTGACGTCATATTTTGAATTTTAACTATTATAATTTTTGTTCCTTAGAAAACAAAAATCTTACCAATTTACTATTTTCGATTGTACATAATATAGTTATACGATACTTATTGCTCCATGGGGACGTTTCTGAATTTAATGCAATTATATTTGGAAAAGGATTTAATGAATATATCACGCGACATCAAATTCAACATTGTCGAAGACGTGCTTATAAAAGTAAATAAATGTAGATTTCTCTAGTTTTGCGCACACTCGAATAGTATTTTACGTGCATTTAAAGCAGCGGTTCTCAACCTTTTTTCATTTACGCACCCCTTGACCACTCACTACTACTTTACGGACCCCCAAATACAATCTTATCGTACCGCCTAGAATGGTATATTATACCTATTGTAGTATTATACTCTTATTATACACTTATACTAAATCATATAAGTTACGAAAAACTTATTTACATCATTTACAATATTTCACAACTAGTTTCACAAGTAAAGTTCAATTAATTAAACAAATTTTAATTTTTCCGCCATTACGCTTTTTTTTCCGGGGACCCCCTAATACCTTCTCGGGAACCCCTAGGGGTCCGCGGACCCCCGGTTAAAAACCACTGATTTAATTAAAAAAATACATCCTAGGATAATGAAGTCGGGTGCAGCCACTGTTATAGGTAATTTAATGTATATCTGAAAGCAACGATAAACCATTGCTAACGAAAAAACGATTCTGAGCTCAATTCAGTTGATAGTGATGCTTTGTCAATAACATACATGTCATGTTATGATAAAATAATTAAATATGCAATATATATTTTCTTTAATAATATTTGTTTAGTATTGTACTGATTTTCCTGTTTTTCCGGGTTATCCCATGGTTTTTCAATTTACTGGGAAAATCGAAAAATTACCTTTTTAAAGTACCTCCCCAGTCAGATTTCCTTTTAGAAAAAGTGTTATTATTGTAAATCGGAGCAAAATTGATGGTAGAAAAGTCGTCTACAAAAAAAAAAAATCGTAATATTTTACTAATGTATTTTGTAAATTTTTCCGTATTTCTTCGTTTTTCAGGATTTTTCCCATTTATAAAAAAATGACCTACCCAAATTACCATGGAGATTAAATTTCCTTTTAGAAAATAAGCTACACTTGATACATCAGAGCATTATTTTTGGTAGAAAAGTTTGCATAACAAATCGAGGGATATTTTTCGATTAAAATAGTCAGAATGAGCGATGGCTTAGATCTCTTGGTACACCCAAAATGAATTTGTTTTTTCCTGGTTTAGAGAAAAGGGAAAAAAATCCAAAAATCTTTTTTTCGAAACACTGGTTGGAATTCGTGAACTCAAGGATGAAAATAGATATGTATAATCATTCAGCTACGATAAACATACTTTAGAGAAGACAATAATTAAATTAACATAACATATAATATCCGCATAATGTCAGAACTTTAAAAAACTATTTTCGAAATATAGTCAGTCCGCTTAATTAAGATTTCACCATCGTTCTTAAATCGGAAATATACATATATGGAAAAACAAAAATTACCTCTTAAAAGTACCTACTGGACAACATTCCCTTTCAGAAATGGTGCATGCGTAAATATCTGAGCAAGATTTTTGGTCGAATTTTTGTACACAGTATGAAAAAAGAAAAAAAGAAACATCTTAGTAAAACCAATACATTCTTCGCTACACACAGAACTTAAAAAAGATTATTCGAATTGCCGACAGGTTTTAGAAATTTGTTGAATTGCCTCCGACCTGCAAGTCAGATAACTCGAATCGTCTTCGATAGATATTATAAAAAAAAAAATAATAATAATTTGTCAATAATCGATTTTATATTTATTTATAATACTATGACAAATGAAAAATGGCCTCAGGAAAATAATCCGAGTACGAAAATGGCCAGATGACAAAATTAGACATTTTTCTATGGCCAATTTTGATTTAGCCATTATTACCTACGATTATTATTATTTATTATCATCACGGTACATTAAGTTCTAAGTACAATAGATAATAATTCAATACATAATTTTAAATAATAAAATAGGAGGAATATTTTTTTCTCTTGTCATTTTTGTATTTGGCCATTTTTACGTAGACTTCCAAATTATATAGAAAGAGTATGGACGATGAGGAAAATAAATTTTAAAACCACTACGCCGCGGTGCACGATATAATTATTTTAAATTTGTACACTTCATTTTTCTACTAAAAAAAATCTATTCTAAGATAATGGGGACGGGTGCAGGCACTGTTGTATATGAGAAGTTGGGGAGGTAGGATGTAGATGGGAATTTAATGTATATCTGTAAGCAACGATTGCTAACATAAACAATAAACATCATTATTGTAAAACCATAAGCTTCTTTGCTCCACTCAAAATCAAAAACTATTGTGTTATTTAAATAACCGCAGTTTAACGAGCTACAAAAAAAAGGCATCATTGAGCGATTTTTTTTTAATTTTTCCCCCGGGTGTGAAAACTCCTAGATCGGGCTCCGCCCTCGACGTACCCCTGTGGAAATCCACGATAACCCCTCCCCTCCTCTGGGGCGATGAAAGTCTGAAATAAACGCTTTAATTGCACCGCGTATTATAATATAATAGGTGATACGGGTCGTGGTAAACATGAGCATACAACCGGAAATCGGTACGAGATTGGTGATGGCGACAGACGACGACAATCATCCGGTTCACAAAGTAAAGGAGTGCGAACAGTTTTTGGATTCTCTGTTGACCATACTCAGGCGGAAGTCCATTGACGAAAACGAAGAACTCGTGCTCGCCGCGTTGGCGGCTCTGAACAACTTGTCGTATTACGCGGACATGTCGGACACGAATCGCGGCCCGTTTGGCGCGCGTCAATTGGACATAACGCAAGGTAACACGTCTTATACGGAGTGATACATATATTATAAAACACTCGTTATTTCGGAAAGTATTAACTTTTTTTTCGTTATTTATTTTGTAGAACATTTAAGAAACACGCAGCTCTACAAATTTACATTTATGTTATTTTTTGTCTTAAACTTATTTTTAGTGGTGAAACCACTACTTACTTTTTATTTTCAAACGGTAACCTATATTAAAAAGTCCACAAATAAACGGAGTATTAATTGAAATAAATTTTGATGTTGACATTTTTGATTTCTATCAATCGGGTTGACGAGATATTCCACTTTTAAGTATTGGTTAATAATGAGTTTAAAAAAGTTTTATGATAGGTGTCTTATGATAGATTGATCACTCCATATAACGATTAATTAGATTATAGGCGCAGTATAACTAGATTGCGTTATTATTTATAATCTAACCGTTCCAACTCGTAGACAATAATTTGATCGTTGTTTTAGCGTTGGGTCTGCTGCTGTCGACGAGAAATCATTTGTGTAAAGTAGAAGTGGCCAGAGTATTTGGGAACCTCACCAGATCAGCTGCAGTTCGAAATTACTTACTGGAGACTAGCGGTAAACGTTAATACATTAAAAAAAATAATAATAATAACCAATTTTTTATACTATACCGAATCTTTTCGAAACTTTTTTCCGTCGCAAAATGATACAAACGATTATAATGCACCTACCTGGCTAATGACTTTTTTTTTTCAAAATAAAGTTCCATTAAATATTGTTAACTCACTGTGAGATTTCTATTTCTTTGTATGGACATCGTAGTTCGCGTATAACGTGCGCGAATATCAACGATAAACCTCGCTATTGTTTTGAATAATAATCGGTTGTATACACGGGTACTTGTTAATTTATAAATATCTGACAAAAACTTTCAGAATAATTGATGGTTTAATTATAACTGTGGGTACTATAAATGTATAATTTATAATTAGTTAAGCTTTTTGCTTAGAATACGCACGTAAATGATGGATACATGTATCAGTGGCACAAACAGAGGAGGGTCAACCCCTCGGAATTTCTTCTTTCACTGATTTATTTTAAATCAAATCCTACATTCAATCAATTAAATTGAACTATTTTATACAACTGAATTAAATACAATTTCATTTCATCAAAAATCATTTATTCAGTAACAATAGTGATAGCACTGTACCGGTAGTATGTGCTATCCCATCTCTAGGAAATTATTATAAACAAAACCCCTACTGAAAAAAAATCCTGCAAACGCTACCGAAACGTATTGTTTTTTTTTTTCTAAAATTTTATTAAAACATATTGTATAATCTACACGGACTTCACCGATTATCGGGGGATTGACCACTGTTTCGACTCAGTTTTGTCTGTATAAATAGACGTTTTTTTTTTTTTAGCACTACGTGAATCACAGTAAAAGTTCATTTAACGTAATCCGGGGTAGGTCCATGAGTATAGGTGAACTAGATTACACTCCGAAAACGTATTCTTGTGATTTATATTTTAAAAATTGTATCGAGTTAGGTACTTTTAATAATTTTATCGATTTAAAATCTTAATATTTCACTTTGTATAAATCACAATAATATGCACATGTTTCAGTTGGTCGGTTCTTTAAGGCCATTTTCGTCGCGAAATCAATTCTTATATAATTCGCCGAGTTTCGTATCTTCTGATATTGTTTTTAACGAAATCGTATAGATAGGCGCATAATTTTTTTTAGAGCTACGAATTTATTATCCATATAAAATACAATATTGTATTGGTACCTACCTATAAAGATATTATTATGTTAAGCGTTTACGGATATAATAGATAGACATCATGAATATGGTTTAAAAAAAAAAAAAAAAATACTTTTATAATATTCGTTTTTTTTTTTTTTTTCTATATCGTTCTATTTACTCGGGTATTTTTTTTTCCATTTCGATTTTGTCATATTATTACGAACACCGTGCGTCTCGATATATAGGATTTAACACATAACAAATTTACTGAATGTATACATACTAATATAATATCATGTTCGTACGCCGACACGACTATATCGATGAACAAAAACAATACCTAGGTGAATTATGTATAATATAATATGTAAAAGTACGATATTTATGAATAAAAACATGTTCGGTTATGGGCTGTTGCGTTGTCATAATATCATATCGGGTGCATAACAATGCATGAAAATAGTACACACTTGTGTATTATAATATTATTTTATTATGCCGAGGAGACATTTAAGAACGGGTTTTTTTTTTTTTTTTTTTTTTCGTATGTTACGACACTACGAGCGTTGCTGCGGGGTTATTGACACATTTAGGGGAAGCGTTTATAATACGCCTCGTCTACGTGGACCTCCCGGGAGTGAAATTCAGTAAGCGAGAAGATTGATGAGATAATATTATTGTGTCGTTGCAGCGATCGATATTTGTATTGATATGTTATTGGTGCGAGCACAAACGAATGGAACAGTTTTATCGTACGGATAAATTTTCATCTATACAGTTTATTCGACGTTTAAAATATCGTACGATAGGTATAGGCGATATTATAGCTATTATTTGCTATTATTTTTTTGCCACAAGCTATTTTCGCGTAGAAATTATGTCCCTTTTTGTCGGTTTTCCTACTATACAAACGGATAGCGACCGGAGATCAATATTGTTATTCGACGTGTGCTTTTATGTCTCTGAACATAATTTTCGAGTCGATAAAAATGCTTCTTACATAATGCATTTTATCCGCGGCCCGTTTTTCAGATATAGGTTTATCAAAAACAATTATAGTCGTTTCACCTCAAAAATAATCGATAATGTTACATTTCAGACTCGGCTTGTTTCTTAGACTGTTAAGAAAAAAGGAAAAATGTTTTGCGAAATAATGAGTGTTTTACGTATTAAATGAATTGCCCTGTATAATGTAATATAATAATATACTTTTAAGGAAAGTAGTTTTTCAAATGTCTATACAGATTTATTGAGATGGCATTATGTCTACATGCGGGGGCGTATTTATTGGGGGCTAAGTCATTGCCTCCCCTCCACGAAATTTAAAAAAAAAAATCTAAAGATTATTTCCATGGAAGTCGCTGCAATAAGCTAACCGGCTGGGCGATTCGAACGCGCGTCTCCACGCGTTTCAAACGCCACGATTTTAAAACGGAAACGCGCTTCGCTTACACATTGGGCGCGTTTCTCAGAGATAAAAAGCGCGCCGACACTTCGTATTTTGTGATGTACTAGTCTCGACGTCTTGTCGTCACTGTATACATCGTACATGACTACATGTGCAGTAGTACTTCGCGTTTCTGTCCACTGTTATTTCGTTTAATATTTTTCAATTCGGAAAGCTTAAACGGATAGAGGCCGCGTGCGTCGTGTTCGCGCTATACGAGGAACACGAACGAAAACAAAAAAGTGAAACGGCGACGTTTTGGGTCCATCCGCTTAATCCAAAAAGACCAGAAAATGGTTCTTCATTCGACACCCCAAGAATGAACTCTTCAGCGTCAAACAGCTTCATAATATAATTGGATACAATTTGTACGGAGATTGTCAAAGGTTGATGGCACGACATTGCGAATGAACGAAAATAAAACGCGGCCGTGCGTTATCAAAACCGAAAATGCATTGAAAATACATTGGGAAACATATTGTTTAATTATAGCTAAGAAACGCTAAGTAACGTTCAAAATTAAACACGCGCGTCTCACTTTCGCGTGCGGATAAACCCGTATAAAAGTACACGTTTAATTTTGAACATTAAATTGAATTTAAATTTCCAAGCCAGATTCGCACTGTTCCGGCACGGCACGGACCGTCACAGCACGTAACGTCACCACAAACCGTCCACACGTTCACACTGTTACACGGCACGACACGAATCGTTATAGCGCGTACAGGCATTTGTACGTGATTTTACTTTTTTTTTTTTAATTAAATTTGACTCGCCTGATTTAAAATTGTTATTTTATTTCAATAAATCGACAACGTAAACGGTTATTTTTGTTTTATTCGTTATACCTACCCATCTGCCTGCCTGTGAACCCGAGCGACGAGTGTATTTATTTTACAAAAATTTAAAAATTTTTTTGCACAGTGATGTGTTTTTTTTTTCTTCGTGTCTGAAGACGCTTTTTCACATCAGAAAGAACGCTTCAGTGTTCAACGTCAATATCTCGTGTTGCTTCACAATTCTGATATGTTTTCTCGGGCGTTTGCCGGTACTGTGTTCGCGGTGCGCCGACACTCGACGGACCGGCGCGACATTCGTTCGGAATTTGTTTTGCCGGTCCGGTCCGCGTGTTGCGACGTGACGGTTGCGGTGCCGGCCGCGTCAATGTGAACCGTCTCGGAAGCGGAAGAAAAAAAAAAAAAAACCCCACTAATTATATAATAATTCGTCGCGCCGCCCGTGCGCGCCGTGACGGTCCATGCCGCGCCGCGCCACAGTGTGCCGGGCCCAATCGCGTCGTTCGAAACGTTCCCATTTCGTTGGTATTGAATTCGTATTTCGATTTGGTCATTTTATCGCTCACGGGCACTGCTCTGCCGCGGGGACCGAATACTGGGAATCGCAGATGCTAATTATAAACCCGTCGATAACGATCGCGGTGCGGCGATCGCAGAGCCGCGCGGGCTTTTCCGGAAAATTATTTTACCGGCAAACATTACGTTTTCGTGTGCGCCGTACGGTCCGCCGCCGCAATGGTAGTAACCCGGCGTGTTTGTGCTTGCTACACTTTTGTTCATACCGAACCGGGCGCACCTGTAAAGAAAGTGTTTTCAAATCGTTTCCGTTTATTGTCCTTTACGTTATGTTTTCGATTTTACCGCGTGGGGCGGTGTTTGTAAACTCGGATCGGCACTCACCTCTCACCCGTAACAAAATTCTGGATACGCGCCGCCGGCATGCGTGTCATTGTAATCGCTGCGCCGTACCAATCGAGTACCCCGATACCCGAACGGGGGGGGGGGAAACAATGCGAGTACTAATTTTGAGTCCGCGGTTGGAAAACCCCAACATATACTTTACCGAGTCCGAGGATTGTTTCGAGTAAAATGGATAATCAACCAGCAATAATTTATGAACACGACACGGAGATGGCTACGCGATATCGTTCACTATTATTGTTATCGCCGTTGGACAGTGTAATGTCATTTCGTACACGCGGCCAATATTATAACACGATTCGAATGCATACAATGTGCATCACGCGCGTTGTTATCAATATGAGAAATATAATTTTATCACCTATTTTCATTATTTAATTACGCGCAAGCAACATCGAAATTATCCATAATTATATTGTGTTTTTAGCAGTATAAAAAATGTAATTTTGATATTTTTATTATTATTTTTTAGAGTTTGACGGTACTCAATTAGTATATACCTAGAAAAAAAACCCGGGACTCAATTCGTCCTAAAAGGTTTTATTGAGATTCAGTTCGTATGCAGCCATTATACTGGCGTCTCGCTTCAGTGGCGTATAGCCAGGATTTTGAATTGGGGGAGGGGGCAAATACGTTATTGCGGTTTAGATCACGGGCGTATACGTAAGGAAGGTTTGAAAAATTTAGAAAAGTGTTTTCATTAAGAGGATGTTACACGTGCATTTGTTGTTTCCGTCTTATAAACATAAAATATAGTAAAAACATGCGTACGCGGACTACACAGAATTCGTTTAGTTTTGGTTATAGAGTAAAAGCACCTGAAATGAATAGAGAACAATATTCCAGAGGGCAAAACGATGCATTTTTTTGTAAATGTTTTTTTTTTTTTTTTTTTTTTTAAAGTTTGTGCTAATTAAAAAACGTTTAAAAAGTCGTTATTTATAAACGGTAGATTGACTGTTATGTTCAGAGAAAAAACGCAACATCTTGCCCTCCGGAATATTGTTCTCTTTTGATTTTATAACAAGTTTTTTTTTCTGTAAAACCAATATTAAGTGAGTTCTGTGTAGTCTTCGTAAGCATGTTTTAACTATTTCGCGCGTTTGTAAGACGGAAACAACAAAATGCACGTTGTGTACCGTCCTCTTAATGTAATGATGTCATAAACTCTAAACAACAGTTGATTAAAAAAAAAAAAAAACCAACTCAATAACGAAATGAGAATATTATGTATTGACATATTGTCTTGTAACTGTATAATACCTATTTATTACACCCGTTACGAGCAAAGAGGGCGATTTTCTTTAAATACACGTTTTTATACGCGGAGAACGGCCTTTCGGAAGCGGAAGAAATAATCGAAAACGCGTAATTAACACTCGCGTCGTTAAAATAAAATACGCACGAAAACGGCCCGTATAGGGAGGACCGTGACCCTGGCTCGGACACTCCATAGATAACAAAGGAATGGATAGGCCGCAACTACGACGACGGTCGTAAGCGAGGCGTCGTTCCCGGAGGGGCGGTAAACTGAGGAGATTTGATCATCGTTGATCATCGCGCTGTGTACGGTAGATAAAACACCTTGCTTTACGAAACTGCAGTACGCAACTGCACCCGCCCCTCTTGAAATACTGATATGGTGTACATGGATAACCTATCCATAACATCCGTATTATCCGCGCGTCTCGCAGCTTGATACTATGCACGTTTCAGGGCTGTTGGCGGTCACCAACTTTTTGGACAGCGCCGACAAGGAACTGCTGGTCGTCTGTTGCGGCGTGTTGGTCAACATGACGTCCGACGAGAGCAATCGAGAAGCGTTCAAAAACTACAACGGCGTTTCGAAAATGGTAAACATACTCGGATCGTCGGGCGAACGCGATTGGAACCTTTCGGCGCTCGTTTGCCAGACCCTGTGGAACGTGTGTTCGGGAAGTGACAGCTTTCCCGGCGATCCTATGGCCGTACTCGATACTCTAGTCAAACTCACGGGTAATGCGTATTATTGCGTATTTTTTTATTTTTTTTTTTTTTTTTTTTTACAACCGCGGGCGGGCGCAGGGAAGAAAGAAAAACGCGTGAAATTGTACAGAATACAATTTATTATTATTGTTTCTCTGTAAAATTATTATACTTTATGATATTATTATTATTATGTCCGTGTATTATATTATTATTATTATTATTTTTATTATATATAGACGAAGAACAATTATTCGGTGAGCTATTGTCGTCGCCGGCGGACGAGGAGAAAGTGGCCGAGTACAAACAGTGGGAAGATTTCGCTTCCGTGGCTACCAATCTTTTAGAATGGTTAGACGAACTGTTGGAAGGAAGACTCGGTAACGTAGACGATAATTAACCGCGACAATCTAGTTGCGGAGTTGCGGGTCTTTATTAATATTATTCGATAGATATTGGGTAGCAACATTACTCGGATACTGCAGTCCTGTAGACTGCAAGTATATAGAAAAAAAAAAAAAAAACAATACGCGCACGTACTATAGGTATTATCAGTGTGGTTCACGTTGCAACTCAACTCGGCCCAACCGAAATTCTATGCACAGATACCTCGTCGATATTGTAATAATTACTTTTTATTCCGTAATCGTTGGTTCCTATAGGTGTTTTTTACCAGTCATCATTCAAAAGCGTTTTAGGTACCCACACCAATAACCTGCCTACCTATACCGACACATAACACGCGCGATATTGTTTATTCGAAATTATTATTTATTGTCATTGTCGTTATAATCGTTCATTATTAGTGTTTACTACCGTGTAATATAACTATCATTATGATGTTTTTCGTTTTTTTTTTTTTTTTTTTTTTTCATACCATACATAATGTACTTAGTTGATTGAAAAATCGAATTAGGCCTAGCGCGATGTAGTATTACGCGTTTTGTTAATGAACTACTTGCCTGCTGTCTGTTTAACCAACTTCGAAAAACGAGTATAGTTACGTTATGTATACAAACGCGTATGTTTTTTTTTTTTTTTTTTTTAATTTTATATTTCGTATGACGTTAGAATAATAATTATTAATTATATCCATCATTATTCGTTGGGCGCATTATATGTGTTATAAATAGTTTACATTATCCTATTGGATATATAGTTATTAAATATTGAATTAATTTATATACCCGACTATATAAAAAAAAAAAATAATACGTTATTCCAAGTTGTAATTTGCGTAAAAATGTTCCATACAGTATTATATGATTTTGTCGAATCAAAACAAAAAAATATGCGTGAATCAAATATACAATATAATATATTATAATCATATACGCACAGTTTTTTTTTTTTTATATCCTTTTTGTATTTATGTTGCATTAGTTTATTTCTACAATTAGACCGATTCAACTTATGTTGAACTAATAAATATATATAGTGGAGACGAAATTGATTAGCGATTCCTTGAAACGTAATTGTTAGAAGACAAAAAATATTCTGAAGATAAATAAATTATAACGCGATAAAATGTATAATAATATATTTTAATAACGTTTACTAGGTACGTGGTTTTTAATCGCAAACGTTAAAATATAAAGTTGTATTAAATTCCATACATTACCGTCATCGGACGATCGAGTTTAACGTGTTTAAATATAGAGCCGAATGTACTTCGCACTACGGATACTCCGGTGTTGTCGGTGGAAAGTTTTTATTACGCAATTAAGTTAATACCAATATAGCATACTGATAATGACAATAAACCGTTGCAATCGAAAAACGATTATGAGCGGAACTCGGCGAACTGGTTATGTTTACAGTAATACTATGTAAGTAATAGCCGCGGTTTTTTCCCTCGGAGCCAAGGTATCCAGGACGTCCACAAAACCAAAATCCAATACGTAATGTGCGTCGACATTTGTTGTCGGTTGTTTTGAATTGTTTAGAAAAACTGTTGGAAATCCAGAAATCCGTTTCAAATACATTATGCCGAATTCGCGACTTTAAGGTACGATGTGAAGCGTTTTTACTAACCGAAAAAAATGTTTTCCTAAAAATAATAAAACGCATATTACTAAAACTAATAATAGATGTAATACTAAAGTTGATATACTTGCTATACACCCTGCGATCGCAATAGTATAATAAGATGACAATAATATTAAATGGGTTTTTTATTATTATTATATTATTCGTTTATAACATAAAGATAAAACGGTTTAAGGACATTTTGGACGATAGCCAAAATAAAACATAAGAACATTGACCTCAGTGAAAATTTGTTCAAACAGCCTTGTATTATTGAATAAAAATAATATGGTACACATTAAAAAAATATATGTATATTTAAAAAAAGTGTGAAATCTTTGTATATAATTTCTGTGCAACAATCGGATGTATTTGTTACGAAACGAATAAACTTTGATAGTTGTATCGTTTCGCCTTCATTGACATTTAATCGTAGCATACACTATACATAGATGTACATTTTTAACGCATTACACAACACTAATGTTGGTATTTTTATTTTTATTTTTTATTTTTTATAATACATTATTATAATAATGGTACGATTATTATGAAGATCACTGATACCTGCAGATACCCCAGAGTTCCGGTTATTATTGACGAGTACGCCGTTTATGCAAAGCTCTAGTCAAATTCAATACGTATGTATTTAAGGGGTAGGGGGTACTACCGTCTCGGGCAGCCAACTTTTAGAAATACGTGAGCACCGACATTGCTGACCATGCAACCATTGCCCATTACCCGAAATGGTCTGTTTTATCAACATTTTCGGTAAATAAATAACTTCAAATTTTAACTGACAAATATTAAATAAAACAGTTTTTCTTTGTCGATGTATTTCATTTTGTTTTTTTTTTTTTTTGTGGGGTCAACATTTTAAATATACGTCTCTGCAGGCTCTAGTCAAGTGATGACGATGCATACAACGAAAGACTACACGGGGACGAAATCGTATTTTGTCCGAAATCACAAAGGGCTCGCGATTAAAGACACGCCTGCATGAACATGTTCATAGTTCAGTACAATACAATATGTTCGTACCTATAGGACAAACCAATTTCTACGCACCTGCGCCTTTATGATTCGACATAATATGCGTACAGTAGTACATGCGAACCATATTTTATTGTATACACAGAAAAATAGTATAAACGCAGTGTGTGTCTTTTATCGACCACGTGATCAGGATATTGTATTCATACATTGTATGTTATATATACGAGAGTATACCGACGGTGAACCTACAGGTATATACCTGGTTTTTAAAGAAAAGTGCGATTTTATTCGAACACGGTTATAGCCAGGTTAGGGGTTTGCGGTCATCATAGCCGTTTGCAACGATTTATCGTCGAATACTTGCATTCGGGATTTATACTAAATTGCAATAAATTAAATTAAAATTTATTATACCTATCCTACCTTCCTGATTCAATTAATTACATTGAGCGTACTTAGCACGTAAAAATCGCACTAAAAAAAATCTCCTCGGTTTCTTGTCATTCAAAAAAAAATTATTTTACGCCATAGTCTCTCCAACTCGTATATTATCAATGCATACTACTACTCATGAGCTCTATGAATTATTTTGTTTGTGTTCCTATCTTTATCGTGGACTTTAAAAATTATGTCGATTTTATTGAACCCATTGAAAATCGTTACCGGGAATTCATTAGAGTCGGCGTAGCGGCCACCCTGAGGCACTCCGGTGGCTTTATCCCGTCCTATAGTCCTCTGGCGTCCAAACACCGTCCAACGACCGACTGCTTACGTATTACTGGCACAAGATTTAAGTTTTTGGCCATCAAATTGTCAAAATAACCCGGAAATCGAAACATGTTACAAGTTCAGAAGACGGGTATATAGATTCACCCGATGATCATTCGGCGACCGACTAGCTGCTTCTGCGATTCTGATACGATATTTCAGTTTTTGGTCGTATACCTTCAAAATCCGTCTAATTTGTTTGTTTTATTTTATTTTTATTATTACGATTTTCATTATCTTATCAATTGCATTTTAAGATTAAAGGAGCCTTATAAAAAAAATACAATAATAGTTTTGAATTCAATAATTTATAATATTTTTAAAAGTGTTTAAAGAGAACAGCTTTTTATTGGGCTATACCGATTATCTTTAATCGTTATTAATTAGGTACTTATTTAAATACGTAAATATGAAACATCTTAAATCTTATCGGGTTTTTTATTATTATTAAATCCTATAGTTAATGTCTTCGAAGAGTATGGTATTTGCTTAATGTTTTAAATTTTATTTAGATAAATGGTATAATGTACTATAATATTATCATAATCATATAGTACTGTATGTATAGATAACTTTTTTTTTAAATTTATCTCCGGTAAACAAAAAATAAGTACCTATCTAATATTCGTTATTTTTTAATAGGTGCTTACCAAAATATTTGGCGAGTGTTTATAAAAATAATAAATAACAATAAATATGAAACTTAATAATGTGTGATGAATTTCTCGATTCAGAAACAACCTGAAATACACGTAGGTATTTCGTTATACGTTGACAGGACTAGGTAACGAAAACAATGATAACGAAATTGTTAGATTCGCGTAACGATGATAATATTCTAGAAAAATTTGACGTACTTCGTACCGAGCAGTGACATGCTCAATGGGGAAGGTTAAGGGTTATATCCCCCCCCGCCCGTTGGTTTAAAAATACAAAAAGTATATAAATAATCTAATATCGAAATGCATATATTTCAGTCAAGTTACGAGGAAAAGCTTCATGTATTGATTAGAAATTTGATTTTTTTGTAGGATCCCGCTTTTAAAATACCAATTCTAATAATAATAGTCGAGTTTGGTAGAGAAGACGATTTTATTCTTTATTCACGATTCTCGTTTGCAACATCCACGTCCCATTGAAAATTCCTGAGCACGCCAGTGGTACTAAGGGTAAGTCACTGTAGTAGGTGCAGGTGAGGATATAGGGTAATTTAATTTACACAACGATGAAACAGTGCGATCAAAAAACGATTTAGAACGAAATAGTATCAGTCGTGGTTTTTTTCCACTGTAGTCAAGGTAACCCAGAAATCGACAAGAATAAAACCGATGTATCGACTGACAGTCAGTTTTTTAAATTTTATATAGTAAAAATGTTGGTATCTAGACATTTTTTTCAAATAAAGTACCAACGTCCGCATATTTTGGTAATGCGGGAAAAAATTTGAGCATTTTCCACACAAAAAGCCTGATTTTATTGTTGCATCTTGTTTCAAAGTATAAACCTACAATTTGGCACAGCTATACAAGAAAAACTTGTTAAATGTTAATATTATCTTTATGAAGACGCTGGACTAAGATCATAAGCAGTAGGTTAAAGTTTAGGATTGTAAGTGGAAAGCGAAAGATTATGGATATTGTAAGACGCAGAAGGCGATGCGAAGATATTGGCTTTGATTAACCGGCAATAATTTGGTTAAAAATAGGAACCGGAATCGAATCGGTGGCACGGAGTCCGGCGTTTGTCGCAGCGCGACCGCGGCTGCCGCGGCGGTATCAGGCTCGTATACGGGGACGAAAAAGTGGTCGGGGTTCAACGTCCAAATCGAAAACTCTTCGGAAGTATTGAAAATCGTATACGGCCTTTTTGTTTGTTGTCGCGGTGTAAAATACGCGGAATGTTGTGTAATTCGTATATTAATATCAACTGTGGAGAACTGCAACGGCGGCGTCGTTCGGGGTAACCGCGGTTTATCTGGTAGCAGTGTCGTCGATACGATTTCGATTGCGATTACGACAGGTTTTAACGGCTCTAAGTTATTCAGGTACTTGCTGTAATAGTGAAATAAAGATAATATTATTATTATCACACTGTCCTGTTACACTGTAACGCGCGCAGTATAAAAACGTCAAAAACGTGTTTTGTTTAGTCTGCGTTTGATATTTTAATGGTGCGTGCGATACTGCCGGTACGGTTTATTAAATAATTTTCCTCGTGCGCGGTAATTTAATATAGTGAATTATTAGTTTACGGAAACAATTTGGTGCATATTATTAAGTTTATAGACCTACCTACCATAATATAATGTCCAGCCCAACTATCGTAATTAATTTGACGCGCGAGTAATAGACCACGTTTCATAATACACAATGTGCTCGTTATTTCACCTATAACAGAGACCTTTTTTTTTTTTTTTTTCATAATTGCGGTTTAAAATTCAGTTTAAAAATGTATGTAAAATTTGGATTATAGATAGGTACTTATAATGTTATGCAATGTTACAAGTTATATAGAGACACCGACGATAATTGCGCAAAGACAGGAGATTACGTCGTTATTTCATTGTGCGCAATATTTAATATTACTGTTAATTTTTACGAATCTCCTTCCCCCCTGATTTTTTATTTTATTTTTTGCGCGTACGTACATAGTGATTATTATAGTCGTGCCCAGGGGAACCGATTCGAACAGTACCTATGTTATAAATAAAGGCGAAACATTTATTATTAAAATATATGTTGATACTTCACATACTCGTATCGCTCTTAAAAGTAAAGAGTATCGAACAAATAGCGGCAACGTTGCACAGATAATGTTCTTGACTTTAAATTTGATAATAGGTCAATACACTCTAATATCAAAACTAACAGAACAATGTTGTCCCTACTGAACGCAAATTTTATTTGCCGTACGTTTATAAGACGGAAATCGCACATGCGAGAATCACACCCTAATAATGTTCAATTATGATCGACCCAAGTTATCTGATGAATTGTAGTTTGTAGTCGTATTATACATTTTTTTGTACTAAAAAATATTTTTTATTTATTGTGTATTTTAAAATTGAAAACTTAACGAAAAGTAAAATTTCTCAAAATAAATTTTATAATATTATTGTAGAGTCCAAGCTTGTGAGGAGAGGCTAAAATTTTGGGGGCATTAGTACCCTCAAGCTGCTTCCACTTATAATATAAATAGTTATGCAAATAAATATTATACTATAATATTTATCAAGTGTTATTAAGTAGCTACGAAAAATCAAACCTAAGTGGCCGATATGCAATCGATGATAATATGGTAAATTATTCCATTATAATGTACGTGCGTTATTTTATAGTTTTCAACTGGTCATCGTAAACGTGTATTTTATTATTGCCGATAAAAGATATTTGCATCATTTTATCAGATAAAATATTTATAAAAAAAAAAAAAAAAACAAACAACAAAACATAATTATAGACAAATCTATTAAAACATTAGCAATATTACGTCCTTCGACAATGTCTTATGTTGTTATTTTCATTCCGTAATCTCCAATGCGCGTACTACGTCGAGTACATATCAGCGTTCGGTAATACGTAGACCACTTTTTTTTTTTCAGATTCTAAGCGCAGCGAGAAATGTATCGGTTTTACTATTTATATTCGTATAAATCGAAAAATACAAGAGTACACGAAAACCCTCGATTTTTACGATTTCTACTAAAATTCGAACTTTCGAACTTGGAACTTTGCTGGATCACGTGTTAAATTTTCAAACATTTTGGCTGTGTCCAGACAATTAAGCTCCCTTGTCGTTGTTTGATTAGAGCAAGACTTCCGGTAGAAAAGTCGTTACAAATAAATATACCCATTTTCATTACATAGTCGACTATAATATTGTATACGTCATATAATATAATACTTACTATGTTACTATATTACTATATTTTTATCATATACGACAATAGGATAGTTCAGTATCGTAACACTGTAACATTTATTTGAATTCAGGAATAAGCGATAGAATACATCTAACTATATCATAACTTACTTATCGCGTTTGACGATAAACGTACATGGATATCAAAAAAGAATCGTTAATCGAAATTGCGAGTAATTACAAAAATCATTAGTTTCCCTTTATTTTTACGAAGAATTTCTCAAAATACATCTTTAAAATGATCCAATTATTACTGTTGTTATTAAATATTAATTATAATGCTCAAAAAAATACATGTATTTTTTACTATTGTTTAATATTGGCGAATGTGTATAAAACTGTATCTTGAAGATGGATTATTATTATTAAATATTTACGGGTTTATGTTTTTTAATGAGCGATTTTTTTTTTTTTTTAAAGGCGAAGTGGCTTTGCGTTGAAACGGCATGTTCGAAAGAAATTAAACACTCGGGAGAATTTACTAGTTTCAAAAATCGGAATAGTTTATCATAGAATCGAGTCTTTATTATATAGGTAATATTAGATGATAATGATAATATTTTGTCGGTTTATGGTTAGACAATGTTTTTCGTATACCTATTACGACGTATGTTGCTCTATAGACAATATTATTTCTTTAAACGACGGTTTTACAAACGCAGGTAAACTGTTGCGTGCGTTCACCGTTACACCCTCCTCTGCGCACTAGGGTTGCTATGCAACACAACGCCGGGTGAGCATACGAGTCTCTCCTGCCCACGGGCAACGTTTTATTCCTTCACTCTGGCCGGCATGGCGCTGTAAATAAAGAAAACCGACATATTCCGTTCCGTGTACACATTGAATTCATCAAAAAAAAATCGTTTAGTTTTTTTATTTATCTTTTTTTTTACCTAAAGAACCAGATTTTCCTCATTGTCTAGATTATTAATGAGAATTGCAAAAAATGACCTTTTTCAAAGTACTACCCAGAGAACATCTCCTTTCGGTAAAGGCTATACTTGATAATCGGAGTAAGCTGGTAGATAAAGTGTTCACGTGAAAAAATAAATAAACATCATTGTAAAATCAATACATTTCTCGTTCCGCAAAGAATCTAAAATTATGTACTTTGCATGGAAATGACTGGGGCGACAAACAAATTTAATATTGGCCACGAGTTCATAACTCGGTTTCATCGCAATGTCGGGTCGATATCGTGAAAGACATACTAGCAAAATTAATACATTAAAAAAAAAAAAGATAAAAATTCTGCTGACGGGTACCACTATTGTAGGTGAATAATAGGGAAAGTAGAATTTTATATAGAGTACTTAAAGTGTAATTTATGTTTTATGCGCAACGATAAATCATTGCTAACGAAGAACGATTTCGAGCGAAAATCGACTAAATATGTTTTGAAATTTCGCGATATTTACAATATTTTCTTTCAATTTTAAAATTGAAACGTTTATAAAAAAAATGTTATTACATTACCCAACAATTTTTTTTATCACTAAGCACCTTTGATGAACTTATGTCAAATTTTACGCAAAATGCAATGAATGCAGTGCATTTTGATCAAACTCTAATATTTTTGCCATTTATAAAGTGTCATAAGAAAAACTTATGACGAACCTTGTATTCAATTTGCAAGTATTTGTGAGATACCAAAAAAAATGTTATCCACATAAATAGTACTGACTTTTTAATCGTCTTTAAATTTTTAAGTCTATTCGAGACGATAAAATGTATCGTAATGTAATTTCAGTGTAATGTCTTAAATGATAATGTACAAAGAGTATAAAAATGTTCAATAATATTAATATAATATTATCAGATTATCTGCATTTATTGGAGGACTACTGTAAAAGTGCATCCGTTATCAGCTATTAATTATCATTTTCATATTTTTTCATTCACAAACATTCAAACCACTATCTATTTCATTAATAACTGTTTAACATTTTGTTGAGAAAAATAAAGTTATATACCTATTTATTTTAAAATCTCAAATCTGTTTTTTTTTTTCATAATAATAATTAGTAAATTATTATTTAATTATTTTAATTATTATTATTATTAATTATAATAATAATTAATAAATCATTATTTTGGTTTTATTTTATTTGAAATGTTCAGGTTATCCTCACTAATACTCTTAGCATCTAATTTACTCACGATCTCGTCACTTGCTTGGCCAAACTTTGTGATGATAGTCGTATTATTTAAGGGGTCTGGCGAACTAAACGTCCTACTACTATTATTTTTAACTCTCTTATGAATGGGGGATCATTAAATTATACAGGAAAAAAGTAAATAAGCAAAAAAAAAAAAAAAATTTAAAAAAATGGTCCTTCCTAACGTTACATCTGAAGTTTTCTACACGTATATACTATTTTCATTTAGTAAAATGGATTCGTTATAGTTGAAATATCTAAATCCCTCCATCGTAAAGTACGAATTGTCTATTTTGTCACATAAACCGTGAACTGGGCTTCCGGAAACCACGACCGTGGCTCAAGCCTCCTGTAAACCCGCCTTTAATCGTGTTGTTTAAACGATTTGGCGCCCGAAATCTGAAATCTTGTACCAAAATCGTGTAGATTATCTCGTTTAATGACGTTTGGTTATACCAAGACAAAGAGCTGCTACCCAGTTTTCGACCAGAATCAAAACCTCCATGGACGCTTCCGATGGAAACCGTTATTAAGTACATTTCTCCGTTTTATCCAATTAGGTATACGAAAAACTCCAAGGAAAATCAAAAAAAAAAAACCAATGCACTGACTAGATAAAATTTTCTAACCCGTAAATTCGACGGTCGGAACGTGTTTTATGGTAGGAAAGTTGTTTACATACAGACAGAAAAAAAACGCATATTAAAACTGCTATATTCTATTATATGCTTCGCTATACGATCTAATACACACCTGTATCTACGTAACACATTATACGTGTATTCTTATACATTTCCGTAAACGGTGTGAACGTAAATTATGTAAGTACGTGTAAATTGTACGTATATACTATATATAAAAAATAATTGAATGTTATTGATAGTTTATTTATAAGATTACAGTGTTGCAATAATTGTATTATTATAAGTATATAATTTTTTTCGACACGAACAATTATTATTATTATACGCGTAAATTTCGCAGCCCCGGTCAGTTGCCTGTTCCAAGGGCGTGAGTTCAGACGTTGGTATTTTTCCCCGCTCTCCGGAGAAGGGCGTACTTTAAATTACGACCGGCGGGCGTTTCTTATAATATTAGAATAATAATCCTTTTATTATTAAATATAAAATAAAAAATAACATTCCGATTTCTCGACTACAGACTAAACAATTTTATCACGTCGGCGTGCCTATATGATTTTTTAGATAATTTTAAATACGTCACCCAAAAAATGAATTTCACTGAACCCAGCAAGTTTCTTTCTAAACAATTTTGAATACATTGTATTTTTAAATAATATTTACATTTAGTCTGGTTTTTTATTTTTACTGGGCATATTTTTAAATTTGATTTACAACACATGCGTTTTTTTTATCAAACATTTTATAGAGAGTATAAAAAAATATTAGAGAAAATAGACTGAGATGGTTTGTGCATATCACGTAGAGAGACGAATCTGAAGCAGTAAGAATTGTAATGAAAATAAACGTAGGAGAAAAGAGGAAACCCGTAAAAAAAAGTGTTTGGATGTGATTGAAAATAATGTAAAGATAGTCGGCGTATGCGAGATGGGAGATCGAGTCCAGTGGAAGTTTAGGACGAGGGTGTCCCATTCCAAATAGATGGAATGAAGGTAAATAAAAAAAGATAAGAGAACATGTATGGAAAGTAATAAATAATAATAGAATTTATTGTAAATGTAAAGTAGTTCGAGTAGTTCTCAAATTGGCTCATAATACGTTTTAGTACATTTTGATATTTTCACCTGTACAATATGTAAAACACGTTTTTAACCGAAACAACGGTATTATCTTGACCATTCCTATACGATTCCTGCGACCTATTACCGACGCTATTTTTCATTTCCTTCCGCTTTGTTTGAACCCGTCGCGATTTTTCATCGATTAGATTCACACTTACCTATATATAGTACACTAACTTCTCCTTGTAAAGTTCTAGCAGTATATCATGTTTGAATCGATATACTCGTAGGTTTTCGTACTGTCGCGTTATTTTTCAAGAAATACAATGTAAACGTTGTATTCTTCTGTACCCAAACACGTTAAATTTTCGGTCGATATACACAAAACGCATAGTTACGGCCCCAAAATGTTTACCAAGAATTTCGAAAAACAGCATATGTGTATAGGAGTGAAACAATTTTTGAGCGAAAGGAGTTATATTTATACATTATACGCCCTGCAGTTATACGTGACGGTCCGACGATTATTTCCTTGTTCCGTGTTCCTTGTCGGAGTTAGTTCTGCCGCCGCCAAGTCCAAAATCGGGCGGTTTTATTTGGACGAAAGTTTTTTTTTCCCCCGAATAAATAAACGCTATCGGAGTCGGTATGATTTCCCGTCAGATCGAGTCGATATTTGTTTTACGTAATAAAACGTGAAAAAAAAAAGATAAAATACCTATATAATAATATAACTAATATATAGGTGTATATATTATTACACACACATAGTACTATATGTATACAATCACAATCCGTCGAATAAAAACTACTGTACAATCCGTTGGTTAATAATAAAAAAAAAAAGTGTTGTACCTACATATAATATGCAATTATTACACGCGTGCCTATTACGTACATACGAATGAAATACAGGGTGATTATTTTACTATGATCCATTATACCATTTTCGTAAACAATTAATTATCTTGCCTTATATGTATATAGGATACTACTAAACAATTTTTTCCTTTTTTATATTTTCGTTGATAATCCATACGAATCGTACTAGGTAATTAGAAGTAATTTACGCCGTATTATATTGCGTGTTTGCATATTTATTTCGAAGGTATTTTAAATGAAAATTATCATGGGTCATTATGAAAAATAATGTATCGATCATTGCCAAAGCAAAAATATACCAGCTTAATATATTCCAGACCAGATTTCCTAAGAAATAATAAAATACCATTTAATGATTAATTTAAAATAATAAAAAGGCATTTTTCATGAAGGCATGTTGCATTGTTACACAATATTTGTAATTTTTTTTTCGTATAGGTACTTACATTTTTAATTACAGTTTTTTTTCACGTATTTTCATAATTTTACTGCATTTTATATATGGCGTATTTTAATACTTCTAGCGCATAAATATATATATATATATATCCGTGCTATTGTTATACGTAAACTCGAGAGGGGGGGAAATAATAATAGATATCGAATTTACATAAATTCCTCCGAGAAATTGGTCGATGGATCATGATGTCGATCGTGATAAAAGAATCACCCTGTACATGAATACATAAATGTATGAATGTGTGTCAGTTACACATTAATGTCGTTGTATAATATTATAATATTAAAAATTATATAGGAAATTTTTTTTTTTATTCCTATAACGTTATAAGTTATAATATTATTATTTCGGCCGTGTTGTTGCGGACGCGCGGACACGCGCTACCGGTGGCGGCCGTAAGCAATAAATTACGATCTCGTAGGTTTTCTTTTTTTTTTTTCCAAACAAAATGATATATCGAAATGACCGATACGCTATATCGTAACGAAATTAATTACGTATGTATATAGTTATAATTATCAGCGCGTGAAACTACCGAAAATAACATTATTGTATTTTAATAGGCAGCATATTATTATGTACGAGTATATACGTTTTTTTTTTCCTCGCTCGGAAGTGCCGCACTGTTCTCCGACTGTATTATAGGAAATTATCCCGTGAAAAAAAAAAACATATTTTTTTCACACCTTTACGTTTGCGGATTTTAAGAGGGTCCGTTTTTATCGTGTGCAATTTCTCGTCACCCTGACCAACTTGTCGCCTACAACAGTGCAGGCCCACGCGCGGTGCGCCTGTATGGCCGCATTTTTCTTTGTTGTTTTTGGTTTGTAAACAACTTTTTTGCCGAAAAGTATTGCTCTAATCATCGACATCAGTTGTGGTTTTTGGTAGCGAATTGTGTCTATAGTTGGTATACATTGCGCATTGAGGTCGTTTATTGATTTTCATCGTAGTTTTCTTAATGGTAGGGAAAATCCGGAAGTATTACGTAATAACGGTTTTCGTTATTTACGGTTTTGTTTTTTTAATTTAGTGAAAAATATTCGTAGATACCTGAAACCTTAACCGAATACATTTATAATAGGCAGGATTAAAAAATATGCAGTTTTTCCAATGCTCTCAATTCCTTAAAATTGTATATTCAGGAAAGACAGCACTATAGTTATCATTTAATATATATCTATACAGATAAATAATCGATAGGTATATGTATGTACCTTTGCAGAAATATGTATATTGTATATAAATAACACTCAATTTAACGAATTTTTGTAGAAAAAAAATTAATATTGAATCACAATTAACGTTAGTATACGTTCCGATAGGTTTCTACTAAATATTTATTGAACAAATTGCAGTATCTGCATGATGCATATTCCATATTTGCCCTTGACTACTACTTGATTAGTTTAATCACTTAGTTTCAAATTTGTAGTGTCAATCGTGTCTGACATTGGAAATATTAAAATAAATCACACGAATGATAACTTAAAACTATATCTCTAATATATATTCATTTTAACTTATCCGGCATTAATAAAAACATTACATTATAAATTAATTTTCTTGTGTTGGCGTAACGCAACAATACCAACAACATAAGGCTATTTATATTCTCAAGTCATCTGTCACACTAAACAACAACAACTACAAAACGACGTTCTTTTCGAACAAAAGTCAGCCCGAAAAACATATTCTAAGTGAGAAGGATACATTTTTTACGAGGATTATTTATGAATATTTTAGTGTTGACTAAAATCGTATACTGATTATAATTATAATATATTATCGCAATCAACCAAATAAATAAGGAAAAAGACAATTTGCAACGTACTAATATACATGATGGACACTAAAGAGTGTCACTAAAATTTTAACCATCAAAATTCAAATCACTTGTTAAATTTTCCAAGTAGCTTAATTTTTTTTTTCTAACCACAATTTATTGTAACAAAGTACGTTTCTTATATGTTGTGTTAACTGTAGTCGTTACAAAGCTAGTATAGGGGTGATAAATAACTCGTTAGTTATGTTACAAGTTAATGATATATTTCAGAGGGTATTTTAGATTCAGTTAAATAATATCGTTAGAACGTTCGTAGGGAAAATGAGACGCTTTTCGTGTGTTATTATTTTGTGTAGGTATAACGCCATTTTTCTGTAGTACAACGATCGCGGGCAAACGTGTAATATTATTTAGGTAAATTGTATACTTGAAGTTACAATAAAACCAAGGTTGAGATATGTCACACTATCAAAGGAGATCTCGGCTTTCATCGACAAACAAAACAAATTTAAGTTTTAACCATAACGCTCGTGTTACCGTAAGTATAACACAAGTATTTTCATAATAATATTATCTCGTAATAGGATTTTAATATTGCAGGTACTGAATGTATTTAAATATGCTTTATAGTTTCGTAAAATTTCCACGAATATCTATTAATATTATCTATAAGTCAAAACAATAACTACGCATTAATATTTACAAATTATTTATGTTTGTCGACCGATATCAGAGAGGAAAACATTCGACGAGGTAGGTATATTATTAGGATGAAAAATAATAGTGTAATCTTTTTGATATAAATACCTATTGGCAGTTATTATATAAAATTGTTAATATTTTACATATTTGTACACCCTATGAATGATTAAACATTGATTCATACATATGCAATATGCAAAAACGGGCAAATCAATAAAAATAATAAAAACTGAGCAGATTAAATTAATCAAAACATTTCTCTGATTGAAAGTTGCCATAGAATCAACGTAACTCATGAAGTTGAAACACAACAAAATTAAGTTAATTTTTTGATAAACATTAAAAATACCTATTTAGTTATTAATTATACTGTTTATTAGCTGTTATTAAATAAATAACAATAAATTATTGTATTGTATATTGTTATATGATAAGCATTTTTGAGTTCATAATATTTTAATGTCAAAAAAATAAAATAAACTAGTTTTTAACACGTTTTGTTAACTGTATATTAATGTAAATTATAAATTATTAACGGTACCAAAACTAAGTACCTATAGTTAACCAAGTAGATATAGCCGAAAACCTTTTTAATAATATTATTCAGTTAATGCATTATTGTTTTCACATATATTAATAATTATGGAATAAAAATTATAATACTTTAAATATTGTTGATCATTATAATATTTAGGTACACTACACATTAATATACCTATGACAATCTAACCTAAATATTTTTTTATTTTTAAAATAAATTTCCCAAATATTCCATTTTAAGACTATAAGAATATAATTAGTATGAAATAGAGAGTTATAAATCAAGGGGAGCTATACCTAATACATGGCCGCCCGAATATATCAACTGTTATCTCTGACATCCCCGTTATCACAAATTATACTTATCGTTATACTTTATGATATCATGGTTTATTACCATGGCTACTCTTATCATTATCAAGGTTATATATATCTTATATTATCACGGTTATACCTCAACTTATCTCGTTATCACAAGTTATACCTAATACCTACTGTTATTACAAGATATACCTAATCTCGTTATACATATTAATATATCGGTATACCTAATATATATTTATATAATTACCATTATTTTGTCGTTCGATATTTATTATTAGAGACAACATTTTCATGTAATTTCATGTAGTTAGAGAGAATGTGCAGCGTAAATCAGACGATTCATTTGTCAATGTTGAACTAATATAAACAAATTGTACTCATCGCATTTCAAAGTTAATGAATATTCTTAAATTTCGGTTATCATGAATGTCTGAAGAACAATACTTTGAGATTTTATGAAATTTTGCAAATCTATATTGATTTATGGAAAAAAATTATAATTAAGAGGTGTGCAACCATTCTAAGAGGGAAGTTGGAATGGAGGACAAATAATTTAATTATATGCAGTGATAAATTATTGCTTATGAACAACGATTTTGTTTGAGTATTACTAGTCGTATTTTTTCCTTTGTTGTCAAGGTAACCCGGAAATTAACGAAAATTAGACAAAATATTGCCAATATTTCCCATTTTATTAAAGAAACTACAAAGGGAATCAAACAATAACCTTCTCAACGCACCAATTAGCCCGAAAATTCTACAAGAAAGTTCCTGTAAAGTTTTTGATTGGACCGAGACGTCTGGCGGAAACGTCTGGTGGTCTACCGGTTTTTTCCGGTATATTTTATGAATTTCTAATAAAACGTTATAACATGTTTAAAAGAAAAAAATAAATAATATTTTCACGATGAAATTGTAGAGCGTAATAACAGCGTTTCTCTAGCGTTTTCAAAACGATACGAATCCCGTCTAATGTATAATTTCTACGATAATATGTACAACGCGTATAATATGCAGAATAGGTGTTCACAATAAACAATAACGACATTTTTATTGTTCAATATAATTTCGCACGTGCGCAATATTATAAAAACTACAATAAAATATTATAATGTCGTCCGATGCGATTACTGCGGTGTTATTACAATAACACGGTGGTCGGCAGACTGCGCATCGCGAACGCGGCGGCCGTTATTCAACGACTTGTACGGCTCTGACAAACGCTTCCGCGTGTACGATGCGTTCTTCCAAGTCGAACGCCGGTTGTTCTGCGATATTAAACGAGTTGGCCTTAACACCGCGGTACGCTATACGGACGTTGTGCGTACGTTTTGTAAACGTATCCGTACCATAAAAATATCGTATTTCCCGTTCGTGTGTTATCGTGCCGGCGATACAATCAAGGAGAACGCGTCTCGCAATAATCTCCGCGTGCGCGCGAGTACCCGCGGTCGACCGCTCAGCGACGAGGCGTCGTGCGTTTTGCACGCGACCAGACGAACGGTTTTACGAGCGTATCGTTATGAAAATGATTGATAACTTACTGCGGGGGGGGGGGGTTGGGAGAGACGGATCGGCTTTAAGCTCGTCTAAATATACAATTTTTGAGGGCTCGTTAAAATTCAATGATACGATAGTATGCGACGTTATTAGTAAAACGTGAGAGGCTTTTAACCCCACGCCCTCGCCCCCCCCCCCAATTTATCGACCGAAACAATACGCGTTGAAATTTCAAATAAAATTATTATCGAAAAATCGCTTAGCGTAACATTTATACTGCGAAAGTACCGATTTTAAAACCGTTTTAAGCCTCTCTCTCCTACGCTACAAATATAACATTTTTTTCTTCTTACAACACGTTAAAAATTATGCGAGTTTATTTTTGGTTTGACAATGATGTTTTTTTTTTTTTCTGTGGACAACTTTCCTACCAGCAACTTTGCGCCGATTTTCAATGATAGCATTTTTTCTAAAAGGAAATCTGACTGGGAAGGTACTTTAAAGAGGTCATTTTTTGAGTTTCCCAGTAAAAACATTTAAATAATCCGATTTCTCAATAAATCAATGAATACTTTCGTTTTTTAATATTATTAAATATTATCGCGTAAATCACTAAAACCGCATCGCGCGAAATGTGAATTTATGTAAATAGTTGATAAAGAGTTGATGTTCCGAGATGTTCCGGGTACACGGCCACCGAGTCCTAACCGGGAACCCGATATTATACCCGACGAGTATACTCGTTACCCGGCGTAATAATACATTTTTTTTTTTTCGGTACCCGACTCACTGTCTAAAGCTCACTTTCCGCGTGTCAATACAGCGAGAAAAAAATGTACGCCCGTAATTGACTAAATGAAAAAAAGATTTTATACTTTATGCCACGCCATGGTAGAAACCGGAAATTAATTACATTTTAACATATTGTATAAATTGTTTGCTTTTTAATATTTATATTCAATTTTTTATTGAGCGATTATTATTAGTAACTAATGGCTTGTGGCCGGGTAGTAGATACTCAACTATTTTCATTATTTTTGTATAATATCCGAAGCCTGATTACGATAGATATTATTATCCGGTACCCATTTACATTATTGCCCGGTTGTACCCAAAACTTGGTTTCAACGGATATTAATATTCAGCTAATACTCGACATCTATAGGTATTTTTATAAATTATTACTCGGCTAATACTCGATTACAGGTTTGTTTTTAAAATAATACACCCGGAACATCACCTCTAGTAAATACCAACACTAGCCACTTATATACTTATTTTATTTCAATGTGATATCTAACCGTATCTACTTATATATTCGCAATTAGGAGCTCGAAAACGCGTGGCAAATTCAATCAAAATATATTTTAAAGAAAAGAAATCGGTCGCGTATTTTCAAATAGAAAATAATAATATTATGCTCGTCGGTATCTAAATGTGCAGATATCGTGCGGAATGTCATCAGCCAATATGGCTTATAAGTTATCACATCGTGCAAAAAACGTGCATCGTCTAAAATTTATCGGTTATCGGTACCGTGTCAAAACAAAAAAGAAAAAACGTTTTTAACGTGATTACCCGAAATGCTATCTTTGAAATTAATAACAATTCATTATCGATTTTTAAACAATATTGCATTATAGGTGAAGACAAAATATTGTAGTTTTTCATAACGAATCATCACGCCAAAAATCTGTAGAAAAAAAGTATACGAGGTAATCAATCTATTATAAGAAAGTATTAACTTTTTTTGGAATTTATTTTATAGAACATTTGAGAAACAAGCAACACTAAAGATTTTACATTTACGTTATTTTTCGTTATCCTAATTTTTTATGGTAAAACAACTACTTATTTTTAATTTTGAAATAAATTTTAACACTAAAATTTATTTTAAATAATACCTTATCATTTGAAAATTTAAAGTAAGTAGTGGTTTTACCACCAAAAATAAGGCTGATAAAAATATTATAAATATAAAATTGCTAAACTGCTTGTTTCTTAAATGTTCTATAAAATAAATTCCAAAAATGTTAATACTTTCCGAGATAATGAGTGTCTTATGATAGATTGATCACCCTATAATGCTATAGAATCACTTATAGAAATATATAGAATTGCTCCAATCGATTTCTGAATAGTATTAATTCTATTTAATATTGTGCCTATATCCTATAAGTATATAGGATATGCTTCCTTCTCTAGGTATTAATAATAATAATGTATTAAATAGTTTTTGAATCATTACAAAAACTATATTTATTGTAAATTTACATGGACAGTGTGATTTCAAAAGAATTTATACTAAATTACTTTTACAAAAATATATCTATATATTTATACGTAGGTACTTTTACATTTTTTACTGTTATTTTTTAATTAAAATAATTTGTTTTGATCATATCGTTGAAAAGTAGAATGTATAATATAAAAAGCAACAAAGCCGTTTACTAACCCAATGAGTACCAACATAACCTATAAGATCATCAAGAATTGCGTACCTTATGAGTTGTGACTCGTAAGGTACGCAGTTTTTGCACAAAACGATGTAAATACCTCCCAAAACTCAAAATCCGTCGTTTAACCCGAAAATCCTCTAAGGACCCTTTTTGCATGCATAAAATCATAATATAGTCGAATATTAAATACTACAATATATTGAATTATTATAATATTGCTTCGTCTAACCACTTCGATCGCTTCCCGAGCTCGGACTTATAATCGAAAATAAAATCCAATTTGTTGTGTGAAACCACGACGGCTTTTATTTCATGTGCAGTAAATTAATACGATGCGACCGGGTCGAAAACGGTTCGTATCATTTTCAGATAACTGTTTATCACCGAATATGCTTATACCAGTGACCTATGAGTTCTTCGCGTATCACTGATAACTAAGAATCGCTGTCCATATCATAAATCGTGACCCGTAAGCGTAAACAATTTTTTGATTTACTACGATACGTGTTCTTTAGATTTTGAGTGAAGTAAGGAATGTATTGGTTTCACAATAACGTGAGTTTTTTTTTGGTTGTAAACAACTTTTCTACGAGAAATCTCGCCACTATCAAAAACTTTATTGGGACTTTCTTGTAGCGTTTTTGATCTATTAAGAATGTCGTTTTTAAATTTCATTTGAAATATTCTTAATAAATGAAAAAACCGGCAATTCGATCTGATAAAATTTTTGTTTATTTCCGTGTTCCTTTGACAATAAGGAAAAATAATACGACTAATAATACTCCGCTAAAAATCATTGTTCGTTAACAATGGTTTATCATTGCGTACAGATATAAATTGAATTACTTTACAGTCTACATATTATCTTCCGTTTCAGCTTTCTTCTTTAAACCGTAGTACACCCATCAGTAATATCAACATTTTTTTTTTTTTAATTTTGCCATTACCATATTAATTAATTTGTAATAATAATAATGTAAGTTGTTATGTTAGTAGGGATAAAATATTTCATCTGTTTTACGATCATTATTATTATTTTTAACCATTTTAATCGTTACTATATACTATACGACTAATTATGATAATATTATAGTCGATTTAAGTAGTATAAAAATGCCGATCCTGGTTCTGGTGCTAGTGCCATATCCCCGCCACTAACCGCAGCTGTTCGGTACTCCAACCCCGCCACTCACCGTAGCCCGTACCGCTCGCCGCTCCGTACTCTGCCCCACAGCCCAACCCGCGCACGCACGCATACACACGCACACACACAGCTCTACATATCAACCGGACTGATATTATTACCATCGATGTTATCAACTCTTATCAATATATGTTACCATTATTTCACGATGTTTTCACGCTCATTATCACAGACGATACTGCACTGGTTTTTATTGATGGATATTATCAATTATACATACCACTGTCTATATTTTTACCACAGATATTATCAATATACGTTACACTGGTGATTTAATATTACACATTTAATGAACCCCCCCCCACTTTAGTGTGTGTAGGACAATAGAGGGGGTTGATCTTTAATTGTCTGTCCGACGGATTTAATCAAACTGTTAGATCAGTCTCGACTGCATGTTTGTCGATATATATTACTATGTTCATATAACCATGGTCATTATCAGTTACGAAAAAAAATACTACTATTACCATAGTTATGTTTATAACAGGACAGCGGTAATCGTCATCGCATAACCCTCGTCCCCCACCGACATCGCAACCATAGCCCGCGACGTGCCTCTCTCCACACACACACGCCTTCTTGTATGAATACTACTACATATTATATCTATACACACGCGCTCACAAAGGATTTATGGATATATTTGATGAGTTAATACAAATAAAAATTAATATCAGTAGGTATTAAAATAAATATATATTATTTATTGAAAAATAACACCGCAAAGACATTCTTATCCAAATCTTCTATCCCATCGCAATGTATGATAATTTCAAAAGAAGTGTTTTCCCCACGCTCCATGAATGGGTTGAAAGAATCAGCTGGCTGCCCCCTTTCGCTAACAGCATTAGATTCTTCACTCTGTTGAGTTTGAATAAAAATCGATATTAATTGTATACACTTATATTTATACATACGATAATGTATGTTTGTTTATTTTCTTCTACTTCACTAGACTGTGAGCTATTGACAGAATGTTCCAACTATATAATTTATTCGTATTAAATTTTTGTTTATAAAATCTTACTATCCCCCAGATCTTACTCGGTATTTAAGTAAGCAAACATGGTATTTATTTCAAATTATTTATAGTTTTTTTTTTTTTTCAATTCTCGAAATTATGTTTTTCGATTATACACTTTTTATGATGACTATGACAAATTTGTTGTTCTTTGTGGGCATATCGATTTCAAATACACCAGCACGTCAGTAGTATTGTTTCTTCATGTCTGTAACAAGTATCTGCGCGTGTATATTACCTACGGTCTTAAACACATTATATCTGAGTTACGGTTCGTTATAATTTTTTTTCTTTTTACGTGATTTATAAAAATGCATAAGTGTAATTTTGCCGGATGCAGAAGAACTTTTTCCGCTCGGCGCAGCATGATGCGCCACGTAAAGATCCACGAGGGTGTGAAGTTTGCCTGCAATTTGTGCAATAAATTGTTCATGCGAAAAGACACTGTCGCTTATCATATTAAAGAAGTACACCGCCAAGGTAGAACTGTGTCATGCACTAATAAGGACATCCAAGGTATGTATTTAATTTTTTAAAGGACTATGAAAGGAATAAAAACAAATCAATTATATTTTTAGTTGACATTAGCAAAAACTCTCAAATTGAACCAGACATTAATAGAGGTGTTATCCCAACACCGTCCTCTACCAAAAGTATTTATATAATACGATTAATATTTGTGAATACATTATTATGATTTTTTTTTTCGCAGTCGATAGTTATGGTAATGACCAAATAGAGATTGCACCAGGAATAAATGTAGATAATATTCAAGCCGAACCGTCTACTAAAAGTAATGTACACACGTGTATTATTATTAGCATATAGATAATTTAAACGAATATACAAGTATATACAATTAATATCGATTTTTATTCAAACTCAACAGAGTGAAGTCTAATGCTGTTAGCGAAAGGGGGCAGCCAGCTGATTCTTTCAACCCATTCATGGAGCGTGGGGAAAACACTTCTTTTGAAATTATCATACATTGCGATGGGATAGAAGATTTGGATAAGAATGTCTTTGCGGTGTTATTTTTCAATAAATAATATATATTTATTTTAATACCTACTGATATTAATTTTTATTTGTATTAACTCATCAAATATATCCATAAATCCTTTGTGAGCGCGTGTGTATAGATATAATATGTAGTAGTATTCATACAAGAAGGCGTGTGTGTGTGGAGAGAGGCACGTCGCGGGCTATGGTTGCGATGTCGGTGGGGGACGAGGGTTATGCGATGACGATTACCGCTGTCCTGTTATAAACATAACTATGGTAATAGTAGTATTTTTTTTCGTAACTGATAATGACCATGGTTATATGAACATAGTAATATATATCGACAAACATGCAGTCGAGACTGATCTAACAGTTTGATTAAATCCGTCGGACAGACAATTAAAGATCAACCCCCTCTATTGTCCTACACACACTAAAGTGGGGGGGGGTTCATTAAATGTGTAATATTAAATCACCAGTGTAACGTATATTGATAATATCTGTGGTAAAAATATAGACAGTGGTATGTATAATTGATAATATCCATCAATAAAAACCAGTGCAGTATCGTCTGTGATAATGAGCGTGAAAACATCGTGAAATAATGGTAACATATATTGATAAGAGTTGATAACATCGATGGTAATAATATCAGTCCGGTTGATATGTAGAGCTGTGTGTGTGCGTGTGTATGCGTGCGTGCGCGGGTTGGGCTGTGGGGCAGAGTACGGAGCGGCGAGCGGTACGGGCTACGGTGAGTGGCGGGGTTGGAGTACCGAACAGCTGCGGTTAGTGGCGGGGATATGGCACTTGCACCAGCATTAGCACCAGTACCAGCACCAGAGCCAGGATCGGCATTTTTATACTGCTAACGTTTTATTGAACATACCTAAGAGCTCTTTGTTTTGCTTACTAAAAAACGTCCGTTATACAATATACGTACCTATACCTACTTGAATCATTTAATTGCAATTTGCAAATATTAGATATTATGTTATATTATATTATAGTTATACCTATATATCGTATACGTACGACAAACATCAAAGGTTCTAACGTTAATTATAATTGTGTTATAAAATTGACTTTTGTTCAATTATATAACTATATTCTACATACTATTTATTTAAAAAGAAAACTACATCTGAACAGGGATCTGAACCCTGGACTGCGTTTATACTCGAGTTGGGTTGTTCAGCGTAGTACGTTGTAAATTATAATAATTTATTATTATACTTAAACAAATCTCGAAATTGTATTAAAAATAAAAAAGTCTATCGTGGATAGGCTAAATTATTGAAAAATATAGGAGGGATGGTTGAAAAGTATATGTGATATAAGGGAATGAAATTTAATTTATATACCTAGCGCTACACTCAGAATCGGTGGCATGCCCAACATTTTCCAATGAGAGGGGACGTGGTCAATAATTATTACCATTGCTTATCTAAAAAATCTAATTTGTATTCAATGAATCAGACTGTTTTTCTCGTAACTTGGCTGAAATTGAACTAAACCGATAGGTTTCCAAGGTATTTTTAAATCAATCGGAGATGGGGTGGCATAACATCACTAATCTTCTCCCACCCTGAGTACGTCACTGCTCATCTAATCCAAAACCAATGCTCTGGTCTATATAATAGATGTATATTAATAGTAAAAAAGTAAGTGCATTGGTTATAATATTATACTCCATGGTAACATTGGTAATTGTATAATAATGTATAACGATTTTGTTTTTTTTTTTTTTGTAAATTATATAGCAGGTACTTTCTATAACAATATCGCGTAACATAGCATCAGTTTATTTACCATGATTGATATTTATACACCGACATCACGAGACATAATAATTATGTAATAATATTATAAAGTGATAGTTTGTTTTTTTTTTTTTCTTATTACCGTCGTTGGGATGATTTTTTTCTGTCTAGGGTTTCTGTGAGTTTACTATAGAAACCGTATTGGAAATCGAAACGATATTATAATATTAAGCGTACTATGTTGGACTTGTATAATAATGAAACTTCAACATTTTATTAATCGAAACAGCAGTGTTTGTATGCGTGTTATCGGATCATAATAATAGTATTATGAACCGAATGATATCCGTATAGTTATTTTCCACCGGTGGTTTTCCGGTATAAAAATATTACGTATGTAAATCAATTACAATTTAAAAATAATTATTAATAATGTGCCTAGCTCGTTAAGTTTAAATTTAAATTATTAAAATCGATTTTAATACGCGTTTTACGTGTCCCTTTATTGAATTAATATCATATGGAAATATTAAACATTTTTTTTTTTTTTTTAAATCTTCGAAAACGAATAACGTGGTTTCCCGTGTATTTCTTTGTCCGACGCATACGTAACAAAGCCAATTTCGGCCGATTTGTTACCCGTCGAATTTCGGTTCCAAGCATTTGATTTTGAAATTCATAAAATTATATCGAAACCGGAAAAAAAAAAATTGCTCGGCCGATTTCATATTGTACACAACACAAATGACGGGCGAAAAATTGATCTAAATCGCCATGTTGCGCGTATCATATTGTGTTATGAAAGATAAGGGAATTCCCGTTCCGTTTCGAATCCTTTACATAAAAAATTGTATTTTTACTCTACAGCCTCCAGCCACTATCGGTAGATACCGACCGTGTGGTAATACGCGTTTATTCCGAGTGATTTACCCAATCGTACTTTGTAATAATTTACACGAGATTAAATCCGCGGCCAGTGTGACCATCCGGAAGAAATTATTTTTTTTACAAATGCGTTTTCATTCTTTCGGACAAAAACACGTTCTGCTCGTATTTCTCTGATGTTATAGTTTCTTTGACAAAATATCTATGTTATACGAGCGCACAATACATAATATTATAGGTACCTATTATACGAATACACTGCAACATGTGTATTATATTTTTTATACGATCATCGGGCAAATATAGACGTAATATACATTATTATAAATTCGAGTGTTCACATTCGACAAAAAAAAAAAAAATAAAATTAATAGTGACAAATCATTTTGCTTTCACTTCATCCGTCATTCTCGCGAACATTGGAATTTAAATACCCCGCACTCTTAAACACACACGGCATATTATTCACTGTTATAATCTGCACGCATTGTTCTATAATAATTGTTTGGAGAGAGAGAAAAAAAAAGAAAACTTTATTAATGTTAAAATATAGCTAAAAATCGTGTTACTATACTTTCTACTGTATCTTTCTCCCGGTGCCCCTTTAAATGATAAACGTGTACACCGCGGTTACCTAACGTATACCACGGTGCAGATAACCCTGCAGATGTAACACGCGCATACGCATAAAATACATAATCGATTAACACAACATTATAATGGTGTACAATAAAAACGGATAATCGTAAAATATTATGACGTTGAAACCGTTCGTTGTCATTGTTGTCGAATAACAGTTTTTAATTGGCCATAAAATGATTGTTTTTCGAATTTTTTCTTCCTATACATTCGTTTTAATCCCCCATCCAGCGCTTATCCGCGAAGATTTCGAGTAAAATTGATTTTCTATTCGTTCAGCCGTCATACAAGTGCACAACATAGAATCGTTTAATTTGTTTAATAATAAAACGATCTTATTTCACAATGTTTTCGAAATTTTACGCATTTTACGCCGGTATTATTGTTAAACGTATAAACGTCAATATCGCTTTTTGATTGTAATGATAACACAGGTTTACATAGGCATTACCATTGATAATATAAGAATGGATAGGCCACTTTCATATAAAAATAATAAGGGGGTGCGTTGTATAACATTAATATTTTAATATCATCAAACACAATTTGCTATTTCCGTGCGATGGGTCGTGCATGTATTGTTTGACGTGTAACTTCCAAATTGAATGTAGGTATCATTTCATTTGTAAGTATTACCTACCATGATTACTAACCTACTTGAAAATACACATAAAATATAAATATTTGATTTAGATTAACGAAAAATGAAGTAAAGAGTGTAAGAGTAAAGTAAAATGGTGTCATGCTTTGGGTTTATTAAATGCTACACTTAACCAATCGGTTTCTGGAATACGTTTGGGTACAAATTGCTATAATTTCAGAGAAATAAAAAACACTAAGACCATTTGCTGTTCCATCGTTGTGAGAATATTCTTAAACTAATTCAATTATCAATAATTGTCAAATTATTTTTCTTTTGTAAAATATTAATTAAGATTATTTAATTATAGTTAAAGCGTTATTGATTATTTCTTAAACGAGTTTACAATTTTATTGATAAGACCATTTGTAACCTCAAATTATAAAAATGTTCGTTCTCCTGTGATAAACTCTCATGGCACATCCATTCTTATATTATTATTTACGGGCATTACGCTCTACGGACGCGTATACGTTTAAACGGTTTTGACTTCTGAGGTATTGAGCACGATTTAAGATATCTACTTTTTAGATTTATTGTATCTTAAATGTTTGCATATATCTTTAATCGTGCTGCTAAGAGTTTGAGACGTTATTGTCGCTTTGAGTCGGTGAGTGTTTTTATTGTGGCCTATTGGTCTGTAACTGTTTGACGTTTGTTAAGTTCTTACTGGTTAGTAGTCACTATGGACAGTCAAAATGCATCCAAGAGAAAACAATTCAAACAAAGACTATTTCACAGTTTTTTCGACAAAAATGTCGGTATCAATAGTTGTATGTATTTTATTGAAATGCATACATCAATACATAAGTAAACCACCAATCTTCTACTATTTAATTTTAAATAATATTATGTTAAAAAAATCGAATATTTTTTTAAATTTTTTTTTCATAACTAACATATATCGCAGTATACTCTTTTCGTTACTATTTCTGACAATAATACGAATGCTACGCACACGTGTATATATATATATATATACATATATACATCATTATCATTATTCAGCTAATCAAATGTTAATTATTCAATTAGGTAAATAATTAGAGTACGACCGGTATGGGTTCGGTATAGTTGGAAAGGTGCTCAGTTCATGGTACTCGTATTATTACTACACGTTATTATGTATTTACATCAGATTTGTTTATCCCCAACCCCTCCATCCCGTCCCGCTCTCATTAAGTAATTCCTGCAGGCTACGCCGCCGACCGTACGTTTTGTATAAATCATTATATTATAATATTATTATCGGTATTTCTACCGGATATACAAGAATATTGTTATCACCGCCCTACGTAACATAATCGGTCCGAAAGTAATCAGATTTGATTCAATTAACGCGGTTTCGTTTTTTACAGTATAATTGGCCACAAGCAGCTGCTATCGACAATACCGCGCGCGCGTTTCGCGCGGACACGACGCGTACGTCCGTTACCGTGATCGCGTCGAAAATGTGAAATGTTATGAACACGGTACCCCGGCCGGGCAATAACCGGAAAAACCGTATTGGCCGTTATTGTTATTTAATGTCGCGGCGCCCGTGCGCCAGGCTTTGCGACCAAAACCGCGCCGTTTAACACACTTGAACGTTTTTCCACATTTAGTGAAATTTTTCCCCGATCAAAAATAATAATAATACGCTGTTATCGTTTAACGTGAACGTGAGACGCCCGTCGGCCGTCGGGATATTATCGATCCGTCCGGACACACCGAATATTCGCCGCGTTCCGACCCGAGCCAGTGAACTACAGACGCGTATGAATTAATACGCGTGTCGGCCGTAACGTTTATAATGATAATAATGTTGTTATTATCGAAACGACGGCGACGCGGCAGCGAGCGTGTTCCTTTTTTTTTTCTCTCTTATTTTCCTCTCCGAAACCCTTGTGGTGAACACGAGCACGTCCTTGGAAACGTTCTGTACGATTCTTCTTCCGAACATAAATATTACGAACCGGTTTTCTCCGCGGGACCGGTAATATTTTATTATTTTCGTCGGGCGGGTGTATAACGTATACCGGAATAATAATGTATATTTTATTATTTAAAATCGATTTGTTTGTCAAATTATCGTGTTGGTAAACACCGCGGCGGTTAACAACATTGTTTTCGGCCCGTACTCGGTACCCGACCGAAACACCGTAATTGTTGGCCGAATGTTGCGTATTATTATTGCGAAAAAAAAAAAACAAACAAACAATGTTATCGAGCGCGTTAATAATAGTTGGAAAAAATCGTAAATCGAAAAAACGCCACGAAATATTATCGCCGGCGTTCAGATTAGTGTAGGTATGTAATAAACCTGTCCGTCAGTTCCTCCGCAGAAACCGCGTTCCGCAGTGCCTGTGTAGGGTTTGGCGCTCGGGTCCGAAAAGGTCGTCACAGTCGGTGGCATTTGCCGTCTTTGTTTTTCCCGACGGGAAATCCGGCAAACGCGCGTCCGCGTGAAACGTAACCGTCTTGAAAATCGGTTTTCGTAGATTAAACCCCGTGTTCCATTCGATTTGCGGACGGCGACGTTTCGAACAACATTCGATATTTTCTCAGAATTGAGAACCCAATGCATTCATTATCGCCGGAGGTACGGAAAAAAAAGAAGAAAAACACAAAAACATTATGTCTGCACCTGTCCGCCGTATACGCGCGCGCGCACACACACACACACACGTAGAATATCATCGTACAGTATTATAGCAGCGTCCCGTCCGTCCCTTTTCGACGTTATCCTGCGCACCGAGACCAAACCGGTAAGGTGAGGTTTTTCGGCGTACACTATACCCGTCTGCCCACCAACAACACCCGCCCGTACCTGTCCCGCGTCCCGTACCCGCCGCGCACACGTGTGTAATTATTATTACCTATTATTTAAAAACGCGTCGCCTTTTATTATCGGAACCCGGCCGAGTGTACTGTACGGCGGCCGGCGCGGCATAAGGCATAACGTCGCGTGTTGCGCGCGTTATACTGTACGTGTCGCCACCGTAATGTTGTGTGCGTAAAATTTCGGTGAAACAAGTAAGCCGGGTAGAGAATAATAGAGACGAGAGAAAAACCAAAAAAAAAAAAAGAACACAAAAAAAAAACGTTCGTTTTAATATATGTTACGTTATTTTCGTTGTTTGTAACAATATGAACAGCTGATTTTTTTTTTTTTCTCTCTATCTGTTTTCACCCGAACGTACAGGTAAACGTTCTTAATATAATATTATTATCGCGTTCCGCGCCCGCGCGCGCATGTGCGTACGCGCCGTGTGTCAACATAGCGCGCGCCGTACGTTACGGGCCGAATGCGCCCGAGTCCCATGCGTATTGTTACCGGCTCCATGGGACGCGCGCGTGTGCGTGCCGTCCCGTAGCGACGACGCGAGATCCCTCGTCGTCAACCGTTCGCGGACGGTGAAAACGTAATTATCGTCGCGTGAACGTCCGCAAAACGCGGTTCGTCGTTTCCGATGTTTCCGGAATCGTGACAATATTGTCGTGCGTCGGTAAACGCGCCGAGCGCGAAGTCCGCGTTTGGACGGCGAAAGGGCGTTTATTTTTTTTTTTTTATTCTCCCGTTTTTATCGCGTATTCCCGCTGAACACCCGCGTCGGTAGGGGCACCGTTAAAAAACGAACGGAACAATAACAACGTACGCTCGTAAAACCTACGGGCGAAACGATTGGGTTAAGACAATCGTAGGGCCGTCGCACACGAATGCCCCTGCATCCCGTACGCGGGTTGCGTTGTTTCTAAAGGGCGAGTTTTATGGCGACGGTCCCGCTTTTGCCCTGCGATTTTTCTCGGACGTTCCGTTTATGCGGTCGGCTCCCGTTCGGCCGAATTTGTTTTTCGCACGACTCGACGTAACTTACGAGTCAAAAGGCGCAGGGCGAGTTGATGGAAATAATTTACTGTTACGTGAATTCTGATTGCGTCCAGTTAAATGTTAGCAACGAAGAAAATATTCAACTCGATAAGTTTTTAACGTTAAGATGGACAATAAAATTAACTACACGTAGTTAAAAACAAGATAATTTCAATTTTTCATGCCATAATATTCATGTCATCAATTGCCCTAGTATTTTTGATTTACACGATTATTACAATGTAAATTATGCGGCGAAATGAGATTCGACCTTCGTTTACACATGGAAAAACTACAACAATTGTTTTTGATAGAGCTATCAAAAAAAAAAAAAAAAAATAAATAAATCCGTTGTAGCATAGATAAAGTTTTTCGCTATGTGTTTTAAAATTTCGATACCTTTAATGTCAATGTAAAAAACGTTTTTGCAGTCGATAATTACGGGTTGTGGCGTCTTTTAAACCGAAATCAATAAACGAGGTGCCGGTTTAAAGATCAAGTTGCCACCTCTGACGGATAACATTGAATTCAGAACTGTGCAATCTATTATTTGTTTGATAATCAAAATTGACGTTTGAATGCGAATTTTTCCCACTGGTCAGTAGTCAGTTGTATAAAATGTAAATAGTATCTACTTATTCCCCTTTACCCGGGCACCGGGTTCGTTTACAAGTGGACAGTTCCTGGTGCACGCACAACGCACACGTGATAATGACAACTACCCATATTATAATAAACATTTTTATGAAAAAAATAATATCACGTTTTGACGATAACGCGGACGAAAAATCGAAATCATTCGACTTCCGGCGAATAATGAATAGTGTGAACGTTTTCACACGAAAATCGACACGGTTTGCGTGGGATAATCAATGAAAATAAAATTATTGTTTTTTCATCCCGGGACGTTTCCGTTGTCGTGGCCAGCGGCCATGATTGGAATATCAATTTGTTTATTGTAACGCTCCAATCACCGGTTGACCAGGGGCAAAACGAACGCTGCGCACGGGCGTCCGTAGGGAACCTGCAGTATTTTGTTCTGCTCGTTAATCGCGGAACATAATACGGATGAAACGTTTAATGGTTACTGCGAAAAAGCAGGACGGGGGTTCGTTAGGGGGTGCTAAAGACCCCTTAGCAACCCCACCACTTCCTAGTTGCGCCTGTGAATCACACCGCGATGTGTTATTCGAAATAATGTGTCGACATTTATTTCGGCCACGAGTTTTTCACAGATATTTCTCGCCGTGATAATGTGCGTGAAGAGAGAAAATTCCCGAACATAAGGGAAAAAAAAATAAAAAAAAAAATAGAAATAAACCAACAGCTGATTTGTTTGTCGGGTTCGGGTGGTGTGCTACGACGCAGTGGCGGTGTGTACGGTCGTCGACAAGGAGACGGGGCGTGTGACGGGGATGCGACGGCGGTGCGCGCGGGGAGAAGAACACGAAAAAATCACGCCGAAGACGAAAACATTAAAATATCCGTCGAGCCCTTCAAATAACGGTTCTCGCGGCGCGGCGGCGGCGGTGTTATTGTGTTGTGATGTCGTTGGGTCGGTTGAGGGGCGCGAGGGG